TCTTGGCCGTTGAGTGATAAACCCGTCACGGGTTTTATTGAGGGTAACCATTACGTTTTTACTTAAGATTGTTAAAAATCCTTCTGCTTCATTCAATTAATCATTTATTGGCTAATCCACTTGTACCACTGGAACATGGCCTAGAGGCCTCTCCACCACCAAGTTGTCGTTGCTAACAACTTCAGTTTCGACTACGATTTCTACGGCTACCCGACGGACTGGGGTCAAAATTGACATCGAGAACATTTTCATCAACTCTTCTGTAAATAACGTATCAAATTCCTACCTTATTCGTTAACTTTTTGTAGAAACTCAGTGTTTTTTTGGCTTTCTCTACGGGGTCGCCGACCACTAATGTTCTTTTTATCAACCCCAACATCGCGTCCGTTTACGCTGCTTTGTCAAGTTGTAGTTGAAGTTCATTGCAATTTCTGAAGATCATTTCGGTATTTCGGGTTTCCTGTAGTAAATCATATTGTTCATTAAGCTACTCTACGGTATTTTTTTCTATCATAGTTTGTAGTTTTAGCTGCTTTGCTGTTACGTCTAACAATAAATCGATTACTCTTTGATGTACGACTGTGGTCAGTACTTGTGCACTAAAGCCAAAGTGCTCGTCCATCAAAGCGGACCTGGAATTTAGGCTTACGAAGCTGTTTTGGGAAATTGAAGTCCAAGTTATGTGTCTCGACCAAGTTTCTCAGTATTACGACGACCAGAGTTGTTTTACAGTAGACTGCAAAGGGGCCTTGTATTACGATCTTATGTTAATTTGTTTTTCTTGTAAGCTGTAATTAATGGCGTCGTGGTTTTACATACGGTGGTTATGATACTTTGAAGTATGTACGAAGCTCATTCTACGGCGATAGCCTTTTTACATGCGCTTAGATCATGCTTCTATAGGCTCCAGAAGTTTCAAAGATTGGTGGGATTCAACCTGCTGGAAAAAAATAAAAATCAATTATTTAAAAACTCAAAAAAACCATACCCATAGACATAACACCTAAAATCCCATACCCACAAAAATAAAACTGAAACACCCATACCCATTGATAAAAAATTCAAAAACCCATGCCCATAAATATAAAATTCAAAAACCCATGCCCAGAAATATAAAACACAAAAACCCATGCTTAGAGATATAAAATATATAAACCCATACCCATAGATATGAAACTCAAAAACTCATGCCCAGAAACATAAAACACAAAATCCATGCCCATAGATTTAAAATTCAAAAACCCATGCCCATAGACATAACATTTAAAAGCCCAAACCCATTTTTTGCATTTTAATATTAGAATACTATATTGCACAATTAATAAAGACTACAGTACATCTACAGTACGCAGATGGTAATTTTTTATCAAAATGCCAACAGGTGGTACTATTTCAGTACGTATGATGATCGAATTGACGGTAAAATTAAAAATCCAAAAAATATTTTTTTAGTACCACGTACTCAAAATTGATACTCAAAAATACTATTTTGTATCAAAATGCCAAATTTTCAATATGCCAAAAAGAACACACCCATGGATATAAAAAAAAGCCCATACCCAGGGCCGGGAACTGGATTCTCCCTGTCCACATCCCCCCCCCCCAAAAATTTTCGAAAAAAAAGATGAACGTGGTCCCCCCTGTAGATTTTTGGAAATTTTTTTTCGATCCTCGCCCCCAGACCAAAAGTCCCCGCCCGGCCCTGTCAACAACTAAAAAACACAAAAAAAACCCATATCCATAGATATAAAACCCAAAACAATATTGTTATACCGCGTTTTATTCTGCGCCTTCTCTACAATCAATTAATCTCTCTCCCCTCCTCCTATATCCCTACTACGTAACGCACTTCAAGCGCTTGGCTTTTTGATTGTATTTCAAAGTACGCAAGGCATACCCTTGTTATCTATTGGAATTTACCTCTACGGTCAGGGACGGGCGGGGACTTTTGGTCTGAGGGCGGGAATCGAAAAAATCGCTAGCTACCTGTGCATTTTTTGCAAAACATTTTCAAAAAGCCACAGGGGGGACCACGTCCAACTTTTTTCGAAAAATTTTTTTTTCGGGGGGGGGAGATTTAAACTTCCATTTTAAAAATGTCTTAAAATGGCATAAAAATGAGTTTTTTACACTTTTTAAAAGTGAAAGTTGAGCGGAAGATTTGTAATGTATTTTGCACTGAAAATCTTCCACTCAACTTCCATTTTAAAAATGTGTCAAAATGACTTAAAATCACGTTTTTTAGACTTTTTAAGTTTCAGCCCGTCCCGGCCCAGCCCTGCCCAACACAAATTTAAAAAAACAGGGCCGAGCCAGCCCTTGTGAACCCGGGAACTAGGGTCGAAACCACAGCCCGACCTTCGAAAGATTTGGGCCCACAGGTTGAGGCCGACCCAACTACCAACGAAGGGGTGAGAAAAAAGTCCCCCCCCCCAGAAAAAAAAATTTTGAAAAAAGTTGAACGTGGTCCCCCCCCCCTGTGGATTTTTTGGAAAAAAAATTCGCAAAAAAAAATATTTTAGATTTTCAAACACCACCCGTTTCAATTTTAGCTCAAGCCCAAACCGGGCCGTTTCTCACGGCCGTTCCCCAAGTCTACCCTCAACTTTTAACCTAAAAAAGCAGGGAAAAAATTAAAAATCAAAGAAAGTTCGCGCATTTTAAACGTTAAAAGGCCGCCATTTGATAGAAAGAAAATAAACAAAAAAAGGAGAGGTGGAGGGGAAAAAACAGTGCACATATGGTGAAGATAAAACACTTAAATACCCATTTTTAAATATATATCTATAATGAGCATCAATGTTAACTTACATCTATAACTGATCCTTCATTTTTTGTAGTAAAAGAGTAAAATAAATCCATATTATTAAACACATTGCTGATACACAAGTTATAAGTTGTCATTTAACACCTCCGCCAAGACCATTACTTCTGCCAGTTTACTTCCAAATTCGTGATGGTTTTGTAGTCGGGCTTAATTAACAAATCGTAGATTCTTAATTCTTCATTGTACTTCACATTGAAGTGACTTTTCTGTTCTAAAAATTTTAAAAAATTATTATACATGCATTAAAAATAGCAATTATTCTTGATAATATTATATTATACGATTAAGATTGTTAGCTATTAAAAATAAATAGAAAATACAAAACAATAGGCTTGAGTTTGTTTGAAAATTGCAAAAACTTTGTTTACAAATCATAAAATAACCTTAGGTTACCAAAAATGACAAATTTTAGAAAGTGGAAGTTGAGTGGAAGATTTGTAATGTATTTTGCAGTGAAAATCTTCCACTCAACTTCCATTTTTAGAATGTCTTAGAATGACCTAAAAACGACTTTTTGACACTTTTTAGAAGTGGAATTTAGGTGGAAGATTTGTAATGTATTTTCCACTGAAAATCTTCCACTTGACTTCCACTTCTAAAAATGCTCAAAAAGTTATTTTTAGGACATTTTAAGACTTTTTTAAAATCGAAGTTTGGCGGAAGATTTTCAGTGCAAAATACATTACAAATCTTCCACTCAACTTTCGCTTTAAAAGAGCCATAGATAACATTTTTTCTTCACTTTTCAACAAAGCAAGATTCAAAAACAAATTAGTTAAAACTTACATCATTTTTAATTAAATAACTACGAGTTGATTTGTATACTCAAACTTGTTTGTTAATTTAGTTATCATGTATAAATAAGTCTCCAAAACAAACATTATACAAAACCTTTAGAAATAGAAAGAACAACTCAACTTGACAATAGGTTCTACATTTTTTAACTGAAGAGTTCTAGCTCAATCAACTATAAATAGAGCAAAAGTGTAGACAAATCTGTTTGCACACAAATCTCTAAAGTTATACCAAGAGGGAAGGGTAAATTAATAAAACTGACATTTCGCACAAAAAAACCGGTATGTTGATCATTTATCTTTATGTAGTATATCCTATAAATGACTCTATTTTCCTCGAGGGTTGATTTAAAATTTGAAGTTTGTGTTAGAACATAGGCTAGGGCTTAGCTTAATGTGTAAGCTAGAGATTTGGCTAGCGCTTCGGCTAAAACTAAAGATTAAGACAAATTAGTCTTGGATTGAGTAGGCTAAGACTAATGATAGTCTTCCTTTCAATACAACTCTATTGAAATTTTTTGACTAGTATCAGGTTAGTGGGGCTGTGAAAATTGATCTTAAGTAAGGTCTTGGGCTAACATTTTTTACTAGCCTGTACTTTAAAGAAGATTAATGTAAAATTAAGACCAGGCAAGGAGTAGCCTTAACCGTAAAGCAGTTTATGCTACAGTAGGGCACAGCTGGGAGATGGCAAAATCAAAAAAAAGCAGGTTAAGGTAAAGCTAGGACTAGAGATCGAGCTACGACTAGGGGCTTACGTTAAGGGTGAACTAAGGCTAAGGCTAGGTCTAGAACTAAAACTTAGGCTTAAGCTTTGACTAGAGCTAAGGTTAAAAATTAGATTAGGACATAAGGCTAGACTTAAGCTAGACTTTAGGGCTAGTGTTATTGCTAGGGCTAAAGCTAGGGCTAGGGCTAGAGCTAGGGCTAGGGCTAGGGCTAAGGCTAGGGCTAGGGCTAGGGCTAGGGCTAGGGCTAGGGCTAGGGCTAGGGCTAGGGCTAGGGCTAGGGCTAGGGCTAGGGCTAGGGCTAGGGCTAGGGCTAGGGCTAGGGCTAGGGCTAGGGCTAGGGCTAGGGGCTAGGGCTAGGGCTAGGGCTAGGGCTAGGGCTAGGGCTAGGGCTAGGGCTAGGGCTAGGGCTAGGGCTAGGGCTAGGGCTAGGGCTAGGGCTAGGGCTAGGGCTAGGGCTAGGGCTAGGGCTAGGGCTAGGGCTAGGGCTAGGGCTAGGGCTAGGGCTAGGGCTAGGGCTAGGGCTCTGAACTAGGTCTCTGGGCTAAGGCTCTGGGCTAGGGCTATTCTAATAGTAGTTATCATTTATTAATCAGTATAGTATCATGTTGTATAAAGTAATTATGAATATCATATCAGCCATGTTAATCATCAATAGTTGATAGGAGTCCCATTTCTGTCCATATATCGACCGGTATCGGCGCGCGAAGTCAAAGCGATGGTCTTCAGTACTCCGACCGCCGCTTCTTCCATTGGACTTTGGCTTTCCGGCCCACAAACCGAGGCCTTGATCCAGCCGGGGGCTATGTTAAGGTAGACAATATTGCTCTCCCTTTCGTCGCCGGCTATCGACCGACTCAGGTGGTTTAGTGCGGCCTAAAATTTTGAATTTTTGAAAAGTTGTTTATAAATGGCATTTTTATTTTAAGTTTTTAAAATTTTAAAAATTTTTAGCGACATTTTATACGATGAAACATGTTAACGTGTTTGGTCGTATAACATGTCAATTTTAAAAACTAAAAATTAAAAAATTAAGTTTAAACGTTATTTTCATTCTACTTTTTGTAGTATAAAAAAATTTGTTTATTTGAGACATGTTATACGATGAAACGTGTTTTTAGTATGATAGTAAGTACATGTTTCATCGTATAACATGTCAATTTTAAAAACCAAAAATCAAAAAATTAGGTTTCAAACGTCATTTCTAGTCTATTTTCTTTGTTTTTAAAAGTTTTTGTTTAAAGGTGACATGTTATACGATGAAAAATGTTTTTAACTGTGAGTGCATGTTTCATCGTATAACATGTCACTTCTTTCTTAATTAGCCCTAGAATACGGCTGAAAATAAAATTTTTATTTAAATCACATACCAAGCTCATGCCAAACGCCACATTTTTGTCAGTCCAAGGCATGGTTCCAAAGTTATTGGAGATCGAAGCCAGCGGCGAGCTGACATTAACCACCCGAGCTGGCTCGCCACCTTTGGCCGCCTTGTGAATGAGCTTGGAGAAGGCCTGAAAGTGTAAAATACGATGAACCAAGCTTTTTGGCTTTATTGCTGTAAGTATATGACATACCGAAGTGACACAGAGGGTACCAACAGCATTGACCTCGAAGTGCTTGAGGATGGTATCTCGGCGGGGCGTGGTGAAGGTACCGCCCTCGCTCTTCTCGAAAATGATGGCGTTGTTGATTAGCAAGTTCAAACAGCCGTCTTGAGTAGCCTGGACTACCTTTTCCACGGCATGTTGAATACTCGAGTCTCTCAGCACGTCCAGCTCGATTACTGTAACTTTTGGGTTGTCTTTGGCAAAGGATACTAAGTCCTGAAACAGACTTATTTTGATGATGCTTGTTTCGGTATGGTATTGTTTAGTACTTTGGTCGTAGAGAAATTTTAGAGCAGGAGATATGATTTGAGGTTAGGCGAGGGCTTAAGTTAGGGCTTAAACTAGCGCTAAAGCTTAAAACAATAACTATAATTTGAGCCTGGTCTAGGGTTTAGGCTTAGGCTTAGGATTAGGATTAGGCTTAGGCTTAGGCTTAGGCTTAGGCTTAGGCTTAAGCTTAGGCTTAGGCTTAGGCTTAAGCTTAAGCTTAGGCTTAGGCTTAGGCTTAGGCTTAGGCTTAGGCTTAGGCTTAGGCTTAGGCTTAGGCTTAGGCTTAGGCTTAGGCTTAGGCTTAGGCTTAGGCTTAGGCTTAGGCTTGGGCTTAGGCTTAGGCTTAGGTTTAGTGTCAAGTTCGGCGAAGGAAAGGGCTAGCTTACCTTGCTAGCCTTTTCATTGTAACAGCAAGCGAAGATGTGTTTGACGTCGAACTGTTTGCTCAAGTACTCAACCATTCCGTATCCGATGCCACTTTCAGCACCAGTAATTAAGATGTTGGAGCCCAGCATCGACGTTCCTCCCATCATTACCACGCCCTTCATGGGCGTGTTACTGTTCATGTTGTTCACCATGACCGGCTTCCGGTCACTTGATGACTTTCGTTGAGGCTCCGGAGAGCCTGGCCGGAACTTTGGCTGGGGCTCTGAAAGAAAGGTTACTGTAGTTGAAAATGGTTTGTAAAGAAAGTTCTTGCAATTTTCTGTATTGTAAAGAAAGTTCTTGCAAAACCACTTACCATCACAACTCCTAGTCTTGTCCTTGTCCAAACCGACTGGACTGGCAGACTTCCCCAGCGCTGTCACTTTCTCTACCAACTCCGACACTACAGTACTCCCAGGCATCAGTAGACGTTGCAATTACTGTCATAATGCCATTTACTGCGCGGTTTTATAGCCGAGGTAAGTGAATTAGACTAAAATAATTGGATTTCAGGTTAAGAAACTAACCGAATTGGCTGTGGAAGAAAGTGGCAGTAATTTGATTTAAAGGCTTATAGGTAATGGTACTGAAAAGGTAATTTTTAGCCGTTACTAGTACTATAAATGCCATTTTTTAATAGGATTAGTACATGAAAATGACGTTTTTTACAAATTTTAGTATTTGAAACACTATTCATATACCAAAACATCCAATTTCAGCAAATTTAAAAAGTGGAAGTTGAGTGGAAGCTTTTTTAACTTCCATTTTTAAAATGTCTTAAAATGGCCTAAAAATGACTTTTTTGACACTTTTAAAAAGTGGAAGTTTGGTGGAAGATTTTTAGTGCAAAATACATTACAGTTCTTCCACTCAGCTTCCACTTTGTACTACAGAACGTTTTTTGTTTTTTAAGTAAACTTTAGGCAAACTAATGCCTTATTTATATCTAAAGTATCTTAATTTGTCGATCTGTTGTTTGTGCTACGCGTTGAAGTGTAATGTACAAACTACTACGCTCATATAGTAATGTATAATGTAATATTATAACTACCGTAAAAACCGGTCGACTTTTAGTTTTTAATTCACCAAACTTTTTACGTTTTTAGCTTGAGAAATGGCACTTCAACGTGACCAAATCACATTATGTCTCGGATAATGGCGGTAATGGGGTTAATGTCCTTACAACACACTTTCCAACCAAACAATAATAGCATTACGTACTTGGGCTGCACCTGTCGGTAGTATAATATTGTGGTTTTGAGATTGAACCTTGACCCTACCCTACCCTACCCTACCCTACCCTACCCTACCCTACCCTACCCTACCCTACCCTACCCTACCCTACCCTACCCTACCCTACCCTACTCTACCCTACCCTACCCTACCCTACTCTACCCTACCCTATTCTACCCTACCCTACCCTACCCTACCCTACCCTACCCTACCCTACCCTACTCTACCGTAATCTAGTCCAGTCCAGCAAAGTCCAGCCAAGCCCAGTCATGCCTAGCTAAGCCCAGCCCTGCTTAGCCTAGTTCAGCCAAGTCCAGCCAAGCCCAGCCACGCCCAATTACGCCCAGTTAAACCCAGCCCAGCCCAGCCAAGCCCATCCAAGCTTAGTCAAGCCAAGCCTAGACAAGCCCAGCCCAACCCAGCTTAGCGAAGCTCAACGTAGCTTAGTCCCACCCAGCTCAGCCAGCCAAGCCTTGCTAAACTCAACCCAATCCAGCCTTGCCTTGCCCTGCCAAGCTTAGACCTGGCTTACCCTACCCTACATTACCACGCCTTGCCTTATCCACCCCTATTTTATTGTAATCTATTCTGCTCTGCCCCGTTTAGCCTTGCCCTGTTGTGCCTTGCTCTGCTCCGTTCTATTACAATCTACCCTACTTTTTTTACTCTACCCTACCTACCCTTGTAAACAAAGTTTCAGCCGTTTTTGTATTCTGTGCAAAAGTTCTTCCCCCCCCCCCTTTAAAGATAAGCGGATTAAGATAAAGGTATTAATCAACAATTTGTTATCAGTTCCTACAAACAATATTGTAGATACCACATGGAAAGAACCAACAAAGAAACAAGAAGAGTCAGCCGGCTGCAACGACATTTCCAAAATAATCAAAGAAAAGAGGATTTTGGGCAAAATTGATTAAAAATGCAATTTTTTAATTTTACGGTACTTATAGTACTAGTAAAATTGCATATAGTACCAAAAATGGTACTTTAAAAAGTGAAAGTTGAGTGAAAAACTTTTAATAGTCGAAAAATGTTTTCATGACATTCTGAGCGGTAAAATGCCATTACTTATCGCTTTTTATCAAAAAAGGCCAAATTTAAGAAGTTTCGAAAAGTGGAAGTTGAGTGAAAGATTTATAATGTATTTTGCACTGAAAATCTTCCACTCAACTTCCATTTAGAAAGGCGTAAAATAGCCTGAAAATGAGTTCTTGACACTTTTTAGAAGTAGAATTTATGTGGAAGATTTTCAGTGTATAATACATTACAAATCTTTCACTCGACTTCCATTTTAGTTTTTTTTTTGCTTAAACTTCAAATTTTAACAAAACCTTATTGGTGCATAAACTTTGATGACAAAAAAGATGGAATGTGGCTTGTGTATTCAAACTTGAGAAGTTTTTTACTTATCAGTTAAGTTCTTATCTTGTTTATATAAAAGGGCTTAACCAGTAATGACACTGTGCCTTTTTTTGTGCTTTTGTCCTGAGGCTATTGGGGGTTAAACTGGTGCAATTGAAGGCTTTTGAAGTTTTTAAAGGTTTTAAATTTCAAATATCAAAAAAAAATTTTTTGAAATTTTTTGATTTTTTAGGTTACTGTAACACCTAAAGGCTACTACAATATAAACTGGAAAAAAATTGAACTCGTATTTTACATCGAATTTTTACTACTCCAACACCTCGCAAAACCTAATCTAACAACTATAAGCCACTACCTACCCTCTTCTCACAGTAACTATGAACTACCGTAACCTTCTACTACTAACCCTTCTCACCGTAGTAGCAGCCAAAACTGTCAAGAATGGCAATACCTACAAAGTGAAAAAAGAAAAATCAGAGCCAAGGCTATGGCTAGGCCAATACCTTCGTATCATGACGTTCAATACCTGGAATATGGGGGTCTATATTAATGATGGTCTAGAGAAGATAGCCAAACATATTGCACTGAATGACCCGGATGTGGTTGGTTTGCAAGTAAGAAGTTTTGATCAAAAATGGCATTTTCATACCTAAAAAATGTTTAAAATTTTTCAAAATTTGTTGAAAAACGTTCTTTAGACGATTTTGAAACGTTTGAAAAATTGGAAGATTAGTGGAAAATTTGTAATGTAATTTCCACTGAAAATCTTCCACCGAACTTCCACATCTAAAATGTCTTAAAAATGCGTTTTTAAGCCATTTTAAGCATTTTTAGAAGTGGAAGTCAAGTGGAAGATTTTCAGTGCAATATACATTGAAAATCTTCCACCAAACTTCCACTTCCAAAAAGTGTTAAAAACTCATTTTTAAGCGTTTTTAAGACATTTGGAAAATAGAAGTTGAGTGGAAGATTTTCAGTGCAAAATACATTACAAATCTCCCACTCAAATTCCACTTTTTCAAACTTTGTAATTAGATACTTTTTGACCATTCTTATAAAATAAAATGATTTTATTAATCAAGTTAGTGTAAAATACGTCATCTTATGTTTTGTTACATTGCAGGAAGTCAGAAGTCGAGAACAAATTGAATCCGTAACCAAGTTTTTGAATCGAGATCGCCGCTACAAATGGTCTTACATCTTTGATGACGGACATGATTGTGGTGTTATTACTAAATACTCGGTATGTTTATATATGTGTAGGAAGCTAAAGTTAATGCTAAAACAGGGACTGGGGCTGGGCTGGGCTGGCTGGACTGGGCTGGGCTAGGCTGGATTGGGCTGGGCTGGACAGAGTTTTTCTGGGCTGGTTTGGTTTGCTCTATACTGAACTGAACTAAGCTGGGCTGTGATCTGGGGAATTGAGTTAGGATCTGCTTGTCTGGGCTTGGCTGGGCTTGGCTTGGTTTGGCTTAGCTTAGCTTAGCTTAGCTTAGCTTAGCTTAGCTTAGCTTAGCTTATCTTAGCTTAGCTTGGCTTTGCTTGGCTTGGCTTGGCTTGGCTTGGCTTGGCTTGGCTGGGCTTGGCTTGGCTTGGCTGGGCTGGGCTGGGCTGGGCTGGGCTGGGCTGGGCTTGGCTAGGCTTGGTTTGGCTTGGCCGGGCTGGGCTGGGCTTGTTGGGCTGGGTTGAGCTTGGCTTGGCTGGATTTGACTTAGCTAGTAAATTTATAACAAGAACTTTCTTTCCAGTTCAACGAGACTTCGCTAACCACCCTATATGCTGGCATTGGAGTTCAAGTGAACATTGACAATAAAAGGAAAGTGTTCATCTGGTCGTTACACATGGACTACATTGATTACGGACCATATGCTATGATGTACCGTCAGACCAAGGACATTAGTACTGTCGAGTACGGCGAGTGTCATGCTTGGTGGAGTACGTAAATTGAAAAATATTTGTAAAATACTGGCTGGGCTGGACTGGGCTGTCCTACTTTTTTAGTTGTTCAAATAATGCTGAGCCCCTAATCCAACAAATTTTCTTCGTGAAGTAGCTCAGACTTTTTTGAACAACCGAAAATAATAGCTGACTTGAGCTGTTGGCTTGTTCAAAAAATCTGAGCCACCAACCCTACTAATCTGCTTTAACAAGTAGCTCAGAATTATTTGAACAACTAAATATTACTATCTACTACTTAAAAAACAAAACAACTTTCTTTCCAGACCGCTGCAACAACGCCAAAGAGCTGATCAACAGTGAGCCATTCAAATCAGCCTTGGCTAGATCTGATACTGAACCAGTATTTGTGGTCGGCGACTTCAACGCTCCTTCTCATCTCGACTACACTGAGGAGGCTAAGTAAGATTTTTTTTAAATTTTGAAAAAATGATTACGAAATCCCTTTTTTATCGTTTTAAAGTAAAAAAAGAACATTTTTCTTGTTTTCCATTGATAAACAGCCAAATTTGCAAGATTTTTAAAATTGGAAGTTGAGTGGAAGATTTGTAACGTAATTTGCACTGAAAATCTTCCACCCAACCTTCATTTTTAAAATGGCTTAAAATGGCCTAAGAACACGTTTTTGAGCATTTTTGGAAGTGGAATGTCGAATATTCCGATTAAAATATTCGGATAAAACAATATAAAGAGCAACTGAAATAGATAAGAAACTGATCGAGATTAAGGCTTTGAGAGAAGGAGCCCCGGTAGCTTAATAGGTAGAGCATTCGTCCGGTAAACGAAGGATGCAGGGTTCGACTCCTGCCTGGGCCACTTTTTCCCTCATAGTCTGATATCTCTTTAAAATTCTACAGGAAGTTGAGTGGAAGATTTGCAATGTATTTTGCACTGAAAATCTTTCACTTTACTTCCACTTCCAAAAAGTGTTAAAAAGTCATTTTTAAGTCATTATAAGACATTTTGAAAATGGAAGTTAAGTGGAAGATTTTCAGTGCAAAATACATTACAAATATTCCACTGAACTTCCATTTTTTATTTATTGTCATTAAGCCTTTTTTATGACCAGACACAATAAAAAAATCAACTTTTTAATTAAAAAATCTTGGTCAAAAACCTTTAAAAGTGCAAACACACCCTACTCATTAATCTTCAGACACATTCACAACGGCTGGGTATACGCCTGGCCTGGCACTTCAATTCTTCAAAATACGACCGGTCTTATTGACTCATTCCGCGAACTCTACCCGGATCCAGTGAAATACCCTGGCACTTCATGGTCTACAGTCAACCAGTTCATTGGTGGATGGAACTACACTATTCCTGAGCCTCAGGACCGTATCGACTATATCATGTACAAGTCTGGTGGACTGAAGACAGTCCGAAGTGAACGGTACGCTGGGGACTATAAGCCGTACCCGAATTCTGTTGATGATAATGATTGGCCTTCGGATCACTTTGCTTATATTTCTGATTTTAAGGGATTCTAGGTCTTAGTATAGTTCTAAGACTAGACTAGGCTTAGGCTTATGTTTATAATAGTACTGCTTGAAAATAAACCTGTACATTATTATTGCAAGAACTTTCTTTACAAAACACAAAATGACTAAAAATGCCCTAATAGGCCTCTTCTAGCTAAAACAACACCTAAAAACTTATGTTTGATAAGTGAAAGTTGAGTGGAAGATTTGTAATGTATTTTGCACTGAAAAACTTCCACTCAACTTCCATTTTCAAAACCTCTTAAAATGGCTTAAAAACAAGTTTTTGGCACTTTTATGTTATGTCGAAATAATGCAATTTATTTAAAATGTCATGTCAAGTGTCACACAATGTAAACCAAACATCCTACAGCTAAAACAACATTAAAATAACGCAAAAATGATCAAATTTGTATTGTTTCAGCTGTCATCAATAATATAACTTGTTTTCAAATCAAATTCAACAAGCTGAACAAATTGTCAAAACGTTCAAACGGCCCAAAATCCTAAAAAACGTCATCCTCAAATCTCTCAAATTAGGTATAAAAGCTCAATCTCATCCCTCAACTACATCATTCAGTTGTTGGGTGTCTAAAACAAAATGAAATTCTTCGCCGTTCTGTTGTGCATCGTTCTGTGCGTCGCCGTGCTCGAGGCCAAGTTCACCGGAAAGCCACACCACTTCACCGGCCACCCCCACCACCACTCCGGCCACCACTCCGGTCACCACTCCGGTCACCACCCACACCACTCTGGCTCCGGCCACCCACGCCCACCACGCAGCCCAAAACACCACAAGTTCACCGGCCGCCCACACTTCACCGGCCACCCCCACCACAAACACACCACCCCCCAATAAGGCGGTAGCGCATCGTGTTGGATTCTGAATTATTTGATAATGTGAATTTTGTTTTGTCATCGGAATAAAATTTTGCGTTTATTAGAAGAGTTATTGTTACTAAATAATGCAATAAGATCAATAAAAACAAGATACAAGATAAACCCTATTTAGTTTATCCTGCTTCTTGAGCAACCGAGTTGTAATGGGGTCACTCTCATGACTTCAGATTATAATCGAAAGTCTGTCTAGTCTAAACAAACGATTTGCCATAGTCCACGAGTACTTAGCACTACCCATTCATTTGTATCTTACTACGGTGCAGTTGGTCGAACCTGAGTCCGGTGGTTTATTGGTCAGAGTGGAACAACCATAACAACTGCAAAGCCTAAACTGTCGGTTTATCGTGGGGTGATTTGTAGTGTGGACGACGGCTAACGTGTCCTGCATTGGTAGCGCAGTGGCTGTGGCGCCGCTCGCTATTCGGAAGGACCTTGGTTCGACCCCACGCCCGCCCAACTCAGGCGCCTTGATGAATGGGTAGTGCTGAGTGCACGGAGACTAGGCACAACTATACTTGACCTACACGACTATATGATTGAACGCCAGAAGTCTTATGGAGCACCTCACTTACAACTCAGTGACGCGAGGAACAGTGAAATACCTGGGGAGAGGCCCAATTATAGGAAACGTCAGACTCAAGAATAGCTTTGTTGGTCTTCATCTGAACCTTGAACATCTTTGCGCATAAGCACAGTACGTTACAATCTACGGCATCAAACTACTAATCTAATTTGTATCTCCCAAATTGTAATGGTAGACGCTTGAAGAATGTAAAGTAAGTAAAAATTGTTGAAGACCATCAAAGATATTTATACGATAATGTAGTAAAATTAATATAAGATAAAAGGAAACTGTTATTAATAGTATAAGGAAAACGAGCGTTAAATGTGAGACTGAAGCTAGAGCAAAAGTAAAACAAATATTATGTTAAAACAAGGCTTTTCTGACATCAAAATTTATATTATAGTTTATTCAAACAACTTTAAACAACTCCAACAGCCTAAACTGTCGACTTATTGTGGGGTGGTGTGTTTGTGGTGTGGACGACGGCTAACGTGTCCTGGGCTGCGTGGTGGACGTGGGTGGCCAGAGCCGGAGTGGTGTGGGTGGTGTGGTGGGTGGCCGGAGTGGTGACCGGTGTGGTGTGGGTGGTGCGGTGGGTGTCCGGAGCCAGAGTGGGGTGGGTGACCAGAGTGGTGACCAGAGTGGTGACCAGAGTGATGGTGAGGATGCCCAGTGAAATGATGTGGGTGGTGTGGTGGATGACCGGAGTGATGTCCGGAGTGGTGGTGAGGATGGTGTGGTGGATGGCTTGGGTGGTGAGGCTTTCCGGTAAAGTTCTTGGCTTCAAGGGCAACGACGAACAACACAATACACAATAGAGCGGCAGTGAATTTCATTTTGGTAGGGTTAGAGACACCCAACAACTGAATGATAGTTTTGGATGAGAATGTTGAGCTTTTATACTGACTTTGGGGTCATAATGAGAAACTTTTTTATCTAGTCCGCCTTGTTTGGCCTACAAAATTGTTAGTACTTTAATTTTTTTGCCCTACAAACTTCAATTTTAGTCTCTTCCCACTCTTTTTGGTATAATTTTCAACCAAAACGGTTGAGTACACGGAAATTAGTTTGCAATTTTTCAATTTGCTCATCTTGTTTTAGGTCTATGAGAAGGAAATATGACGACAACGCATCTATACCAATATCAAACTCGGCCGTTTTTGCAAATTGACAATGTTATATCAAACGTTCTTGACTGACAATGTTATATCAAGCGTAGTTGGATGACAATGTTTATACAGCTGGTTGTGAAATGACTCTTTCATTGCAGCTGGTTGTGGACCAACAGTTTTGACAAAGCTCTCTATGTTTTACATCGTGTGACACTTGACATGACGTCTCAAACCAGAAATAGTACACGTTCCAACTGTCAAAAAAAGGTGTGCAAATTGCAAACTTGCAAACAGACTTCCGTATCCTCAATTTTGTAGGCCAAACAAGGCAGACTAAATTAAAAAAGTTTCTCATTATGACCTCAAAGTCAGTATAAAAGCTCAACATCCCCATCTAAAACCATCATTCAGTTGTTGGGTGTCTCAACTAACCTACAAAAATGAAATTCACTGCCGCTCTATTGTGCATTGTGTTGTTCGTCGTTGCCCTTGAAGCCAAGAACTTCACCGGAAAGCCACACCATCCTCATCACCACTCCGGACATCACTCTGGTCATCCACCACACCACCCACATCACTTCACCGGCCATCCCCACCATCACTCGGGCCATCATTCTGGTCACCCACACCACTCCGGCCACCACTCCGGTCACCCGCCACACCACCCACACCACTCCGGCTCCGGCCACCCACGTCCACCACGCAGCCCAGGACACGTTAGCCGTCGTCCACACCACAAACACACCACCCCACAATAAGTCGACGGTTTAGGCTGTTGGAGTTGTTTAAAGTTGTTTGAATAAACTATAATATAAATTTTGATGTCAGAAAAGCCTTGTTTTAACATAATATTTGTTTTACTTTTGCTCTAGCTTCAGTCTCACATTTAACGCTCGTTTTCCTTATACTATTAATAACAGTTTCCTTTTATCTTATATTAATTTTACTACATTATCGTATAAATATCTTTGGTCTTCAACAATTTTTACTTACTTTACATTCTTCAAGCGTCTACCATTACAATTTGGGAGATACAGATTAGATTAGTAGTTTGATGCCGTAGATTGTAACGTACTGTGCTTATGTGCAAAGATGTTCAAGGTTCAGATGAAGACCAACGGAGCAATCCTTGAGTTTGATTTTTCCCATAATTGGGCCTCTCCCCAGGCATTTCACTGTTCCTCGCGTCACTGAGTCGTGGGTAAGGTGCTCCATAAGACTTCTGGCGTTCAATCATATAGTCGTGTAGGTCAAGTATAGTTGTGCCTAGTCTCCGTGCACTCAGCACTACCCATTCATCAAGGCGCCTGAGTTGGGCGGGCGTGGGGTCGAACCAAGGTCCTTCCGAATAGCGAGCGGCGCCACAGCCACTGCGCTACCAATGCAGGACACGTTAGCCGTCGTCCACACTACAAATCACCCCACGATAAACCGACAGTTTAGGCTTTGCAGTTGTTATGGTTGTTCCACTCTGACCAATAAACCACCGGACTCAGGTTCGACCAACTGCACCGTAGTAAGATACAAATGAATGGGTAGTGCTAAGTACTCGTGGACTATGGCAAATCGTTTGTTTAGACTAGACAGACTTTCGATTATAATCTGAAGTCATGAGAGTGACCCCATTACAACTCGGTTGCTCAAGAAGCAGGATAAACTAAATAGGGTTTATCTTGTATCTTGTTTTTATTGATCTTATTGCATTATTTAGTAACAATAACTCTTCTAATAAACGCAAAATTTTATTCCGATGACAAAACAAAATTCACATTATCAAATAATTCAGAATCCAACACGATGCGCTACCGCCTTATTGGGGGGTGGTGTGTTTGTGGTGGGGGTGGCCGGTGAAGTGTGGGCGGCCGGTGAACTTGTGGTGTTTTGGGCTGCGTGGTGGGCGTGGGTGGCCGGAGCCAGAGTGGTGTGGGTGGTGACCGGAGTGGTGACCGGAGTGGTGGCCGGAGTGGTGGTGGGGGTGGCCGGTGAAGTGGTGTGGCTTTCCGGTGAACTTGGCCTCGAGCACGGCGACGCACAGAACGATGCACAACAGAACGGCGAAGAATTTCATTTTGTTTTAGACACCCAACAACTGAATGATGATGTTGGGGGATGAGGTTGGGCTTTTATACCTAATTTGAAGGGTATGACAATAATTTTTTTTTGGAAGTTTGGGATGTTTGAACGTTTTGACAATTTGTACAGCTTGTAATAAGGACAAACTTTGTGTCCAAGTTGTCTTTTTTTAATGACACGGAAGTCCGTTTGTAATTTGGCGATTTGTTCACCTTGTTTTAGATGTTTTAGGCTAAAACAATGATGTAAGAACATCTAAATCAACAAACAATGAAAGAGAAAGCCTATCAATTGGTTTTGTGTTATATGTTTTTGGTTTGTACTATGTGTAACACAATTTGGAAAAAGGTGAAATGTTATACAAAAAGTTTGAAATTTTGAATAAAAAACACTTTTTGTCGTATAACATGTCCCCATTTAAAAACTACCGTCAGTAAGACAAGAGTCCGTATTTTAGAATCCACCTCGATCATATTCAACAAGATTTATTTGATATCATGTAACAATTTGCCTAATTTCAAACATTTCCGATCCTTTAGGTAACCAGCGATCAGTTGCATTCCAATTGGCAGTCCATTAGAACACTGACCAAATGGCACTGAAATGGCTGGTAGTCCACATAGATTGGCCGACTGAGTAAAAAAGTCATCTTTTCGTTTTTCGGCCAATGATTTCTTCAAATATTCACTGTATAATGGTGCTGAGTGGGAAGTGGATGGTACTAGTAGTGCATCCACATGGGTAAAGGCTGATTCAAAGTCTTTTTGCAAAAGTCTTCGGACTTTGGCTGCTTGGAGAAAGTAGTCACCGCGGTTTCTGAAAGGAAAATACAACTTAATGAAGATTTTAAAAAGTGGAAGTTTGGTAGAAGATTTGTAATGTATTTTGCACTGGAAATCTTCCATTCAACTTCCATTTTTAAAAAGTCTTTAAATAGTCTAAACGTTTTTAACACTTTTTGGGAGTGGAAGTTGAGTGAAAGATTTGTAATGTATTTTGCACTGAAAATCTTCCACCAAACTTTCGCTTCTAAAGATGTTTAAAAACGTGTTTTTAGGCCATTTTAAGACATTTTGAAAATGGAAGTTGGGTGGAAGATTTTCAGTGAAAAATACATTACAAATCTTCCACTCGAATTCCATTTTCCAAATTTTTCAAAAACGTCCCAGAATGCTTCAAAACGACTATATTTTGTAAAAACCCTGCAAAAACTTCTTTCCATTCCAAAACTCGACTTACTGCTTCAAATTAAAGTAATTTCCAGCGAATATTCTCCTTCTGACGACTTCGGCAAACCCCTCGGTCCGACTGTCACTGATCACCTCCTGATAACTGTTGCCCTGCCCTTTGTGGCCATAAAACACGGACTGATATCGGGCCATATTCGACTGTACGTCCGTTGCCGTCATGATATGATAGCAACCTAATGAATACGGTGAGTGAGGTAGGCTGACTTCTTTTACCTGACAACTGGCTGTCTTTAGCTTTTCTATTGTTTCTTGCCAAGCTTTTAGAGCGTCTTGGCTTATGTAATCGTTGTGAAACTCTTTTGGAATTCCGATTTTTATATTTTTCAGGGATTCTACTTCATCGTCAGCGGATTCTGAAGGCAAGTCTAGTGTCGTCAGGTCGTTTTCATCTTTTCCCAGACACATTTCTGAAAAATATGTAATAAATTAAAGATGGGGAAGCACGTATTTTACCTTTTTACCCATTTTTAAACCTATTTTTGACAGGATTGACGTTTCCGAAGAGGAAGACAAGTTATACGATCAAACATGTTTCACCGTATAACTTGTCGCTTCTACAAAAAATACACAAAAACCCACCAAAATACTTCATAGCATCCACAGCTGAATGCGTAAAAAATGAAGGAGTATCAAAGGCATTACAGAGTGGTACCAGCCCATGCCGACTCATCAGACCGTACGATGGTTTGAAGCCGAATACTCCGCAAAATGAAGCCGGATTTCGGGTTGATCCACCTGTGTCACTTCCTATTGATCTGAAAATTCATATTCTTCATCACAGGCTCTTTAGTTGCTAGAACTTTCTTTACAGAGTTTTTTCACTTTTTCTGGCTTTTGGGGTCAGCTGAAGTAGGGTTCGCAAAAAAGGCCATAACTTTTTTGACAAAGATCGAAAAAATGTGAAATTTAACAGAAGCATGTAAAATACGTTCGTTTGTTCAAAAATTAAGTTTTAATAAACTTCCTCATAAGTTATGACATGTCAAAGTTCAACTTCAAATCAGCCAAAACTGCAAAACACATATTTTTCAAAATGCCATAACTTGTTGTACAAACTTTGAAAAACCTTGAAATTTAAGCATGTAAAATACGTCAAATTGTCCAAAAATAAATTAATTTTACGTTTTAATAAACTTTGCCATAAGTTATGACACGTCAAGTTCAACTTCAAACCAGCCAAAATTTTGGAACAAACTTTGTTTAAAATGCCATAACTTTTTTTCCACTTTATCAAAAGTTACAAATCTACCATCAAAACGTGCACCATACTCTACTCTATCATCCTTAAGTAAACATCACAAAATATTTCAATGAAAACTCACACATCAGCCATTTCCAAACAGATAGCCACCGCCGAACCGCCGGAACTTCCTCCAGCGACTCGGAACTCTTTGTCGTTGCAAATCTCTCCCAATGGATTCTTAACAGCTCCAAAATGGGAGTTAATCGACGCTGATCCCATTCCAAACTCATCCATATTAGCCTTGCCTATTAGACATCCGCCTTGAGCGAATAGCCTCGAGGCTATGGTTGATGTATATGGAGCTATGTAGTTTTCCAACATTTTCGATGCACATGTCATGCGGACGTTCTCTACTCTGAAAATGGCTTGTAAAATACGGCGTTTGAAATTTGATTTTGTAATTTACAAAAGTTGTGTTGTATAATATAACCTATATAATATTACATGTTTCATTGTATAAATTGTCCTCTACAACAAGCTTAATATCAAACTCACGCAAAATTGTCTTTGATGACCACAGAGAATGGTTTGACCCCATTCTTGACATGTTCATCAGCTTGGGACTTGGCCAAATCAAAAGTTTCAGTGATTAAAGCTCGAAATTCGCGGTTTTTGGTCGCATTTTCGACCGCTTTGACAATATTACTGGTCATTTTCCGATCCAATACCTTGTTATCATCACTCTCCAGGGTTTTTGCTACAAACCAAAGCATAAAACTTTCTATAATATTTAAAATTGGCCACGATATGAGCAAAAATATTGGTCAATATCAAGATTTTTAGGCCAAAACTGCTATTTTTCTTCAACACAACGTTTTTTTGCAAATTTAAAGCTTTTAAAGTATGTATTGATCATAAATCACTAGTTTTTATCATTTTACATCTTCAGAGATCTTTTGTCGTTTATTTATAAAGTGGGAAGTAACAAATCTGTAACAGAGGTATGAACAATGATAATATAATAATTTATTGAGCGCTGATCTGCTTCTGATTCGAGAGGAAAGCGAAGGCACCTTTGTTGCATCTGTTCGCATAATGTCCTTTCTCTCCACACTGAAAATTTTTATATTATTGTTGGCATCAATTTTTTAAAATTTTTAAATTTATTATAAAAATTTAAATTTTTAACAATTTTTATTATCAATAATCTTTTTACACTACGTATTTTACACTTTAAAACAAAAAACAAGCAGTAAAAACCTAAAATATTTTAACGAAAACACCTTATATCATAGTAGGTATCAGATCTCAAACTTTTATATAAAATAATATTGTTTGTTCAAAAAACTGAATTTGCTACTATTAAATACATCAAATAGACCCTTTTTAACAATATCAAAGCAATTTGAACCCAAAATATAAGCAAATCTACCAAAAAAAGTAATTAATATTATAGTAGGTATTAACTCCTCAACCTTTGCTTATAACAAAATTTTTAGATCCAATATTAATCCGAATGTCATTTTATATCATTCACAACTCAAGTCTAACACTAGTTTACCAAAAACAACCCTGCCACTTTTGCCCTCCCATCCCTGACCAAAAAATTATATTACCCTACCTTGAAGCACACCACTTCCTGCAGCGTCTTTCTATCGCCATCACCGTTCGCCTGCAGCGCTTCCACAGCTTGCATTGAAGTTGTGTTCGGTAAATGTGGACAATGACCGGCTTTATGACCTCTTTCGTGACAATTATGACAAGTTATGGCTGTGTTGACCTTAAACGGTTGGCCTACTGACCGGTCGATTTGTGGAATTGCAAATGATGGATGCGCTAGTTTACATTCTGGACCTTTTGGACAAAAACCAGCAAGATATAATGGACATAAGACACGTCGTCGATGACGGTGTTTACAATATGGGCCTGGAATTAATATAAGAAATATCAACCATAACTTGGTGTTGTAGATTTTAAACTGCCATAAGTTAACTAAAATCATCAGTTATTACCTAAAAACATACCACCGAATCAGCAAAACACTTACCATGCCGACAAAACCCTCGGTCATACCACGGACAGTCCTTTATCTTGCTATCAGGATCAATATGTCTGAACGGACATTCCTTATTCGAACAAGCCACTAAAACACAGTTAAACCAAACTCAACATCAACTTACTGTATCGGGAAAAGAAGTAACATTCCGGCATCTTGCTTAGATCATATTCGTGCAAAAATTCACATTGATCTCCTTTTTTACACAGCCCACGAAGCCAATGTTTACATACAACTTGTTTATCACCAATTAGATGTCGTAGAGGGCATAACACGCCCAATGGGCAACTATTCGGGTCTCTACTGAATCTTATACATACTCCACGACCTGATTTATCCATTCCAGCAAAAGGTACCTAAAATTTTAGGGTTGAAGCAAGTTATGAGCGTTTTTCGACATATACTTCTATATTAACATAGGCATTGCCTAAATTCAAAAAACAGACAAAATACAGCAAAATTTACCGGCCGAGCTCCTCGCTGTTCGTTTATCATTATCTCAACATCCGTATACTCGTATATACAACCACCAATACGCTCATCCATCGTCAACGGCGGCCTAGTTCCGCCACCAGGCAGAGCTACAAACTCTGACTCTTCCATCCTTAATATCTAAAAAATATAACCTTTAAATAACAAATTACTATTCTAAAATCAAGCAAAATGATCTATGTTAATCTTTAAAGCTAAAAAACCTATAAATTCCAGCTGAAACGAGGTATAAAACATCAGTTTTATTAACTTACCTTTAGATCTCTATACCTATAACTCCTTTACTATTTTGTAGCATGAAAAGCTCACTAGAATCCTTACAACACTTTATAAAAGTACTGGTACAACTTTTCGAAGCTAAAAAAATAAAATTTCAGTTGCAGATGCTATAGAACGCCAAACAATCCTGAATTACCTTTCAAAACACACAAAAAATAATAAATAAGCCGCTGCAACCCGCGCCCACCGTAATTTTCGGTTCTGCAGCCCGCGCGCATATTATTTTATACGTTTTTTTTATTGATAAATAAGAACAAATTGCTGTCCGAAGAAGTTTGATACGTCCAAAAAGCCGGCTTAATGCTCAGAACTATATCAAAGCTTTAGTACAACATTGTGATAGGCAAAAATTTGCGTATTCTGCGGAATTTTGGCTGAAATCTTGTTGTTTTTCTTGTGATTTATGATTGAACTGTCGTTGCGATCCTTCCTCAGTGAATTCAATGGCTCGTAAGTTGACTTTGGGCTTGTTTTGATGTTTAGATATTGAAGAAGGCCAAAAATTATGATTTGAGTTTATATTCAAGCAAAGAAGTTGAAAAAAATGAGCTAGAATTATATTGTTTTAGAAAATTTGTGGTGTTCTTCTTCTTGCTCATCTTTTCCTTCCTCTGTGCGTTGAAACTGGACGAAACCTTGGATGTGAGCTGGATAATAATCTTTGGACCAATATGGTTTGGAGAATTTGTGGTTTTGATGGGGTTTTTCGTCGGAGTCGTCGCGTTTTGTTCACAACCACCATCTAGGTATGTTATTCTTCATATTTTTTTCAATTTTTAGATTACTCGTCGATCTCTAACTGATAAAATCTATTAGACTAGAGGTAAAATAACCTTTTTCTTTTAGATACGACAATGCCAGCCGAGTAGACTTTGTTTGTATGTGTTTAACCACTCTGGAACATCTATTTCTGATAGCATTCGAAGTGTTATGTGTATACAAACTAGAGTTCGCGCAGGACGACAAGGAGTTCACCTGGAGTTTAGTATGTCTACCATTGTTTATTGAGAGTATTGTGGCTATGATAACGGCCGTGTGGTCAGTTAGAAACGACAAAACCTTCGAATTTGAGATGTTCTTCGCCATTAACGTAGTTCAATTTGTTTTCATCGCTTTTAAACTTGACGACACGTTGAGATGGAACTGGGTGGTGGTGTTTGTACCTACTTGGGTGTTATTCTCTCTCGGAGTCATTGGAACGTTGTATTCTCTATTGCTTTCGGTGTTTTTGACCCGATCTCTTCATGCTCTACAACAACATCGAAGAGCTCAAGTAAGAACGGTTTAAATTTATTGTGTTTGGGTATTATACTAGCTGTGGAATCAAAACTCAATAAGGTTTTTACTTTTGGCTTTGAAAATATCAAGTTTAAGCCAATAACTTTTGTAGGTATACGTCTCAGCTTGCCATTTGATCCTCGCAGTGCCTTTGATCACCTTCTTTGTGTTATTAACAGCACGATTAGATGCTTTTAAGGGGATGACAGCTCTTCCACCATTACCTGCCCAAGTAATTACAACTCCACCTCCAATTTTGCAAAACATACCTACAGTACCAGGTATACCAACAGTGTTATCAGTACCATCTGGGCAGCTAGCTAGTGGTACTCAGTTTGGTACCGGTGCTTTTGGTAGTACTGGGGCTGTTAGTGGTTCTAATAGACTTGGTATTGATGGTCTTGATACTAACCGACTGGATGGTACAAACATGAAAAGCTCTGGACAAATTGGTACTAATGGTGTACTTGGGTCTAATTTGGGAAATAGTGGAGAGAAAATTGGAAATTATGGTACAACAGGCAATAGTGGTACTCTTGGTTCAGGCTCGGCGAAGAATTCGGAAACAATTGGTACTGATGGTCACCTACATAGTACAGGCAGCATGTCAGGCCAAATGAAGTCGATGAATGGCCATATCAACTCAATGAACGACCCTCTCAACACTATGAATGGCCAAATCTCAAGCTCAAGGTCCCATAGCACTAATATGATCGTTAGCCCGGGCCATCTAGCATCAATGCCCAGCACGCTAGCTATTCAGGCAGAACAACTCAGCTTCTTGGTCCTGTCAGTACCACTTTACAGTGCACTATTCTTACTAATTTTGATGACTTTTGGCTCACCCTCAGGCAATTCGTGGTGGTTTGGCATGAGAACACCCTTCTGTAACTTTATATTCGATGCCTTCCCCTTCCTAAGACAATATGCCAATATATCGTATCGGATTGGAGTGTCAGATCAACAGGTACAAAGGCCGAATGAAGAGAATAGCATCGGGTATAGTGGACCACCAAGAACGTTGAGCACGATCAGAATGACTACTCATCTGTGGAGCATTGAAACGCCGGATTAGGGGGTGTTTTGGGCTAGAAAAGACGAAAGAAAGCAACGTCCATTTTGAAAAAGTCTTAAAATGGCCTAAAAATGAGTTTTTGACACTTTTTGGAAGTGGAAGTTGGGTGGAAGATTCGTAATGTATTTTGCACTGAAAATCTTCCACCAAACTTCCACTTCTAAAAACGTTTAAAACCTTTTTTTAGCCCATTTTAAGACATTTTGAAAATGGAAGTTGGGAGGAAGATTTTCAGTCCAAAATACATTACAAATCTTCCACCCAACTTCCACTTTGATTTTTCGACCATAATTTTAAATTTAATGTAAATAACTATAAAAAATGTTGTATTTTGTCTTTTTCATACCATTTTTCCATTTTCTATGGGATTTTCCAACAGTATCAAGTTGTTGTATTTACGATATTATAGTAGCTTTACTCATCCGACATCTCTCATTGTACATTCTCTTTCAAACGTGTAACTATTGTAATTGGTGTTAAGTAATCTGGAGATTATAAATAGTGTAAATAAACTTTGATAAAAATATTTATTTGGGCGGATCTTTGAATTTGTTGATTTCAAAAATTTTACTTTTGGAGTTAATTACCGTATATTGGTGTTGACATGGTTGAAAAATGCATTTTCATGATGCTATGAGTCGTAAAATGGCATTATTTAGAATTTTTTATTGAGAAAAGGTCAGATTAGAGAAGTTTTGGAGGTGGAAGTTTGGTGGAAGATTTTTAGTGTAATTTGCACTGAAAATCTTCCACTGAACTTCCACACCCAAAATTCCTTAAAAACGTGTTTTTAGGCCATTTTAAGACTTTTTTGGAAATGGAACTTGAGTGGAAGATTCTCAGTGCAAAATACATTATAAATCTTCCACGCAACTTCCACTTTATTTTTTGTCATTAATTCTTTTATAAACTTTAAACATGGCCAAAACCGTTCTTTTAACAAACTATAAACTCAATAAAACCTCATTTTAAGCCCATATGAGTCCATAACGACTGGATGTTGGACTTTTACACACTATTCGCAATCGACCAGTCAGCGCCAGCTTCCGAAATCAAGTCAGCTTATCACAAGTTCTTGCTGAAGGTTCATCCCGACAAAAACTTGGACAAACCTCAAACGGAACAAGAGTACCGTGCTGTGAATCTTGCTCAACAGGCTTATAGCACTTTGAGGTAATTTTTTTTTCATTTTTGGGAAAGTTTTGAGGGTTTTTAGTGTAAAATACGGTATTTCAAGCTTGTTCGTTTGTGGAAACAAAGTAAGTGCCGGTTTTAGGGTATTTAAAGATATTTAAAAAAATGGAATTTGACTGGATGATTCTGAGTCCATTTTGAAGCATTAAGTCGATTTTTGTACGGAAAAAAAATTTTACTAGTCTTTTTGAAGAATAAAGAAGCTTTTGGGGCGCTTTTGAAAAATGGAATTTGAGTGGAAGATTTGTAATGTATTTTGCACTGAAAATCTTCCACTAAACTTCCACTTCTAAAAAGTAGCAAAAACTCATTTTTAGGCCATTTGAAGACATTTTAAAAGTGGAAGTTGAGTGGAAGATTTTTAGTGCAAAATGCATTACAATTCTTCCACTCAACTTCCACTTTTTAAGTTTTGAAAAATTGGCTGTTTTTAGTAATGGAAAGACAAATGATGACATTTTTCGATCTAAAAATGGCATTTTTTGCATAAAAACGACATTTTACGGTCTAGAACTTCATAAAAATGCACTTTTTTATAGTTTTTTTGAAATTTTTTTTTAAATTAAAAAGTTAAATTTTTGATTTTTTTTTCAAAATAACGGTCGAAAACACTTTCAGAAACCCCTCCCTTCGTAAAACCTACGATTTGTGGCTTCGAGAACAACGTCTGCGAGAGGAACGTGAGCTGATATCGGAGGAGTTCGAGCTGGAAAAGGACGAAACCTCATTGGAAACCGAGTGTCGCTGTGGTGCCATTTTCGAAATCGAGGAGTCGGAGCTAGCCAACGTCCTGGACTACGCGTTATTCGAGTGCTCCAACTGCTCATTGTGCTTTAAAGTGAGTACGAGCCAACGGCATGGATGAATGGTAGGGTCTGTCTGGTACTTTTTTGGTGTTTTGTGGTACTGTTTTTGGCGTAGTATGGTACTATTTAGTATTTTTGATATAGTATGGTACTGTTAAGTATGCTTTATATAGTATGCTATTAATTTATGTTTTTGATGCAATCTGGTACTGTTTAGTATTTTTGGTGCAGTCTCGTAATTGAATGGAATATTTTCAGTGCAAAATACATTGAAAATCTTCCACCAAACTTTAATTTTTAAAAAGTCTTAAGATGGCCTAAAAATTCATTTTTGACAGTTTTTAGAAGTGGAAATTTAGTGGAAGATTTTTAGTGCAAAATGCACTACAAATCTTCCACCCAACTTCCACTTTTACAAAGTCGTCTTTGTTGGTGTTACAATGAAACTCTTTATCATTTTAAGTTGTAAACTACAAATTTATTACATTTTCACATTGTAAACAAAGTTCTTGCACTCTTTATTAACTTTATCTACTGTCTTTCAAGTAACATTGATATTAACCATCATTTTTTGTTTAATTTAAGCTTTTTTTTATTTTAGGTCCACAGAAATGAATCAAAGCAGTAACAAGGTGCTTCTACTTGGCGATACGGGCGTGGGCAAGTCAACACTGGTCGAAACTTTGTGCGGAAAACCCAATTCTCGACCGGAAAGTACTGTCGGGGTTAATATTAAGGTAGGTAAAATACGAAGCAGGACTAAATGACCTGAAAACAGGCAATTTAAGGAATTTGTAACATACTTTTTAAAAATTTTTATCAGATTTTAAAATTAAATCTTGTTTTTGTAGGTATTAGCCCACCAATTCGCGGCCGGAACCCCACAAGAATCGACCGAAATCATCGAGCTTTGGGATGTCGGCGGAGCCAATATTCATCGACAAACAGCGGCCAGAGTCTTCTCGGATAATGTTTGTGGAATCATATTCGTGCACGACTTGTCCAACTCAAGATCAGAACAAAACCTGGCTCAGTGGTCGTCGTTGTTGGAGGAGGTTCAACTTATGAACGGAAGTCAAAGGTTCGGAGAGTTCAATCGATTGGGAGAGGTGGAGAAGGTAATTTTGGCTAATTTATTGTGAGGTTTGCTTCACAGAAGGTTATTTTACATATTAATTTAGATTTAGGAGGCCTTCACCTTGTTTTATATCGAATTTTAAGTCTTACTTTAGTTTAGATTGCTTAACTATAATTAACATCGCTTTAGATCGGCTACCTCCCAACCCTAGTGGTCGGCTCCTACTTTGACCTAGCTCCACACAGATCCAGAGACCCAAACAGACAACGTCTCCGATTCCTACGCCAATATGAAGAAATTCAAGTAGACTGCCGGAAGGAAATATCTGCAGGATCGACCAATAAACTACTGGTTTCCAGATTCTTCGACGCTGTTTGTGTAGTCAAATCCAGGAATTCCGAGATCATAAGTCAAAGAAGAAGACGGTTATAAGCTAATTTTTGGGTAATACTTGTTGTTGATGCCTTGTTGGTAATATATTTTTATAATAAAAGCTTGCCTTACATTAGAAAAAAGTATGTTAGTCTAGTCTAGAAGATATTTGAAACTGGTACCAAAATCGTGATGATCAATATTCTTTCGTACTACCTAACCTAATACTACAAAATCCTCATCAAACATCACATCAATATGCCAACCATCTAGGACAACAAGGAACGTTTATTTTTTTAGACAAAGAAATTAGAGAACAACAATTAGCATTTAAGAACGTGGACGTTCCTTCTTTCCCTTGAACAAGGCAATGAGGGAAGTGTTGGCGACCTTAACAACCTTGAAACGAACACCGGGAATATCTCCGACGGCGTGACCTGAACGACCGAAACCAGATACCAAAACTTCATCGTTTTCCTGAAAGAGAGTAACATTAGGACAGAAACAATATATATTAGCTAAGATAAAGCTTCGGACCTTAAGAGCTTTTTACTCAAATTTTACTGACTTCATATCCCACAACATCATTTTCAAACAAAAATCGCTTCTAAAATTTACAATTCATGAATATTCATCTCTTACAAATTAGAACTACCTTAAAGACCCAACAAATCAATCAAAAACAATATTATTTATGTTAACTTACTTCAACAAAGTTCAAGCAACCGTCCTTTGGTACGAAGGCGGTGATCTTCTTTGAGTTCTTGATCAATTGGACACGGACACACTTTCTGATGGCAGAGTTAGGCTGTTTAGCTTCAACACCACTGAAAATATTTCATAAAATATATTATACTTGGCCTATAAGAACATCGAATTTACAAATTAAATTTTCGAGTAAAAACGTAAATTTAGACTTAAAAGAACAACCATAATTAAAAGAAACTAATGACAGTAAAACTTTGATTCTGAATGTTTCAAAAAAACTCAAAATTCCAAGTTTTACATTACACATGATAACACTCAGAAAAGTATAGTTTAAAGCTAATTTTCACGCTAAAAACTTGATCTTGGGCTTAAAATAACAAGGAGATTCTGCTTAAACTAATCCCAGAACTTTCGTTTTCCTGACTTCTCAAAAACCCCAAAAATTACTGCATTTTCGAACCTAAGACCAATCAAGTGTAATATCGTCCAAAACCCCTCAATTTCGTCCAAACTTCAAGCCTAAAGTAAAGAACAACATAACAAAAACAAACTTACATCTTTTCGATAACAATTCCCTTGGCCATGCAAGCGCCACCGAAAGGATCGGCCTTCCACCGTGTGCCCAAGTTGGCCTTCTTGTATCTCTGATCATGCCAGCGCTGTTCTTGACGGTGGTTTTTAGACGACGAGCTGTACGAATTCCCTTTGGCTTTCCCATGGTGAAACCTAAAAAATCAACAAAGTTAATATTAACATTATGAAAATCAAAAAAAAATAGGCACAAAATCGCTTTGTGCCTCAAAAAACGCGCAAAAAATAAAATACAGTGAAAAACCAATATAAAAAATTTTTAAAACGTAAAATACGTTGAAATTTTTCAACGTACTTCCAATTTTCACAAGAAAATTGGGAAAAATAAAAATATTCGCCTATCTTATTTTCTCGGGCGAAAAAAGCAAAGACACCGTATTCTACTTCGTGGCGAAACCTAGGATTTCTCTCGTTGAGTGCTAAAAGTTCTTGGCATTTCGCAATAAAAGAAAATTTTCGTGGAAAAAAGAAAGGTAAATCAACGTAAACTAATGCTTTTTGATAGTAAAACGTAGTTTATATGCCTTATATTTATTGTATGTTGTTTTTATGATATTTTGCGTTAGTTTAAAGTATTTTTTACATTATTGTTTCTATTTTATGACAATTTTTTAGTGTAAACAAGTATGACGACAGCGTTGCACCGATTCTTGACCGTCGCAACTCTTGTTCTGGCTGTCTGGGCTTATGGCATCTTAGGCAATGGACCGTTGGCTAATTTTGCATTTTATGGAGTTATTGTTGGAGTCATTTCATTTGGAGTAAGTTGTTTTACGTTTTATTTGGTTTTTAGACTAAAACAAGGTTGTCAGACGTGTTTATGAAGCTGTTTGGCTTTGAAACTTTTTGAAAAGCATAAGTAATGTTTGATAAATGTTTTGAACAATCGTTTACTGGTATTTGAGTTATAACTTTTGTAAAATATAGATTTACAACTTCTAACTATTAATTTTCAGGTACACTGTGTATATCAAGTAGTTTCACGTGGCCTTGGGATTAATGATGTGCCAGAAGCATACGTAGAGCTTCAGAAGGAGATTGCCGAAGCCCAGAAGGAATTGCGTGGAAAGAAGATTATCGACTAGTCAGTTGTGTTTTAATTTATATTGTTGTATCATTAATATGTAACTTATTGTTATTTTTAATTATTGAGCAATCCTGTGATATTTTTGTGCTTTAGTTATAGTAAAAATTGCTAATATAAGATCTTTGGAAGATGATTTAATTAAATTTACAAGGTTTTTCGATAAGTTTTAGATTTTTTTTGGCATTTTCTATGATAACAAGCCTTATGGCAAGATGTCAATGGTATGAGCCTATAATTTGATGACAAAAACAATAGTAACATTAGCGTTATGGTTAAACGTATTGTAAGCTAAAAAAAAGTTATGAAATACCACGGTTGACGCGGTAATTAACTGCGAAATTTTTATTACCTTAATATAACCGTATCTTATTGTAATAATACGTTTCTGCGAGCCGGTTTAAGACGAAGTGAGCGGCCGGTTTGTTAATGAAGTAGGAGGATGTACGACTACTTGTTTAACGTTATTGTTTTTATGCTCGCGGATTTACCTAATATCCGATGGGCTCATTCAGTTTCGCGATCTTATTCACGGTACAGCTGGTTGATGAGCCTAAATTGACTATTCTTTGACGAAATTATTTCTTTTGCCTGATATTGTACTTTTAAGTCTGTTTTGTCAGTTTACACAAGCTTTTATTAGCTACAAAGTTTATTTATCTTTTTCTGATTAAAATATATTGACATATACATCTTGGTAGTGGGTGAACTTGAAAAGGCTATATCTTGGTTCTACTGATCTGGTATATATAAAAATTGATCAGTAGGTACACAAGGCATAGTAGTATGATATTTTACTTATTATTTATATGTTGGATTGGTTTTACGACCGTACGAGGGCATAATTTGGTAAGTTGTACTTACTGATCATGGATAACATAAAATTTGTATTAATAGCAAAAAGGTTGTAAATTCTAGCTTTTTTTTGTAAAATACGGGTTGCGCTTTTCTTTTATCAATTGTTTTAAAGTTTTTGAAAAAATGCTTGGTGGTCTTTTCATTCCTATGATGTATATGTCATGGTTAATATAATTTGTTGCATAACTTTTTAAAAAATGGTTCAAATTTAAGGTGATTTGGCAAAAACAAACTTTATAAAATTGACTTTGATTCTATCAGAATTACTTTCATAAAAATGTAAGAAACTTTCTTTACAGGCCCTTCAAAACGGTGTGTTCGGAGAGCCGCAGATCTTTTGCGGTCCTGAAGGAATTCACGTTTTAGTTCACACAAAAGAAGCCTTTCGTGGTCGGCTATTCGTAGCTGAAGAAGCTGATCGTCCAGAATGTATACATTCATATGTGGATTCAGAAGACTCGACCAATTCGGCCGAATTTCACATCAAATTCGGCGGTTGCAACATGAGAAGGCAACGGACGGTAAGATCTCACCATTTTGATAATTATTAATGCCATTTAATATATTACTCTTTGTGAAATATATCTAATTGAAGCAAAATAATTGTAGCTAAGTCCACGAGGAGTGTCATTCAGTTTCGTGTTGGTTACATCGTTCCATTCAACGTTTTTAACCGGCTCTGATAGGGCTTTCAACGTGCGGTGCTTCTTTGTCGAAGCAGTAAAAGGTGTAGAATCACAGCTACAAGTCAAGTAAGTGCTTTTTAAAATTTCCATGGCTTAAAAATGTCAATTTTACCAAACTTTGCCAAAAAACTCGTTTTTAGAAAGTGGAAGTAAAGTGGAAGATTTGCAATGTATTTTGCACTAAAAATCTTCCACTTAACTTTTATTTTCAAAATGTCTTCAAATGGCATAAAAATGAGTTTTTGACATAGAGATGGAAGTTCGGTGGAAGAATTTCAGTGCAAAATACATTACATATCTTCCACTCAACTTCCATTTTCAAAAAGCCCCAAAAACGTGTTTTTAGGGCATTCTAAAACTTTCTGAAGTGGAAGTTGAGTGGAAGATTTTTTATGTATTTTGCATTGAAAATCTTCCACTCAACTTCCAATTTTTATTTTTGCCACAAAACATCTCCTTGGGCATTTTTAAGTAAAAATAATGGTAAAAACTTAATTTTCGTTTAAAAATCTATTTTTTGTTACTTAAAAATAGTGTTAATGCTCTTTTTTTCAGTCAATTAGTAACAGAACTTGTCCAACAAGAATTTACCTTGCCTCAATGTAACTATTACCTAAAATCCACCCACGAGTCTTCGTCTCTACGTTTTGCCAGTATCGGAGACTCGGTAACTCACGTTTGGGAATGTGATTCGTCAGCCGCGTGGCTATATGGCCTTCTAATTCACAGTTGCTACGTGGATGATGGGCGTGGTAACAAGTTCGAGTTGGTGGATCAACATGGCTGTGCTGTTGATCGAATGCTGTTGAATGACATTGTTTATGAGGAGAATGGTGTGAATGCTTATGTCAATTCGCATGTGTTCAAGTATGCAGATAGGGTGCAGCTGTTCTTCACTTGCACCGTGCAGCTTTGCTTTAAGGAGGATGGAGGGTGCAGTGGGATTACGGTAGGTTTTATGGTTTTTAAGATGTTTTTTCTACCCTACCCTACTCTACCGTACTCTACCCTAACTTTTCCTACCCTACCTTACCCTACCCTACCCTACCCTACCCTACTGTCCTACTCTAACTTGCACTACCATACCCTGCTTTCCTCTAACCTATCCTAAATTACTATACCTTACTCTACCTAGGCTAGGCCCTATACTGGTCTTCACTTTACCCTACTCGTCCTTGCAATGACCTACCCCAACTTTTTCCATTTACTATACCTCATATCTTTACCTCAACCCGTTCACTTACATACTATTCCTTGACCATTGCAAAACCGACCGAAAGAAATTTTTTTTCGAGAGTTATATAATAATTGCGATATTACCTAATTTTATGACATAACTAGATAGCCTAAGAGAAATTGCAAGAAACCGTGTTGCGCAACGTTTTATTGTGTAATATTATAGCTTTTTATAACATTTGCCTCGATGTAAAACGACCCAAAAAATTACTGCGAGTGCTGGGATTTTACCCTATTTTACTTCGAGAAGGTGTTATTTGTCTAACGTAATTTATTGTAAATATTAAGCCTAAGCCTACTAAGCCCAACACTACTAAGCCTAAGCCTACTAAGCCTAAGCCTACTAAGCCCAACACTACTAAGCCCAACACTACTAAGCCTAAGCCTACTAAGCCTAAGCCTACTAAGCCTAAGCCTACTAAGCCTAAGCCTACTAAGCCTAAGCCTACTCAGCCTAAGCTTACTATCTTAAGTTTAATATCATGAATCATTAAACACTTAATTTTAGCCCCCACAATGTGGCCATGGTCAGCCCATTCCACCCCTAGCCCAAAGAAAGTTTGTCAATCACGATTCAGTGGAATCACAAGAACATTCCGAACCTCATCGTTCTCTAACGTTACAAAGCGTCCAAGAGCGACAAAGAGCCGCCCACAACCTGTTCAAATCTATACCTAGAAGAGGATTGAATCTTCCAGGAGCACCAAAGCTGTCACCTAGATTGAAAGATGACCCAGATAAGGATATTGAGTAAGTGCAAGAAGATGGGAGTTGAGTGGAAGATTTGTAATGTATTTTGCACTGAAAATCTTCCACTCAACTTCCATTTTAAAAAAGTCTTAAAATGACCTAGAAACACGTTTTTAACACTTTTTAAAGATGGAAGTTGGGTGGAAGATTTCCGGTGCAAAATACATTACAAATCTTCCACTGAATTTCCACTTGTAAAAATGCTTAAAAACGTGTTTTCTGACCATTTTAAGACATTTTGAAAATGGAAGTTAATTGGAAGAATCCTAGTGCAAAATACATTACAAATCTTCCACTCAACTTCCACTTCTCAAAATGCTCAAAGTTAGTTGTTTTTTTGGTTTTCTTCAGCATTTATGGGCTGGGACGAAAATGATTGCCATTTTTTGACCGCTAAAATCGTTGAACTATTCTTTCTTTTGATCAAAAACAACCTCCAAAGACATTTTGATCAAAAACAACCTCCAAACCCTTTCCTTCTCTATCCGCTCTCTTCTTTCTCGCCCCACCGTCAAACCCAGTCGAAAAACAAGTGCCAACGCTAACCTAACCCTTTGCCTTGCCTTTTGGAGTATCGCTTCTCGGCCTTTTGGCTAAGATCAAAGTGTAGTATCTGTTCTTATCGGTTTAATCTCCGGTACGACTTCTATTGAAGTCATTCGAGATTAACAGATTTTTGGGACCAGCTGAGTTGCGAAGGCTTGCCTTCCGCTCGGCAAGGGTCGGCCCGGTCTTGCACCTACTTCCGGGAACGGCCCATATATTTTTGTCTTTTTATACAAAAAGAATGGCAAGAACTTTCTTTACAAAACAAAAAATATCAAGAACTTTCTTTACAAGCCTCTAAAATTAACATTTTTTCAGAAAACTAGTCCAAGATGGATCAGAAAACGACTTGAACAAGACCTTATCCGAAACTAATGATACTGTAACAGAAGGGAAGAGACTAGGGAGAGATGCTCTTAACTTTATGGAAACTGATCTGAGTACTGAGCTTACTGTAATGCCATTGGACGAGGAGATACGTGGTAAGTTGAAAGAGTAGGGTAGGGTAGGGTAGAGTAGGGTAGGGTAGGGTAGGGTAGGGTAGGGTAGGGTAGGGTAGGGTAGGGTAGGGTAGGGTAGGGTAGGGTAGGGTAAGGTAGGGCAAGGTATGGTAAATGTACAGTTTTCTTTTGGAAGTGGAAAAACGAGCATCTAGGGCAGGGTAAATTTTTTCAAGTTTTTTTGGGGGTGGATATTTGAAAATCATGGGCGGGGTAATTTTCTGATTAAAAATCCTGAGGAGGGGGCTGTAAGCTATAAAAATTAATTTTCAGACCAAAAACCTCGAGAAACAATCTCAACACTGCCCTATGTTAATCATCCTGCTGTGTGTATCAGTAGAGTTGGTGTTTTCACCCTAGCGTCAGTGTTCGTTCTGATACTCTTTGGTACTGCACTGATGTCTGTCGTACTGTATAATCGACGAAAACAGGTCGAAATCGCTGCGCAAACTCGGAAGATTTATTTGACTGAATAAAGCTTTATATATTTAGTACAATATAGTAAGAAGTTTAGTTCAAGCTAGTACCAACGTTAGTACTACTTAGTACGAACGAAAAAAAATGTAATATATGACAGTAAAATTGAAGTACAGTGGCTTGATACTGTACTAAATATATACAAAAAAAATTTTTGAGGTAGCAGGGTACTGTAATGTTCTCTTTGACGGTACTTGGGCTAGGGCTAGGATTAGTGGTGGGGGTAAGGCTTGTCCTAGAAGTAAGGCTCGGCGTGCAGCTCATACTAGGCTGTACCTAGCTACAGTAGACTGAAATTGTATTTTGGTTACTGTAGAACACAAAATGTGATTACTGTAAAACATAAACTATGGTTACGGTAGAAAAATAGAAAGTAAGTGTACTTTTAAAAATTTTTTTTAGCTAGGAGTACTGTAACACAATAAGGTTTATACGAATGAAATTTTTATTTACCATAACAAGGCTGACACATACAAGACAAATACGAAGTGCATTGAAGGGTGTCACCTGGATTGCACATACAACCTCTGAAATGTTTAGCTTAATATATTATTTTATCTTGTTAGGTTTTTACTTTAGAGAAGATTACAGTAATTAAGGCTATGTTTACGGTAAACTAAGAGTATGCCAAGCTAGGCTTTAGGCAATGTATGCTAGAGTCGGGTAGGGCTGGGACATGGCAATGACAACAGAGGGCAGAGTAGGGTAAAGCAAAGGCTAGGGCTAAGGCTAGAGCTTAGGCTTAGACTTAGTCTTAGGCTTAGGTTTAGGCTTAGGCTTAGTCTTAGGCTTAGGCTTAGGCTTAGGCTTAGGCTTAGGCTTAGGCTTAGGCTTAGGCTTAGGCTTAGGCTTAGGCTTAGGCTTAGGCTTAGGCTTAGGCTCTAGGCTAGGGCTCTGGGCTAGGGCTCTGGGTTAGAGATCTGGGCTGAGAATAGGGTTATGACTAGGTCACAGTAGAAAAAAAATTAAAACTTACTGATTTAAACAGTCAAAAACGCTCAAACAGAACCCATAAGCACAGTCTTGGCTATAAGTTACCGTAGTATTCAAAATGGCCAAAATTAGAAAAATGGCAAAATTTTTTAAAACCATGACAAAATGTAAAACAATATTATGTTTATGAAAGCCAGCCAGAATAAAAACCTTTTGACATTACCGTTATTATTTATAGCTCCATTTTACGATTTTTTCGATTATTTGGAAAACATAAAATCTCGTTAGCAGAACAAACATACAACACAGTAACAACGGATCACAATGTGATTTTTGTGACACTATTTGATTTCAAAAAAAAAATTTTAAAAAAATATTTTAAAAATATGAGTCCTAAAATCGGCTGAAAGTGAAGATTTTACAATTTTTAGAAGTGGAAGTTCAGTGGAAGATTTGTAATGTATTTTGCACTGAAAATCTTCCACTTTACTTCCACTTCCAAAATGTGTGAAAAACGTGTTTTTAGACCATTTTAAGACATTTTAAAAATGGAAGTTGAGTGGAAGATTTTCAGTGCATAATACATTACAAATCTTCCACTTTACTTCCATTATAAAAAGCATCTCAAACGAGCCTTTAGACCAGTTTAATAAGCGTAAAGCCTTAGAAATAACGGCATCTGTACTACTAGAACTAAAAATTCTCCCACAGGACTTTTAGTACTAAAAGAATGTATATGGCCGCTTTTCCAGTACCAAAGTTAATATATGGGCCGTTCCCGGAAGTAGGTGCAAGACCCTACCCTACCCTACTCTACCCTACCCTACTCTTTCAACTTACCACGTATCTCCTCGCCCAATGGCATTACAGTAAGCTCAGTACTCAGATCAGTTTCCATAAAGTTAAGAGCATCTCTCCCTAGTCTCTTCCCTTCTGTTACAGTATCATTAGTTTCGGATAAGGTCTTGTTCAAGTCGTTTTCTGATCCATCTTGGACTAGTTTTCTGAAAAAATGTTAATTTTAGAGGCTTGTAAAGAAAGTTCTTGATATTTTTTGTTTTGTAAAGAAAGTTCTTGCCATTCTTTTTGTATAAAAAGACAAAAATATATGGGCCGTTCCCGGAAGTAGGTGCAAGACCGGGTCGACCCTTGCCGAGCGGAAGGCAAGCCTTCGCAACTCAGCTGGTCCCAAAAATCTGTTAATCTCGAATGACTTCAATAGAAGTCGTACCGGAGATTAAACCGATAAGAACAGATACTACACTTTGATCTTAGCCAAAAGGCCGAGAAGCGATACTCCAAATGGCAAGGCAAAGGGTTAGGTTAGCGTTGGCACTTGTTTTTCGACTGGGTTTGACGGTGGGGCGAGAGAAAGAGAGAAAAAGAAGAGGAGAAAATCGGGCTTTTCATGGGGAAATGGCGCGTTTTTCCTCTATTTGAACGGTTTTTCTCTGGATTTTTTGCTATTTTTAGGTAACATTGGCTTGTAATATCTTGTCTCAACCTTACTATAACCTTTGTCAATTATATTTTGTCATATTTCATTCATTTTCCCCCCAAAAACCAGCTTATCCCCATCCGTTTTGACAAAAACCGTTCGCAAGGCCATTTTCCGATAATGTCTCTCCCCTCTCCGAACGTTTTCTCACTTCGAACGCCATGGCTCATCGTTCCGTTCCCTCACAAAGAATGTACGCACTGGAATCGTGGCTATGGTAAACTGACCAGTGTTTCGAAATGTGAAATTGTTACTCATTTTTGGGGTAAACAACTGTTTTACTGCAAAATATGGAGTTATGGGCGTCTTTATTTGGAAAAAATTGTTGTTTTAGGTAGGAAAACGGGAAGATTTTGTAATTTTAGGTATGAAAATAGGAAAAGCAGAGTTTTGTAGTTATGCAGAATATAAAATTCTAATGTTTTACATCTAAAACCTTCAAGAAATTACGGTTTTAATCAGAGAAAACAATAAAAATCCGATATTATCTATGGTGAGATTGGATGCCTGGTCTGTTTTGGTGACTCATAGAAGAATAAAGGGAATGGGGATTGTTTTAGGTAAAAACGGATAGAAAACAAGATATTCTTGCTGTTTTAGAAGCTAAAAAGTTAGTTTATGTAAATCTAGGGCAGTAAATGATAATGGAAGTTTAGTGGAAGATTTTCAGTGTAAAATACATTGCAAATCTTCCACATGACTTCCATTTTTTAAAAGTCTTAAAATGACCTAAAAATGTGTTTTTGACACTTTTTAGACTTGTAAGTTGAGTGGAAGATTTTCAGTGTAAAATACATTACAAATCTTCCACTCAACTTTCGTTTTAAAAATCTTGGGTTTTGATGTTTGTAAAGAAAGTTTTGGTCATTTATTGCTTTTTATGGAAATTATCTGCCTTGTAAATTTTTTTTGGCATTTCGTGCTTTGTAAACAAAGTTATTGCAGTTTTTCAGTTTTGTAAAGAAAGTTATTACCTTTCTATAAATTATGAAAAAAATCGAAAATATTATGTTTTTGACTCTCTAAACAACCATTTAATATGTCCCCTCCATTTTTCATCTCTACCTCCACCTTTTCAACTAAAAATTTTCCCACACCGCACACCTTTCATCGTATAAGATGTCGATTTTCGTGGACGCGAAACAAAATGCCGCGAAAAGTCCCCGCTTCTCTGTTTCAAAATAGAAGCCCATTCCATTTGCGAATGCAAAAGTTGGTGCGCGTTCGGGCCAGTTTCGTGCCTAAAAATGCCTTTTCCAATGAATAATATCAATTTATTTTTGGGTTCGAAGAGGGAATGTTGTGTTTTAGGGCCAAAAAGAGATGGTTTAGATCTAAAAAGAGTTGTTTTAGGGGCAAAAAGAGATAGTTTTGGCTAGAAAAGTCGTATTTCTTGGTCGAAAAGGGATGGTTTAGCTCTAAAAATTGTTTTAAGTCACAAAAAGCTATGGCACAAGCTTAGATTTCTGGTTTCGTGCTAAAAATCGTTGATGTTTAATTCAAATACTTCTGTTTTGGACCGTTTATTGTGCTTAATCTTCTGTTTATCGCGAATGATGCCATTTCTTAACAAACGTTCCACTGAATATGTAATTTTTGTTTATTTTCAGTTTGTCGAAAACTTGTGCGACTCCAAATTTTCACTTGATTCATCATGGTAAGTCGGTTTTCCTTCTGCTTTTCTTGTTTTAGGCTTAAAACTGAGGATTTGCTGGATGTTTTGATACATAACTAAAGTTTATGATCAGTATTGATGTTTAAATGACCGAAATATTGTAGTATAGGAACAGTAAAAGCTGTAAGGAAGTCTACAGCTTTTAAAAAGTCAGGAGTTTTTGCTAAAATCGGAGAAAAGACGTTAACATTGAGTTATGATGTTATGGTGTATATTTTGATTCATAGCAACTAAGATTTTAGTCAGATGATGCAAAATCTGATATTTTTAGATAGCATAGACATTGCTTAAGCTAGTCAGAACAATTTTATTTGTTTCTACTTTTAAAAATGCTGTCAAAAATGATTTTTTGTTACTGACACTTTGTTGTAGGTAGGATAAGATAATATCGACCATTAAAGAGGAATGGATTTTGGTTATGAATGATTGATTGTTTTAGATAGCTAAGACATTACTGAAGATATTGTAATAAGTTTAATCAGTTTTTGAGTTTAAAAAAATAAGAAAAATCGAGTTTTTTGACATCAACATTGTATTAGATAAAGTAACATAATATTGATCGAAAAAGACTTAAACCTTGACCATATTGACTTGTTTAGACTAGAAAACGATAGCCAATATTCTTGAGTTTGTTTTAAACATTATTTTATTTTTAAATATTACCTAATCGTTTCCAGAGAGAAGTAATTTCAATTCACGTCGGACAAGCTGGTGTCCAAATCGGAAACGCCTGCTGGGAGCTGTACTGTTTGGAGCACGGAATCCAACCTGATGGACAGATCCCAAGCGGAGCTCAAGCTGGAGCTGATGACTCGTTCTCCACCTTCTTCAGCGAAACTGGCAGCGGTCGTTACGTTCCAAGAGCTGTAATGGTCGACTTGGAGCCGACTGTCATTGGTAAGGGGGTTTGGAGCTTATTTGGGGAGGAAATGAGTTGTTTGATAATCTATATGGGCAGAGTGATATATTTTAAGGTTTGTGTAAAATACGGTGTCGGAGTTTATGACTTTAAAAGATATTAACCTTGGATAATATAATTTTTACCATTTTTTTGGAAAATAGGTGTAGTGTTTAATTGTTTTGTTTAAAATTTTGATGTTAGGGATGCTTTTGACTAAAAGTTTAATTTTTGGTATATTATCTTAGGCTTAGCTTCAATAAAAATTTATTTTCAGACGAAATCCGTACCGGCACCTACAAGCAATTGTTCCACCCCGAACAATTGATCACCGGCAAGGAGGATGCGGCCAACAACTACGCTCGTGGCCACTACACCGTCGGCAAGGAGATCATCGACCCCGTCCTGGACCGAGTACGTCGTACTGCCGACAACTGCACCGGCCTTCAAGGATTCTTGATCTTCCACTCCTTCGGTGGAGGTACCGGCTCCGGATTCACTTCTCTGTTGATGGAACGCTTGTCTGTTGACTACGGCAAGAAGTCCAAGTTGGAGTTCTCCATCTATCCAGCTCCTCAGGTCTCTACGGCCGTGGTCGAGCCATACAACTCGGTCTTGACTACCCACACCACCTTGGAGCACTCGGACTGCGCCTTCATGGTCGACAACGAAGCCATCTACGACATTTGCCGTCGCAACTTGGACGTTGAAAGACCTAGCTACACCAACCTGAACCGTCTCATCTCTCAGGTTGTCTCTTCCATCACTGCCTCTCTGAGATTCGATGGAGCCCTGAACGTTGACCTTACCGAGTTCCAAACCAACTTGGTACCATACCCAAGAATTCACTTCCCCTTGGCCACCTACGCCCCAGTCATCTCGTCCGCCAAGGCCTACCACGAGTCCCACTCGGTCGGTGAAATCACCAACGCTTGCTTCGAACCCCAGAACCAGATGGTGAAGTGTGACCCAAGACACGGCAAGTACATGGCTGTGTGCCTCTTGTACCGTGGTGATGTCGTACCAAAGGATGTGAATGCTGCCATTGCTACCATCAAGACCAACAGAAGCATCCAATTTGTTGACTGGTGCCCAACTGGATTCAAGGTAAGGTTTGGGGATGGTTGATGACCTAGAAGTTAGTAAGGAAGTAGAGGAAAATAGGACTTTTGGACGCGTTTTGAGGGTTTAAAATGAGAAATGTGAGGAAAAATGATGATTCATAGTCGATTTGGAGAGTCTGAAAAAGTGGAAGTTCAGTGGAAGATTTGTAATGTATTTTGCACTTTTATTTTCAAAATGTCGTAAAATGGCCTAAAATTGACTTTTAACACTTTTTAAGAAGTGGAATTTAGTTGGAAGATTTGTAATGTATTTTGCACTGAAAATCTTCCACTAAACTTTCACTCTCAAAAATGGACAAAAACGTGTTTTTAGGCGAGTTTCCACTTTTTTAAATTTGCTAAATTTTTTGTTATAATACATATTGTAATAGGTCGGAATCAACTACCAACCACCAACCGTCATCCCCAACGGTGACTTGGCCAAGGTCCCCCGTGCCGTGTGCATGCTGTCCAACACCACCGCCATCGCCGAAGCCTGGGCCCGCCTCGACCACAAGTTCGACCTGATGTACGCCAAGAGAGCCTTCGTCCATTGGTACGTCGGAGAGGGTATGGAGGAGGGCGAGTTCTCCGAAGCCCGCGAAGACTTGGCCGCTCTCGAGAAGGACTACGAAGAAGTGGCAGTCGATTCCAACGATGGCGTCGCCGGCGACGAAGAAGAATACTAAGCTGCCCAATCTGATGATTCTCTCCCCTTAATTCGAAAGTTTTGGAGTTTTTACCCCGCCCTTTAATCCAAAATTGATTTTTTGCTCTCCCTTTTTATTAAGGCATCCTTTTTCAATGTAATTCCTGGAATGGCTCTTCTCCCCCACTTTTGTTTCCGCTGATTCCGCAATTTCAATACCTATCGTGTTATGTTATTTTCATATTAATTTATGCTTGAGAAACAAAATAAATCAGCTTGAACAAAAAACGGAAAGGATTTATGAAGCAGAACCTAAACACGAAGTTTTAAAAGTGGAAGTTGAGTGGAAGCTTTATAATCTATTTTGCATTGAAAATCTTCCACTTAACTTCCATTTTTTAAAAATCTTTAAATGGCCTAAAAATGAGTTTTTATCACTTTTTAGAAGTGAAAGTTTGGTGGAAGATTTTCAGTGCAAAATACATTATAAATCTTCCACCAAACTTCCACTTCTAAAAAGTGTCAAAAAGGCATTTTTAGGCCGTTTTAAGACATTTAAAAAATGGAAGTTGAGTGGAAGATTTTCAGTGCAAGTTACATTACAAATCTTCCACTCAACTTCCACTTTTCAAAACACGTCAAACCCGTGACAAAACTGTCCAGCAACTATTCTAAGCCTATTGTACGTTATATAATCTTTAATTATACCCAATTAAACATGCAAATTTGGTGATAAAACGGCTTGAGAAAGAGGAAGAAGTCAGTTTTTCAGTATAATACGTTAATTGAAAGTAATTGCATTTAACCGGCATAAATAGCCGCACGAACAATAGTTAGCGATAGATTATCATGAAGCTTTTGTTGTCGTTGGTAGTGTTGGTGGTGTGTTGTTACAGTATCCTGGCCCAGCCTTGCATTCCTGGTACTTGTCGGATACCAGAGGATTGTGTGGCACAGTAAGTTAAGAGTTTTTAAGGTAAAATACGTTACGTCTAAATTTAAGCTTTTAAAACCTATAATTCATGTCATTATTTCAATAAGGTGACATTTTATACGATGAAACATGATTTGACAAAAAAATTTTAAAAATCAAAGAAATGAAAAATTTACTTTCGGCTAGCCAAAAATCTCAAAAAAATTCATTTTTCACCTTTCAGAGGCTGCTTCTGCGCCCCAGGCGATCCAATGTTCTGTGGCCCTGATATGATGTGCATTTGCCAGGCAAACCCCATTGGGTAAACCCTTTTACCTTACTATAACCATAAATTTACTGCTCTGTAACAATAAAAAATTGATTTTTAGAAACTTGATTGGTGGTCTACTTGGTTGAGCTCACTTCCGGCCCAGTTTTACATCAATATTCTACTTGTATTTGTCAAAATGGACCATTTTTTCAATAAAATATACCGTTTTTTCATGTTTTTAATATAAAATATTGAATTTAGATGTTTAGTAGGTATAACAGACTATAAGCAATTTCCTGAAGGCTTGTTCAAGCCAAGCTTTGTCACTTTTTACAACGTTTTAAAAAGTGGAAGTTGGGTGGAAGATTTGTAATGCATTTTGCACTGAAAATCTTCCACGAAACTTTCATTTTCAAGATGCCTTAAAATTACCTAAAAACACGTTTTTAATCATTTTTGGAAGTGGAAGATCAGTAGAAGATTTCCAGTGCAAAATAGATTACAAATCTTCCACTCAACTTCCACTCCCAAAAAGTGTTAAAAACGTGTTTTTAAGTCATTCCAAGACATTTAAAAAATGGAAGTTAAGTGGAAGATTTTCAGTGCAAAATACATTACAAATCTTCCACTTAACTTCCATTATAATTTTTCTTCGTTTTTAAAATAAAATATAGTTTTTAAAACAAAAAAGCAAATAATTTAATTTTTAATAAACCCGCATTTCAAAAACAAGTCCTGTACAAACTCTTTTCGTTGTGTACCACTTGGTGGTGGTACATTTGGTACTATAACAATATCCTGTTGTCTTAAAGCTTCTAACAGCTCAGATGGCTGGGACACATAGTGCAAATCCTTGGTTTTGGCCAGCTCTCTGGCCAATTCGGTTTGATGATCGGACATTAACGACCGGTTAATAACCACAAACATGGTCTTCTTGGCTTTAGTGGTCTCGAAAATGGTACCAGCACCACCATGAGCTATGACAATATTGGAGTGTTGGATTAGGGGGATCAGGTCGTGAACGTAGCGGATCATTGTTATCTAAAATGGTGTTTTAATGGCAATGTAAGCCTATTTTGGCAGCTTGCGGCCAATTTTAAAGGTTTTAAAAAAGTGGAAGTTTGGTGGAAGAAATGTAATGTATTTTGCACTGAAAACCTTCCACTCAACTTCAATTTTTAAAATGTCTCGAAATGACCTAAAAATGACTTTTTGACACTTTTTAAAAGTGGAAGTTTGGTGAAAGATTTTCAGTGAAAAATACATTACAAATCTTCCACTCAAATTCCACTTTTCTAAACTCACCAAAATTGACTGTTTTTTCAACGTTCAGTCATTTAGAAGCTACCCGAGTACTGTAAACAAAGTTCTTACCTCAATTCCATCTTCAGTCCATCTGATTTTGTCCGTTTTTTCCAAAATTCGCTCGATTTCATTGTCTCCGTCACCCTTTTTCTCTGTTTCTCTCCCATTTTTCGCTGATATTTCTTCGAATATCTTGCCGGCTCCACATTGAATTATCAGGTTTCGTACTCCATGTTGTTTTAGTTGTGCTAGTACGTCTGGTTTTAGGACTTCTTGTATTAAATCGTCGAATTTCGTCGAACCGACCGTCACTAGGCAGTTTTTGAGCATTTTTCTAAAAGTTTATCGTGTTTTAGGCTTAAAAATGGGTTGAAAATTGAAAAATTTTTATACCTACATATCAAGAAAAGACTGTAAATTGTAGTAAAAGCAACATTTTTGAAATACTCTAATTGAAAATGGCAAAAAAATTAAAAAATGCAAAAGGTAATAACTTTTTTGGGAGCTTTTTTCAATTTTTTAAAGTTTTAGGCTTAAAAATAAAACTTAAAACCTCATAAAACCCCTCTAAACACCATAACAGAGCAAGCCCAATCAAAATACTACCTAAAACACTGTCAAATAACGTTCTCAAAATTCAGAAAAACACCAAAAAATTCAAAAATAATGTAGGTAACGACCATATTCTGCACAAACTCGTCGAAAACATTGATTTTCAGCACTTTATCGATAAAACTCTACAGTAAAATAACAAAATAAAGATAACAACATTAAGGGGCGAGACAATTTGAACATTTTTGGGATCTTGAGTGTATTCGTTTGACTTCTCTGGGGATTCATCTAGTTTCGTACACTTCAGCCTTCTTTACCTTCTGCCTGAAAATTTTTATTTTAATCGTTTGAAAATGGCAAGAAACACGAAAAATTATTTTTTTGGTCAAAAAGCGACAAAACTTTCTTTACAGCTCAAAAAACGGTTAATTTCGGCCAATTTTAAAAAGTGGAAGTTGAGTGGAACAATTGTAATGTAATTTGCACTGAAAACCTTCCACCCAACTTCCATTTCCAAAAATGCTCTAACACGTGTTTTTAGGCCATTTTAAGACATTTTAAAAATGGAAGTTTGGTGGAAGATTTTCAGTGCAAAATGCGTTAACAATCTTCCATTTGACTTCCACTTTTCAAATTCTTCAAATCGTACCTTTTTCCACATCCATCGCTTTTGATACTTCTCCCTCTTCCTTATACTCTTCTTCTACACCTTCTAGACTCCTTTCCACATCAATATTCATCAGTTCATCACTTTATATTAACCATCTTTTCCTTTACTTCACAGTATCCACCTTCAACACACAGTATTCATCTTTTCCTCACAGTATTTACCTTTTCCTAACAGTATCATCCTTTCCTTCACAATATCCACCTCTTCCTTTATATCAACACTATATTATCCATCTCATCCTTTCATAAAAACCTTAAATTATCCATCTCTTCCTTCTCCATGCCAATTCGTCCATCTTTTGGTCCTTTAACTCTATGAAAACCTCTCAAGTGTACCAAAAACTCTGCTTTCCTTCAAGTTTACGGCATTTCTTCTGGTACCGTTCGCTGTCCGACCACTTTGAAGCTGTTGACAGCCGTCTTTAAGAGTTCGGCTTCTCGTTGTTCGGCCATTCGTTTGTCCATGGCTAGAGTGATGTGTTTCATTTCTTTCCGTTCTTTCTCTTGTTTCTCTTTTTGTTCTTGGAGGGCTGTTTGCATGCTTTCGGATGACTTCAGGTTGACGGCTTTGAGGACAGTGCGGTTGCCTTTTCTGGTCATTAGTGCCATTTGGGGTTCGCGGCGTTTGGGTTCGGCTGGCTCGGTGGCGTCGGCTGAATGTGGGAGTATTAAAAACTTTTTAAATAAAAAAATAAAAAAAATATTCAAAATTTTTTTTTCAAAAATTCAGCTTGGTCCCCCCTGTACACATAAAAAACTCTTTTTACCCACCCCACTCCTCCCACTCTAAAAAACAAATTGTAGCTTCAAGTTGAAGCCTTCAGCAATGCCCATACCTTCATATAAAACAAAAAAGAAATCAATTTTGTTACCTAAAATCATAAAAAAAACGTATTTTACACTTACCAAATGTTATCTTCCGTTCAAACTTTTGCCTAGCTGAAGGTGGTACTTCCAAGTCGATAACTGGTACTTTCGGTATTACTGAGGTCTGAAAAGGTCAAAATTTGGTTGAAAAAATAACAGTTCTATACCTAAAGGCGTCAAAATAATCTTTTTAAACCTTAACATGTCCTTTTTTAATCAACATTTACAGTCCCAACCTCATAACGGACCATTTTTTAAAATGAAAGTTGAGTGGAAGATTTGTAATGTAAATTGCACTAAAAATCTTCCACTCAACTTTCATTTTTAAAATGTCTTGAAATTGCCTAAAAATGACTATTTGACACTTTTTAAAGTGAAAGTTGAGTGGAAGATTTGTAATGTAAATTGCAATAAAAATCTTCCATTGAACTTCCATTTTTAAAATGCCTTAGAATAGCCTAAAAACACGTTTTTGACACATTTTAGAAGTGGAAGTTTGGTGGAAAAATTTGCAATGTATTTTGCATTGAAAATCTCCCACCCCGCTTCCACTTTTTAAACTCGTTCAAAAATGTCATTTCTTATTAGAAATCCTTAAAAAATAAACCAAATAAAAATTTTATTTCAAAAAAGTTATGAAAATCAACTTTCATACCTAAAAAGCCAAAAAAAGTATTACCTGGAATGTCTCTGACATGACTCTATCAAACTCCTTCATGAAATCTTCATCTTCCTCAGTTATAACCTGTTCCTTTTTGATTTCTAGCTGTTCTTCTTCATCATCAAAAGCATCAAATGGTTTTGCGAAAGGATTCGCATTTGGTGATGGTAATGGCTCTTCGTAATCGAGCTGTTCTGGGGATGGTTTTGACTGTCTAAAACAATATTATTAGCCTTAAAAATAGTTTACACCAGAAAATATAAATCTTGAAATACCCGAAACGTAGATGGGACCTATTTTTTCAAAAAGTTTGTTAATTTTTGACTACTTTGAAAGTAGAAGTTGAGTGGAAGATTTGTAATGTAATTTGCACTGAAAATCTTCCACAAAACTTTCATTTTCAAGATGCCTTAAAACTACCTAAAAACACGTTTTTAAGCGTTTTTAGAAGTGGAAATTGAGTGGAAGATTTCCAGTGCATAATACATTACAAATCTTCCACCCAACTTCCACTTCCAAAAAATGTTAAAAACGTGTTTTTGAGCATTTTAAGACTTTTACATAATGGAAGCTGAATGGAAGATTTTCAGTACAAAATACATTACAAATCTTCCACCCAACTTTCAGCTCCACGAAGTTCGAAATTAGCCGAAATTGACTCAAAATCTGCTCCAGACTCAACAAATTACGCCTCAAAAATTCAAAACAAGCTAATGCCTACCCCTCATCATCGTCCTCTTCAGTGATACAGAACAATTTCCTCGGTTTCTCTTCGACATTCACCTCATTATGGATGGTTTGAGCTTCTCCTTTCCTCAATAACTGCTCTGCTTTGTCTTTATATTGTTCTTGAATGACTCTGACATTCTCTCTGGCATCTTCCACATTCGTTGCAAAGAATTCTCGTTCATTTGGACGGAATTTCTTCAGGATTGCTTCGACTTCGTAGTCCAAATCCAGTGGAAATTCGCCAAAAGTCAAGGTATGTTCGCTCCAAAATGCCTTCGTATCGTAGTAAAACAGTAGTAAGTAACTGAAAATGGTTATGGACTGTATAAAGAAGACTTCACGGAATATTTTCATCAATTTTTCAACTTTTAAAATCCTCATTTCTAATGCAAAGCTCAATTTTTGGTCAAAAATTAGGGTTTTTTTTATGTTCAAGAAAAAAACCTTTTTTCACCAAATTTTCAAATTGAAACCCCAAAGATTCATACCTAAAAACAACTACAAATCATCCTTATTCAATTTTATAAACTTTCCAATTCCAAAAAATCCTCGTTTCAATACTAAACCTTCTGCAAACCACCCCTAAACCTCAAATTTTCCCCTAAAAATCGCAAAAATTTTTTTAAATTTCAACTTTACACCCCCTAAACTACCATTTTAACTTACTGAAAGAAACAATCCAACCTTTCTTTTGATTTCCCATCATAAAAATACTCTCCAACTACATGTACAACTTCCAAGACCAGTCGGATCCGCTTCAATCTTACTGCACAATCCAAGAGTGCACCGTGCGTCGTTGTTATGCCAAAACTAATCAGTTGGTACAAAACCTAAAATTATTTTTTTATACCTTAAAACGGCCGTATTTTCCTTCACAACTTAAAAACAATCAATTTTCAACAATTTTTATCGTGGAATTTGAGTGGAAGATTTGTAATGTATTTTGCACTGAAAATCTTCCACCAAACTTCCATTTTAAAAATGCCGTAAAATGGCTTAAAAATCACTTTTTGACACTTTTTGAAAGTGAAAGTTGAGTGAAAGATTTTCAGTGCAAAATACATTACGAATCTTCCACCAATCTTCCACTTTTTAAAACTCACCAAAACATTCATTTACAAGCTTCAAATTGAAAAATACATATTTAACAAAGTTCAAACAGTAACTTTTTCAAATTTCAAGATTTTTGTGTCAAAAAATTTCCTTCCAATTCTCTTATATCAACCAATATTGCAGTACCCACCTTAAAAACGACCAATGTGCCACAAACGGTGTAGTTGAACAACTGTCCTAGATAAACAACAGAAGAGAACAATCTTTGATGCATTGTAGGATCATCGACTTCTAGTGACAATCGAATAAACTCTAGTATATCATCCACAACATATACCGCTATCCATGGTTGATAATCTGATAAGGCGCTGATCACCTTGGCCAGACGTTCGATTCCTGAGAAGGGTACTGCACATGGGTCCGTTAGAAGCTTGAGTGTGTATTCTGAAAAGCACAAAGTTCATTTTGACCAAAGTGTAGTTCAAATTTTAAAATTTAAAAAGTGGAAGTTTAGTGGAAGATTTTTAGTGCAAAATACATTACAAATCTTCCACCCAACTTCCACTATTTTAATTTTTTTTAAAATAGCCTAAAAACACGGTTTTAAGCATTTTTCGGGAGTGGAAGTTGAGTGGAAGATTTTTAGTGCAAAATACATTACAAATCTTCCACTCAACTTCCACTATTTTAATTTTTTAAAATAGCCTAAAAACACGGTTTTAAGCATTTTCGGGAGTGGAAGTTGAGTGGAAGATTTTTAGTGCAAAATACATTACAAATCTTCCACTCAACTTCCACTATTTTATTTTCGCAAAAACGTACAAAGTAAACAAAAACTTCACTTCCAATTCCTAAAAACGCCAAAAACTTTCTTTAAACCCCCCAAAAACAACAAAAACTTTCTTTCCACGCCCCAAAAGTTCGAAGAAGTAGCCCACCTCTAATCTCATCATCAACCCAGTTAATTCTCCTGAGTACTCTCAACGGTTTCTGGCCGTTGAGAATGCTCTTGGAGATGTATTGCTTCATTGGCGGTCTTCTGTTGATTTGGATCAGCTCTTCTTCCGATGGCAATACACAGAAGTAGGCATTTTCTAGTAATAACTGAAAAGTTTATTATTATAATTAGGTTTCAACTTTATTAAAAACGTTAAAAAACATTTAAAATGTGTTAAAATGTCAAAAACTTTCTTTCCAAATGAAAAAACGACCGATTTTAAGTCCTTTTTAAAAGTGGAAGTTGAGTGGAAGATTTGTAATGTATTTTGCATTAAAAATCTTCCACTTAACTTCCATTTCTAAAAAGTCATTTTTAGGCCATTTTAAGACATTTTGAAAGTGGAAGTTGAGTGAAAAATTTTCAGTGCAAAATACATTACAAATCTTCCACCAAACTTCCACTTTTCTTTTTTAGCCAATTTGACCTTAAAATCAAAGACATGAGATAACTATTGTATCTAGTGCTCAAAATCTTCCTTTTTATGACCAAGACACACTAAAATGTCATAAAAAAGCCTTCAAAACCCGAAAAATTGCCTTAAAATCGGCCAAAAACCCCCTTTTAAACCCCAAATATCAACCCTTTTTTCAAAATTCAAACTGCCAAACCCTACCTTATGTCTAGGGTCCTTAATTTTCTGTAATTTAGTGTTCAAAACAGTCAATATGACTTTCATTTTAGCATGACTTTCAGGTGATTTGTACATAAAAAGGCCCATTCCTTCGACCAAAGCGCACAACATATCCACCTTGTAGCCCTTCAAATCCACCAGTAATGACCGTAAACATGCTAGACCTTCGGCTTTTGGCAGTACGTTGAACTTGACCAACTCGGCAATGTATTTTGACACATGAACTTTAGCATCGATGCTTTGCGACCGGTCGTATGGGCCGGTCGATTTTTTCTTCTTTTCCTGTTGTTTCTTGGCGAATTGGCGGAAACGCTCAATTAGGCCAACTGCTACTTGTTTTGGGACTTCTGGGATTGAGGGCTTGATTGTGGCCATAAATCTAAAATTTTTAATTTTCAAAAATTTCGAAAAAAATCAAAAGCTCCCTAAAATGAGGTATAACAACTATTTTTTTGACCAAAGTTTTCCATTCTAAGACCAGAAAGCCTATTCTTAACTATCGTCAAGCAATTTAGTCAAAAATAAAAAAGTGAAAATTGAGTGGAAGATTTGTAATGTATTTTACACTAAAAATCTTCCATTGAACTTCCGCTCCTAAAAAAGTCCAAAAAGTCAATTTTAGCCCATTTTAAGACCTTTAAAAAATGGAAGTTTGGTGGAAGATTTTCAGTGCAAAATACATTGTAAATCTTCCACTCAACATTCATTTTTTAAAACTTGCTAAAATAGACCATTTTTGATTTCGAACCAAAGTCATAACCATTTTTTGTTGTTTAGGAAAGGTTCTAGCACTAGTGTCCCTCCATACCTTTCAAATTATCTTATACTAGTCCTTACCGAGTATAAAATGGCAGTAAATCAAGTCTATCAAACGGGGCCGCCAATAAATGTTGAATAAGCTTTTTTCTATTCGATCTTCGATTAAAATTGGTGATAAATTCAACAGCACACGCATCGATTCGTTCTCTATTGATGCCATTCGACAGTTTTTGCAAAAACTGTACCATTGTCGTAGAAGGACCACTGATTTGAACGAATGGCGATAGATTAACATCTTCTTGAGGTTGTTGTTGTTCCTCTTGTTCTTCATTCGCGTTTTCTTCTTCTTCTGGTTGTTCTTGGTCGTCTACAACTTCTTGGTATTCCAGTTCGTCTAGGTCTATATTGTCCACTTCATTTTCTATTTCACTGTCTTTATATTCTTCTTGTTCTTGTTCGTTTTCTTCTTCAGTTTGTTGAGTATTTTGGGCTGCTAGGAGGGTAGCATGTTCTACGTTCACTAAAAGTAAAAAAACCGTATTTTAAAAAACTTAAAATTTTAGGTAAAAAAATTTTTTTACAACTCACACAAATGTTCATAAAAAGTCCTGGTATCATCATCCAACCACAACGACTGTTTCCCTTCCGCCAGCTCCACATTCAACTTCTTGGCTTCAGCATCATCTTCTTCATCGTCACTCAGCTCTTCCGGCATCTCTGGCACCGTCTTTCCGATCCATGGTGCAAAGTCCGTAGCTTGGGCATGTAGTCGATCAAATTGGCCTTTCAAATCGTCATGCTTTGCACGATCTTCTGGTAGGGCATCTCCTGAAAAAAATTATATTATCCTTAATACCTATCTTTTGAAAAATCGCTGAAAATCAAAACCTTTGTTTCCAAATCACACCAAATATAAGAATTTACCTTTAGTTCTCTCCTGTCGCTTTATCGACTTGACAAGTTGATTCATTTTCATTCGAATTGAATTCAAATGTTCGACCAAAGAACTGAAGTAATCATCGAACAATCCACTGATCGCTTTCTTCTGATTCTTAGTCAAAACATCTGTCTCTATCACATTAACAGGTATCTGAGCTTCAGTCACCTTCAATGGAGGTCTATCAGTGCAATCAAAGTACGAGTACTTGCAGAAAGGCTTCAAAACGCTAATATTAACATGCTCAGCCTTGTCTGTTTGAATAAGATAGCCCAGAACTTGGCCAAGAAGTTGAATTCCATCTGTTTTTACTACTCCGTGAACTATCAAATCTGACAAGAATCTAAAATTATCCAAATTATAGAGAAAAAGGTCTGAACATTAGGTAAAAACAAAATTACCCATAATACTATGCATGTACAATATAAAACCCTTACTTTAGATCAACTCTAAGCTTCGCCGGATTCTTTAAGCTTTCCGACTTCTTTGTAGGCATATGTTTTTTCAATTCCGTAACCAAATGATGTGGAAACTGCGAGTATATTTGAGCAGCAGCCACACAAAACTGTATCAACGGCCCCAACTCCTCGATCTTCATCTTAGCTTCAACGACGCATTGAGCAATCTCATCAATAAATTTAGACAAATTAAGCTTTGAAAGATCTGGTATCAGACTGTCCGGAGTCACGGTAGCACCAATCAGCTTCACTTTCTTCATAAACGCCGTGACCTTCTTTAAGGTCGAGTCTAGCCGGCGGATTTGATCCTCGTCCAGACTGGGATTGTCGGAGAGAAACTAAAATAGTCGCATTAGCAAGATAAGACTATGGGCTACGTAATAATACCAATTTTCAACAATCCTTTATCTAAAAATCAATCAAGAACGAATAAAAAGTAACTTACCTTGCTGTTCTTCTTCTGTTCATCTCGAAATCTTTTCAAATCCTCAGCCCAAAGGTGCGGATCAAACTTGGGAGACTTTCTGCCATCATCTCCACTCATTCTAACTTCCACCAGTTCCAATAAATCACAATAACACCCGTATCTTCAGCTCAAAACGGCAGTAATTCGTTTAACAAACGATATGATCTAAAACACTATAAATAAAACCAATGTTTTGATGTCAAAAATTACAAAATAAATAAAACAAAGTATATGGAACAAAAATAGGGTATTTCCTAATTAGTCAAGACGTTAGCTAGCATTCCAACACCACTAGAAACGTTCGAGAAAATAAAATAGCGATCACATTTATTTATTGCGCCGCAGCCTGCACATTGATGTTCGACGAACTGCGCCCGTTTTCTTTATAGGCGCGTACTTTTTCCTGAATTTCGTTAACATCTACTTGTTTTAGCCGTTTGTTTATGCCTTTAATTATTGCCCTTTTGTTTTTTAGATAAAATAGGCATTTATGGACTTTCTTTACACTTTTTGTCATTGACCTACTTGTTTTGGCCAAAAACTACCTTATTATAGTTTGTAGATATTAATTAAAGTACTTTAATCGTTTTTGATGTACGTACAAAGGCAAGAGGGTTTTTTTATATGGTTTTTATATTGTAATTAGTCGTATATTTGATATATTAAAAGGCTGTTGAAAAATGACACGAAATTTTGGGTGAAAAAATTGTTTTTATATTATACTAGGTCAAGGGTACTATAATATCGATATTTCTTTAAAACACATACCTTTTGTTGTAAAAGATAGTAAATTGAATTGTCTTTGAACATTGTTCATTTCAGATTAACAGGTTTTGTCGTTCACACATTTTTTTATGTTATGATAGGCACACGTGTGTATCAGGTGATAGTAGAATAAAAAATTGAAGCCGGCAAGCTATCAATTTGGAATTGACTGTGTTTAAATATAATTAAATTTTCTATCTATTGCAATAAAAATTTTGGTTAAACTCATTCTGTCTAACGAAATATCGATATTACACTACCTTGACCTAGTATAATATATCGAAAAATTGATGTTTTTCTCAAAATTCTCGTCTAATCTCATGTTTACTCGCCGCCCCAATTAAAAACCTTCGAGTTACTGTATTTTATATGCATCGCTTATGGTTACAAGTTGTTTACGTCTCATTTGGGGATCAAAAAACAGCTCACCAAACGCTGGTTTTCCACGGAGTCACGCGTTTGTCGGAGACAAAAAGAAGTGGAGGGAACAAATCGGCGTGAACTGTTCTTCATTCAAAGTTCATTCTGGGAAGGGGTGATCTGTTTTTGAGGGGATAATATTGTAGAAAAGGTCAGAATAGGGCTATGTTGACTACCCCTGGTTTTCTATAGACTTTTTGACCTTTTCATTGTAAATTTTTGAACTAATCGACCATATTGAAGATCAAGTTCTGGAGAAACTTAAGGATTCTTATTACTTACAATATTAATATCGATTTGACATCTTGTTCAAAAATTCTTGGCCAATAACCCCCGGAATTTGCTATGATTTGTGGCGCAGAATTATTTGAACAACATAGTACTATCTTAACATAAATTTCTTAAGAAATTCCAAGACTTTCGTGGTGTTTAGTCTGTAAGAGTTCGTAAACAAAACCAGCAGCATTATATTTTTTACTTTTTGTTTTTCTTGAACTATGAAAAAGAGAATTTGGCTTCGAAAATAGATTTGCGGCCGTTTGGCCGCTTTTTTAATATAAAATGGTGTTTTTCAGCCAAATAGGAAAATTTAAGGATATTTTTGAATTGAAGTTTACCTGGAATGGTACAAATATCATTTTTTTGCAAAAAAATTGAAATATCAAAAAAAAATTTTTTTTTAAATTTTAAATTTTTTTTGAAATTTTGTGCACAATTGTGCCCAAACGAAACCCTAAAGTACAAAATGACATTTTATGAAAACATTGTGACCAAAAATGTCCAGATTTTAAAATTCTGCTCTTAAACAGTTCAAAATTTCACAATTTTCCGTGAAAAACCAAGGGGATTTCTCAAAAATTTCGAAATTTTGCGAAATTTAGATATAAAAAGGAACAAGAGAACATTGTTTAGAGACATAATTGATTATTTGTAGTTTTGTAATGACTTTGACTTGGTTTATATTGCTTAATTTTTTAAAATTTTATTTTTTACATTGCTTTAGGTGTTTTAATTAAAAGGGCCATTTTTATGGTCAAAAATGATGTTTTTAGTTTGAAAAACAATTGAAATTTAATAGAAAAAATCAATTTTTGTTAAAATCTTCAAAAAGTTGATTAAAAATTGCATTTTTAGCTGAAAAACGGCGAAAATTGGGCTGAAAACTCAGGTTTTTTGCCAAAAACTTTAAAAATCTTAAAAATATAATTTAAAGCTAGGTAAAGGATTATACTACAATAATATTGTTGTTTGAACAGTTGTTCGCTCACAAACTCATTAAAAACACCGGATGTTATTCATAATCCACCTCTAAAATCACGTTTTTCACTCAGACTTTCTCTTTTTTTATTGTAAATCACTGCCATTTTGACGTAAAAGGTTTTGTAAAGATTAAAAGTGCAATTAGAAATTATAATTTTATATATTATGGTTGTTTTGATACCTAATTTAATGATTTTCATACTTAATTTGCTATATTTAAATCGCCCACCTTCTTTATATTCAACGTGATTGACGCACGTCGTAGTGTTTTTGATGTTTTGAAACATGTTGTTATTGAATTTTCGATCTTTTAATCATTGTTTTGTGTTTTAGAAACGTCTATCAGCTGTATTGTAATACAGAAAAACATATTTGATTTGAAGTATATCGGATATTTGCTAAAATATAGTGAATCATGGGGCGTAAAGCTAAAAACGATAAGCTACCGAGTGCTGGTTTGAGTAAGTTTTGTTGCTTATACTTATTGAAAATTGCATATTTAGGTATCGAACAGTATGATGAAGCTTATACTCTACAAAATTGTATCAAAAACTTGTATTTTCTAAATGGTATTATAAAGTTATGGCACAAAACCTTTAAAAAATCTTGATTTTTTGCTATTTCTTACTCAAATTTCATTTTTTTTTTTGGTTAAACCGTCACACCTAAAATTTAAATTTTGATACAACAGCTCCTCAAGACTATGACGTATCAATCTTACCATAAATTTCAATTTCCAGAAGTCCCTGGAGCTCGTGACACCGACAACAGTGACGTCGAGTCGATATACTCCTCGGTTCAGGGCGATTATCAAGGATCTTTGGGCGATTCTGATGAATACAACGATGATATCTTGAATGTTGATTCGTTTGGGGAGTTGGTTGATAATGCTATGGATAAAAAGTAAGATTTTGACTTTTTTTGTGGTTTTAGGTATTAAAAGGGTGTTGTTCATGAGGCTGATGAGAGTGTTGAAGTTTTGATCAATTTTGAGAAACCTTGATGATTAATAGTGTTGTCTTATAATCATAGAGACGCGAAATTAATTTTTTAACGTTTTGTTAAATGGAAAATTTGTAGTTTGGTCTAATTTTTGAATTATGATGTTATCCATGACCTCAACCATGACCAATTTTCGAAAAACTTATTTTTTCGATTTTAACAAACTTTTTGTAGTGTAAACACCAGATGTACTGCCCTGGACCATCTGATAGCCATTCTCCGTCGAACAACGTTGCCAGAAGAGGTAGAAAAGCACAAGGCCACGTTATGTGACATTGTCGAGAAGAACATCCGCAGAACGACAGAAGAAGCCCTAAGAGCTCTAAAGCTGGGTCCACTTTTGGCAGTACAACTAGGCCTAGAGATTGAAGAAGAGCTGGATTGTGTGTTAAACTCAATGTCAGCTCTATTCTCGGATCCGTCAAAGTCGGAAGACTTGAGATCAGCAGCAGCCGAAGCCTTGGGTTTGACCGCTTATTTTGGATGTTATCGACCAGAAAAGAGAGGTGAATGCTTGTCGGCATTAAGGCAGATTTGGTACACAATGAAGCCAAGCACCAACTTGCCTAATTTGTTCGCAGCAACTCTGTTTTCATGGACTTTGATTTTGGAAAGGGTAAGCATGGTTAATATCGGGGAAGAGCGATTTTTTGAAAGTTTTAGTCAAGTTAGGGGAATTAGATGATTAGGTAACAAAAAGGATTGAATAAGGGTTGTTTATAGATAAAATTCAGTGTTGAATAATTTTATATTCATACAGTTTTGGCATTTTAAATTTCAGCTTTGATAAGGATGAATAATATCGGGGAAAATCAATTTTTCAAAAGTTTCAGACAAGTTATGAAAATGAGATGAGTAGGTAATGAAAAGGATAGAATAAGGATTTGTTTTTGTGTAAAATACGGACTTGTTAACTTTCCGATCATATATTTATGGCACCTCAAAGTCTACCACAATATGCTTATTAAAAGAATAATATGCCATTCTTTTTTAGTGTGATGAAACCCAAATTGGCGATGCCATTGAAGAAGTCCAGCCAAAACTTTGCTCATTCCTTGCCTCCAACTCAGTAGACGTCAGAGTAGCGGTCGGCGAATCCCTGGCCGTTCTCTACGAGCTGGCCGTCCAGAATGTGGATGAAGAATATGAATTCCCCAATCACGCTCAGCTCAGAAGCACACTAGACGAAATGAGCGCGGACTACACGAAAAGCCACGCCAAGAAGGATAAGCGACTTCAGAAATGGACCTTCAGGCAATGTATCGACGCCATTTTCAACGAAAAAGCTCCAGAATCTACGGTGAAATTTAATAAAAACGAGCGACTGGAACTAGAAGGATGCCATTCCAAGCTGTTGTACGACTATCTTTGTCAGTTGTTGAAGGGCGATCTGAATAACCAATTGACCAAGAATGAAGTGCTAAGAGAATTGTTTGATTTGGGACCGGTGAATGTGGTAGAAGAGCAAGTTTTGTCCAAATCGGCCAAAAATGAAAAGGTAACGGCGGGGATTTTGATGATTTTGGACTTTGTTGGTTTTTAGGTAACAAAAGGTCATTTTTTTAGTTTTTAGGGTTTTTACAAGGGAAGTGTCTCACCTCATTCCGGAGATATGAAACGGGTCTAGGCTCATTTGAAAGCCTACTTGAATACAAATTTAACAAAAAAAATTTTTGTATTTAACTGATTAAAACTACTCTATTCAATGCTATATAGTACAAAAAACAAAAAAATTTTTTTTGGAAGCAGTTAAAGCAAAACGAATTGGCAGGGATCGAACCCTTCTCCTTTTACCCCTAAACCCAACACTCAACCACTGAACCACCGAATCATCGGTTTCTCTTGTTTTCTTTCTCGATCCCAATCGTTCACAAACGCAAAACAAAAAAAGCACTGCAAATTTTTAAACCGTCATAACTTGCCTCAGGGGCTTATTCGGCAGCTAAATTTTTTTTGTTGAATTTGTATTCAAATAGGCTTTTAAATGAGCCTAGTCTCGATTCATATCTCCGGAATGAGCTGAGACACTTCCCTTGTTAGAAGCAGGAAGATGGTTTTTTATACTATATTAGATGAAGGTCTAATTAAAAATGGCATTTGTAAACGAGTTTTTTTAACTTTATTGGTTGGCTTTTAGGTAACAAAAAGTAATTTTTTGGAATTTTAAGCCTTTTACAGACCTAGAAATTCTTTTTTTTATATAATTCTAGGTAGTACTTTAATTAAAAATGGCATCTTGGGCTCATTTAAATTTCTTTATCAATTTTGATTTTTTCAAATTTTGTGTCATTCCCAATCGAATAACCTCGAAATTTGCAGAAAAACCAGCTGAGCAACGCGGACAAACAAAGAAACATTCGTCGTGCCAAGCTCCGCGACAGAAAAGCCTACTAAAACAGCCAAAAATGGTCGAACGGGTACCACGTACTCTAGTGTTTTATGTACAATATTCTGCCGATTTCCTCGTGTAAATGCCTTTAAATTGATTGAATTCTTTCTATGAATCGAGAATTTTTTTACTTCATTTTAACTGTTTTTATAATTTTTTAAAAAATTTTTGTTTTTTATGTTATTGTAGGTTAGGCCTTTTAAGGTGAAAACTGCTCACAAACAGTTCAATTTTGGTTTTTTATGTTGTAGAAAAGTTTGAAATTTAATTTTGAAATTAAAACTTTGGGCTAAAGGCCTCATTTTGGTCTAAAAACTAAGTTTTAAGCCTAAAATCACCTCTTTTCGTCCCCAAAAATCCGAATTTTTAAATTAAATTTCAATTTTTCAAAGTCAAATTTTAAATTTTGAAATGTGCTTTCCAATAACATATTCCGAGTACTTTTCCCATGTGATTTCATGTCACAAACGTCAAAGTCTTCCGTCGTAGCTGATTAATTATATTGTTGTAGGTAACAGACGTCGATCAGCTCAATTTTTGTTGTTTTTATGGTTTGTTGGCTAATAAATTGTAAAATCTTCAAGGATTTGAATTTTCTTTTATTGTTTTTAATATTGACAGCATATTCAAGTATATAATACCATTTATTTCAAAATGCCCGTAAGTTTGACTCTAAACAGGATGGATAACATAAAATAACATGAAAGGTTGAAAAAGAAGGCAATAAATACAATTTTTGTTAAAAAATGTCATAGTATGTCGAAAAAGGTAGAGTATATCAAGGTAAATCCATGAAGGTTGCGAAAAATGGCATAGAATATCATAAAAGGCTATAACAATAAGGCTATGTTAATATATGTTATGAAAAAATGAAAATTGGCCAAAATTCAAAAAGAGGTTATGAAAATTATTATGTATAAGACAACAGTGTAAAAAGTGATATGTGAAAATATGTAAGAATGGCACAAAACGTAAATTTTTGTTGGTAAAAGCACCGGTTTTTGAAATTTTAAGGCGATTTTTGACTAAAAAACGGAAATTTTCGTTGAAAATTCGGTCGATTTTTAGCTATAACTTAAAGACACTCTAGTTTTTGCTCACGTCCTGGCTTGAATTTGATGAATAAGGCTATTTTGAAGATATTAAAAGCTATTTAGCATCCTTTTCAGTCGATTTTCCTTCATTTTTCGTTACCTCATCTTCTTCCAAGCTCTGTAACTCCAAATTCTTAACAGCTTTGTTACTGTCCACTTCCGTATTATCTTCTACAGACTTTGCTCTATCTTTTGAGTCGAAGTTATCCATGTTTTCAGTCGATTTTAGGAGGGTACCAGCCGATTTCTCCTCATTACCTCTCGATTTTCCCTCATTTTTTGGTACCTCATCTTCTTCCAAGCTCTGTAACTCTAAATTCTTAACAGCTTTGTTGCTATCTACTTCTGCATTATCTTCTCCATTCTTTTCTCCATCTTTTAAGTCCAAATTAGCGTCATTATCGGTCGATTTAGTCCCACTTCTAATTGATTTCTCAGAAGCCTTATCATCCTCAATATTCAAGCTTTTTACAGCGCAATTACTGCCCATTTCTGGTGAGTGGACTGGACTAAATTTGTGGTCTAGAGAAGCTTGAGTAGTCTGGCTGAGGATTGACTGATTTTCAGGTTGATCGGTCGGTTTGCTGGTCCAGGTATTGGGGGCGACTTTCTGATGTTCGTCTTGATCAAGATTTTCTGAAGCTGTATGAGTAGTACCAGTAGGAGCATCAGGCTGATTTTTGGCGGTAGATGGATTTTGTGGACTACTTTGGTCATTTGTAGTACTATCAGTACCAGTGGCAGCATTAGTACCACCAACTGTACCAATAGCGCCACCAACGGTACCAGTAGTACCATTCGCATTCCCACGCCCATTTTCATCGTTCTTGTCCAAGTTTCCGTTCCTCGACCGGTCGATCCCATCATCCAGTTCAGTCTCTTCGATCCGAGCCAGACTAGCCACCCCGTTCTCCTCAGGTCGTAACGGCTCATGAGCCTCACGATGACCGACCTCCGCATCCGATGCAGTTGTGGACTTGCGATTCCGCTTCTGACAACCGTAGCAACACCACGCTGTTTGAGCGAAACGTTGCCGAATTCCGCGAATTATGTTGCCCGGCAACTTTTGGTGTTGCTGAATCATGGATTCGATCTGAAAATGGCGTTTTTTAAGCGATTCTAGGTTTGAAAAGGCATTTGAAAACCATTTTAAGCCATAATATTCAATACAAACCCCAAAGCTTACGATTTAAAAAAGTGGAAGTTTGGTGGAAGATTTGTAATGTATTTTGCACTAAAAATCTTTCACTCAACTTCCACTTTTAAAATTTCTTAAAATGGCTTAAAAACAAGATTTTGAACATTTTTAGAAGTGGTCAGTGCAAAATACATTGCAAATCTTCCACTCGTCTTCCACTTTCCGAATGGACTCCAAAACCCACTCCAACTAAAAAGCTATGAAGACGTCAACCTACCTTCAGTTTGACCTTATCTCTAACATCTTCTGGTGAGGTATTTGGGTCAAAATACATTGGTTCTCCCAAATGGCAGACCATTTTCACAGGGAATCCCCCATAAATCGGACATAGCGGTAGCCTAGTCCTTTCGTATAACGTTCTGGTTAGCCATCGAGCCCAGCCTGGTGTCCTGATGTACTCGTGACAATTCGTGGTGAATACGGGAATGATAGGCTGAAAATACTTGATTTGAAGGGACTGTAAACAAAGTTTTTGTCATTTTTTGTTTTGTAAAGAAAGTTTTTGCCATTTTTTAAAGTTAAATTAAAGTACAGACCATTTTTGATGTAAAAACCAAAATTAACATAAAGTTATAGTTTGTAAGCAAAGTTATGTCAATTTTAAAAAAGTGGAAGTTGAGTGGAAGATTTGTAATTTATTTTGCACTAAAATTCTTACACTAAACTTCCACTTCTAAAAAGTGTCAAAAAATCATTTTTAGCCCATTTTAAGATATTTTAAAAATGGAAGTTAAGTGGAAGATTTTTAGTGCAAATTACATTACAAATCTTCCACTCAGCTTCCACTTTTTTTAATTGCTCGAAAACATGATTTAAAGCAGGTTATGGTTCTACGAAAACGTTACCCCGTATTTTACCTTTATAGATTACTGTTTTTAATTGCCGCAAGAACTTTCTTTCAGTAAAAAAATTTTTACACAAAAAAATTTAAAAATGCCATTTATAAGATAATACCTACCACATTAGCCCCCAACGCCACTTTGGCAAAACCCATTCGCTTTCCCCACATTACATTATACTTGGCCGGATCACAGTAGAGAGCCTCGCGTACTCCGCCCGGGGCGATGATCATTAAATGACCGTTCTTCAAGTTGGCTATACAATCCTCCACCGTGCCGGGCGTGGCACAGAACAGTTTTACAATTGCGCCCCACCCTGAAAGTAGCATTGTGAAAATTAAAAAACAAAATTATTGCCGCAACTTACATAACTTATGGTAAAACAATAAAGCCTTAGAGAAATTGTAAGAAATGATATTACGTAACGTTTTATTATGTAATTTTATGACTTTATATAATACTTGCCTCGATGTAAAACGACCCAACAACTTACTGCGAGTGTTGGGTTTTACTCTATATAACTACGAGAGATCAGTTAATAAACTGGGGAATAGGACAAGATCTAAGCCTACCAAGCCTAAGCCTACTAAGCCTAAGCCTATTAAGCCTAAGCCTACTAAGCCTAAGCCTACTAAGCCTAAGCCTACTAAGCCTAAGCCTACTAAGCCTAAGCCACAGCCTACTAAGCCTAAGCCTATTAAGCCTAAGCCTACTAACCTAAGCCTACTAAGCCTAATGCTACTAAGCCTAAGCCTACTAAGCCTAAGCCTACTAAGCCTAATCCTACTAAGCCTAAGCCTAAGCTTAATTAGCCTAAGGCTAAGCCTATAAGTCAAATGATATTAAGTTGTATAAATGTAATGAGCTAGGTCTCTCGTAGCAATATAGAGTTCAGTAGCTCATTACTATTTAAACAATCTAATACAAATTAAAAAAGCCAGTACTTACCGGGCACCTTGAAGACAAACTTGTCCGCAACACAATGAATCGTCCTATTTTTGTATAAAATGACATTGGCAATGAGGTAATAGATATCTAGAGGTAGAGTTCCATGAAATGTTATAAATAAGGCTGGGCCCTGATCCGGCACGTTTTCGATCCCTTTCACTTCGTAGCCTAAAAGATGGTAGATGGACCACTCGTATTTTACAAAAAATAGTCCATTTTAACCATATTTTAAAATGGAAGTCGAATTTTAGACCTTTCAGAAAAGTGGAAGTTAAGTGGAAGATTTTTAATGCATTTTGTGATAAAAATCTTCCACCAAACTTCCATTTTCAAAAAGTCTTGAAATCGCCTAAAAATGAGTTTTTGACCCTTTTTAGAGATGAAAGTTCGATGGAAGATTTGTAATGTAATTTGCACTGAAAAGCTTCCGCCCAACTTCCGCGTCTAAAAATTCTTAAAACGTGTTTTTAGGCCATTATAAGACTTTTTAAAAGTGGAAGTTGAGTGGAAGATTTTCAGTGCAAAATGCATTACAAATCTTCCACTGAGCTTCCACTCCTTTAAATGGCCCAAAATTTGCTTTGAACCTTTCTTTCTGAATAAACATTGATAAAAAAGGCTTTTTAGGTATCCCAAAGCATGTTTTATAGTACGTACTATGAAGTAATAAATACTATATATATACCTCTATATTACCCATAGTAACTTACCATGCCAAGCACAAGCAAACCCGTCCCAAAACGAAGCGATCGAAGTCCGGACCCCATCCCAAACACTGCTCGAATAGGCTTCGCGGATCTGTTTTCGAAAACCATAAGCGTGCATGAAGATGACGCAGCCATACATGAACACCAGAATGGCAGCCGGTAGAACAAATGCGATTAGTAGGGGTAGAAAGGGGTAGATTATGTACTGAAAATGGCAATTTGTAGTAAAAAACCTTTTTGGCAGGTTTTAAAAAGTGTAAGATGAGTGGAAGATTTGCAATGTATTTTGTACTGAAAATCTTCCACTAAACTTCCATTTCCAAAAGTGTCAAAAATGCATTTTTAGGTAATTTTAAGACTTTTTAAAAATGGACGTTTGGTGGAAAATTTTTAGTGTATTTTGCACTGAAAATCTTCCACTCAACTCCCACTTCACAAATTCTTTGAAATTGTTCAAAAATCAATAAAAGATATAAATTTATGTGTAAAAGGTCATATTGACCAAAATTTTAATGATCTTTGAGCTTAAAAATATGATTTAGTCCTATTTGTTACCTAAATTTAAACTGATCTAGTAAAAAAAGTAAAGTAATTTTAAAAGGACACGACTTACATCAAAGAGATCATCCCAAAAGTCCAGTACGCCATTTGCGAATTTTTGTAAAATCTCGTATTTTGTTGTTTCGTTCATTCTGAAAACACATTTTTAAATTAAAAAAAATCATTTTTAGTTCAAAAAACGGCAATAACTTATTTACAAAACAGAAAATGACAAAAATTTAGTTGACAAAGTCATAAAATGACAAAAAATATCTCTACAAATATCAAAATGGTAACAATTTTCATTAAAACTTCGAAAACCAGCCATTTTTAAAGTGGAAGATGGGTGGAAGATTTGTAATGTATTTTGCCTTAAAAATCTTCCACTAAACTTCCATTTTCAAAATGTCTTAAAATAGCCTAAAAATGACTTTTTGACACTTTTTAGAAGTGGAAGTTGAGTGGAAGATATCTAATGTATTTTGCACTGAAAATCTTCCACTCAACTTCCATTTTTTAAATGTCTGCAAAACTTGTTTTTGACCAAAAAATTGATTAAAGACTAATTTTTAGGCTTGATTTTAGATTAACAAAGCAAAAAAATTAAAAAAAATTTTAATGACGTCACTTTGGCATCGTACTACCCAAAATTAACTTACTTTGGCCGGTTGAAAGTATAATATTATAAGTGTAACTTCCGGCTGCACTTCACCTGCGGGCTTTTGAGACGTTGAATTTTCAAATTCATTGCATCTTTTTACGTCTGCAAGTAAATATCATGTTACTTTATTATATTTTTGTAGTATATTGTCGATCTTCTTGCAAAAACTTTGTTTACACGAGCGAAAAGATAGAAAATACAGAAAAATTAAAAAATAGTACTCACTATCAAATGACAAGAACTTTCTTTACATCTTAAAAAACGGTCGATTTTCAGCTATTTTTAAAAGTGAGAGTTCAGTGGAAGATCTGTAATGTAATTTGCACTAAAAATCTTCCACTCAACTTCCACTTTTAAAATGTCTTAAAATGGTCTAAAAACACGTTTTTAAGCATTTTTGAAATTGGAAGTTTGGTGGCAGATTTTCAGTGCAAAATACATTACAAATCTTCCACTCAAATTCCACTTCCAAAACACCTTCAAATTGCCATGAAATGATCTAGAAATCATCTTTTTACAAAAAATAGCAAAACCTTTATTTCCCCATACCAAAAAAAACTAATATAAGCCTAAAAAGTTAATTTTCATACCTAAATATCACTGTTTTTAAAACATTTTTATTAAAAAAGCTACCGGAAATCATTTGTTTGTTGAAATTTCGTAGCAAAATACAAAAAAAGACAAAACAAAGCTGTTTTGTAGTCGAGGGTGAATTTCAAAATATTTGAAATAGCGAAAAAGAGCGAAAAAACAAAGATTTTGTATTCAAATTAGATGATTTTTGGTGTCTAATGAGTAATACCTACGTCTAACATACCTAAAATTGAATTTTTTGACTTGAAAAGGCTACAAATAGCAAAAACTTTGTTTACAAGACAATAAATGGACAAAATTTTATTTACAATGATTACAAATAATCGTTTACTAAAGTGGAAGTTGCGTGAAAGATTTGCAATGTATTTTGCACTAAAAATCTTCCACTAAACTTCCATTTTTAAAATGGCTTAAAATAGTCTAAAAATTATTTTTTGACGCTTTTTAGAAGTGGAAGTTGAGTGGAAGATTTTTAGTGTATTTTGCACTGAAAATCTTCCGCTCAACTTTCATTTTTTAAATTATGTCTAAAGTCTTAAAAACACTTAAAAAATTGTTTAGTGTCAGAAAGGTTATATTGGGGTTGTAAAATGCATTTCTGGCGCAAAATAAAAAAAAAATTTTTAAATTTTTAAAAATTTCGAAAATTACAAAATTTTCACTGAACTCTGGTAACTCTTCAGCTATATCCCCTCCTCCTCAATTCCCACCCCCACTGTCTTGACAGTCTAACCTGAAAAGGAGTCCAATAAGTCTAGTTCTGGCTTGGATCGAAAAATTTGAAACAAACCGGGCCGAAACAAGTTGAAAGAGGCCGTGCCAGATCCTGCTGGCCCAGACAGAAAAACCGAGCCCGCTCCGATTCCTTTACAAATCTAGCCCAGCTCTCTTCTATTTAAAGAAGCGTTTTTTGGGCCAAAAATAAGTTCCAAAGGTCAAAGCGCTTTGTTTTCGGCTTGTGGCCAGCGGATTGAGGAGACGAGACATAGCGACTGACAAAGCCTTTCTTTATTCGACCAAAAGATTTGAAACTCGCGAATTCAATAAGAAATGGCAAACTGAAAGGAAGCGCAATTTTTGTCTAGACTATGTTTTTTGGGCTAACAATAAGCCGGTGGTTTTAAACTTAAATAAGCCTAAAAAGTAGATTTAAGCCTGAAAATTTTCCTTAAAACAGGAGTTTAAGCCTAAAAAATAATCGCCAAAATGGTTTTCGAGCCTTGAAATGGGCCTAAAAGTAAGTCAAAGAACTTGAAATAAGTATAGTGAACAGTTTTAGTAAATTAAAAAAATCAAAGTCAAATGGAAGATTTTCAGTGCAAAATACACTAAAAATCTTCCACTCAACTTCCACTTACACAAAGTGGTAAAAACTCGTTTTTATACCATTTTAAAACATTTTAAACATGGAAGTTGAGTGGACGATTTTTAGTGCAAATTACATTACAAATCTTCCACTCAACTTCCACTTTCAAAAAACGCTTAAAATCGACCGTTTTTGAGCTGTAAACTAAGTTTATGACATTTCTAACCTTTCTAAACATAGCTAAACAAAACTACGCGTAAAATGAAGCGTAGAAGTATAAGAAAAGCCTAAAAAAGCCTGCAACTAGCCTAAACCCTGCAAAAAAACCTTCAAAAAACGTCATTTTTCTCAAAAGTGACATTTCTTTTGACCCTTTTACCAAAACACAGTGGACCGTGTCTAAGCCTAACCCAAAAAGACCCAAAACTTAAAAAAACTTTTTTTTTCGCCAAAAAAAGTCTAAATTCATTTAAATTTGGCCTCGGGCGAAAAGTTTTAAAGAAGAGGTTTAGAATCCAATTCCGGCCGTAGTCAATAACAAAAAATGCCTCAGGCCAAAAGTGGGGGTGGGATTACAAATAATACGTAGATTATTGGATTATGCACGAAGAAACTTTGTTTACACAACAAATAACGGCAAAAACTTTGTTTACAAAATGACAAGATGCAAAAATTTTGTTTACAAGACAGAAAATGACAAGAACTTTCCTTACACAATAAAAAATGACAAAAAAATTCAGCATATAACAGAAAATAGCAGCAACTTTCATTACAATGTCTAGAAAAAAGCTCTTCAATTTCAAAAATGCCTTAAAAATACCTAAAAACACGTTTTCGACACTTTTTGGAAGTGGAAGTTATGTGGAAGATTTTCAATGTATTTTGCACTGAAAACCTTCCACGAAAATTCCACTTGCAAAAAAGTGTTAAAAAGTCATTTTTAGACCATTTCAAGGCATATTAAAAATGAAAGTTGTGTGGAAGATTTTCAGTGCAAAATACATTACAAATCTTCCACCAAACTTCCACTCTTTTTATTTTTCTCAAAACCCCTAAAAATACCCAAATCTCTATTCCAGTAATGGAATCCTTTGAAAAACCTTAAAAAGTAGTCTACTTTGTCATTTGACGTACATCAAAATGACGAGACATTAAAGCGCTCAAGGTAAAATAATTCCTGAATTAGCTGTAATAAACAAAAGAAACGTGGGGAATTGGAAGGAATACAGTTATTGCAACAGGGTTTTTTCGTTTTTTTAACTTTCTGTATGAAAATGTTGTCAAATTAGAGGAAAATGGTGAAACTTAGTTTCCAAACTGCGGGTAAGATGTTATACGATGAATAAGCTAAAGCATAGTTGATAATTCAAGTTTATGAAAAAAATGTTAAAAATACTAAAAATGAATTTTTTTCGCCTAATATTCAAAAATACCAAAAAACTCATATTTTTCAAATAATTAAGCTTTGCGGCCTGCGGTTGACATGTTATACGATGAAAGAGTTAAAGCAGGTATGATAGTAAAATTTGAGCAAAAATGGTAAAAAATAAGTATGTTTTAATCCAGGGCCGGGCGCGAGGGGGGGGGGGGGGGGGACGGAAAAGGGTACCCCCCAGAAAAAAATTTTCGAAAAAATTTGAACGTGGTCCCCCATGTGGATTTTTGGACCCCTGCCCCCAGACCAAAAGTCTCCGCCCGGCCCTGTATACCACGAATACGTTAAGTCAGATTTACCATTAAAAATATGATCAAAAAAGGAAAAAACAGTTATTGTCAGACTATGAATGACTCAAAATTAACAAAAAACAAATTTTTAAAACTTTTTGAAAATTTAAAATTTTGATTTTTTGCCGTTTTTATCCAATATTAAACTTGTCTTAAAGCTTTTTATCAAAATTTATGCTTGTCATCAAATTTAAAATTAAATCTCTTTAAAATTCGTACCCTAAAGCTCTTTAAAATTCTATAAAAAAGTCTTATTTAATCAAAAACCTTCATTTAAAAGCTATTTTTATTCAAAAATTAAAGCAATTGGGCCATTTTCATCGCGAAAACAAGCTAATTGTGCCATTCTTAACCTTCATTTTTTGATAATTTTAAAGTGCAAAAAATAGCCTTAGTCTAGACTAAATGGGATTTCATTTTTTTATTCCGGAAGAGGCCAAAAAAATGGTCGAAACGCGTTAAAATCCTTTTAAAAACCTCTCGAAACAAGCACTTTTCTCCGTTCGCTCAAAGTTTTTGCATAAAAAATGAGGGAAATTGAATAAATTGCGGGGGAATTGGGAACAGCTGCCGTGAGAAAAGCGGCAAGAACTTTCTTTACAAAAAAAATGGCAAGAACTTTCTTTACAGAACAAAAAGTGGGAAAAACTTTCTTTACAAAACAAGAAATGGCAAGAACTTTATTTACAAAACATAAAATAGCAAGAACTTTCTTTACAAAACAAGAAATTGCAAGAACTTTCTTTACAAAACAAGAAATTGCAAGAACTTTCTTTACAAAACAAGAATGGCAAGAACTTTCTTTACAAACTGAAAAATAGCAAGAACTTTCGTTACAAAACAAAAAATGGCAAGAACTTTCTTTACAAAACAAAAAATGGCAAAAACTTTCTTGACAGACTCAGAAAGCCAATTTTTCTAAAAAGTTTACAAAACAAGATCATATTGTAAAAAGCATGACTATTACAGTGAAAAGAGCTCAGAACAGTCTGAATGGAAAAACCGAAGCGATATCATGGATTAATAAAGAGGTGATTCATACCCGGAAAATATTACACATCATTCGGTTTTATTGTCATTTTCATGGTTTTTGGAAGCTTTTTGAAACTTTTTGAGAGTGGAAGTTGAGTGGAAGATCTGTAATGTATTTTCCACTGGAAATCTTCCACTTCTAAAAAGTGTCAAAAAGTGATTTTTGAGCCATTTTAAGACATTTTAAAAGTGGAAATTGAGTGGAAGATTTTTAGTGCAAAATACATTGCTAAATCGTCAATAAACTTGAAAAAATCTTTTAAAAAATCAAATTTTTAAAAATCAAACTTTCAAAATTTGCTCAAAATCAATATAAAATCAAAAACACAAGTCCTCCTCTATTTTTAAACAACCAAAACACGTTGTTATTCCCAAATATTTTGTAATAAACCCACCAAAAAGATGGTTATCTATAAAAAAACGTTGAAAAAGGTAGGAAAAGTGAATGAAAAACGAAAAACAGCTCATTTCCCCATTTCTTTCAAAAATATATTTTTCCAACACAAACAGACAAAACGTCTTCCGACCCTGAGGGGTTTTCTTAACAAACAAAACCTTGCAAATGACCCCGAATATCCATTGAAAATGACCAAAAACTGGGGGAAAAGCGGAAGTTGAGCCGGGAAAAACGGCAAGAACTTTCTTTACAAAAAGCTAAATTAAAAACTGTTTTAAAAAACCAAAGGAGAACACCATTCAGCATCGTATCATAAAAATTAAGCCAGATCAACGTTCAAGAACACCATGTAATATCAAAAAATACATCAAAAGTTCGGTGTAATATAAACCAAAATTCAAAAACATCCCCTAAATCAATGTAACACAAAAAATTTAAAGTCAAACCCACAAAATATTATCTAAAAAACATCCGAAATTCAGAATTTCAACAAATTTTTTCTCCGACTTCATTTCCTTGCAGCAAAATGCCAACGAAATGGCGCGTAAAAAGTGATTCAAACACGAATTTTTCGAAATTTTGCCGTTTCCTCGACAAAATTTTGTTTTGATAATTGTTCCCGCTGGCAAAATACACTTATAAATTGAATATTGTTAAAATATATTGTTCAGATATATGTTTAATTGTTTTTAAGTGTTTAACAGGTTTTTGAGAGGTTTAGACCCGTTAATTTTATTGTGGTAGGTGTTGAAGTTAGTAGTTTTGAAATATGATAGATAAAATGATGTAAACTATTGGTCTTTGGAAAGAATAGTTAAAGAAAGGTTTGGAGAAGGTATATAAATTTTTTAAAATTATAAAACTCTAGGTTTTTACAACTGGACGTAAGTTATATTATTCATAGGATAGCTGGTGCTGTTAGCGGTGTTTAGCCGTTTTGGTGTAACTTTGTGTTTTATAACGTGGATATCTATTTTGAGATGCGATCTTATTAAAAATTACGATTACTTTATAACATTTTATCTATTTGCAGCACATTAACCATGAGTCAAGCAGAAGGCTTTCTGACCGAAGAAAACATAGCTGAAGACGCGAAGCAGCACGAAGGACATCATGTACCGTTAGATGATACTACAGAGACAGTGTATTCAACAGATACAGATCCCGTTTTAGCAAAGTCACCAGTTAGAAAGACGTCTGAGGTAGGTATATAGTTTGATGTTTTTTATGTTTAGGCGTGAAAACTATGTCTGAATTGGATGAAATATAATGCGGAGTAATGTTGAGATTGTAGTTATTGCATTTTTGTTGATTTGGAACATAATTTTTGCAGTTTTTAAGAAGTTTTGTTAAGTTATGGCAAAGGTATAGAGAATTTTTGATATTGTTATAGGGTTTTGGCTATATCTGGTGGTTTCTTGCATTTATAACAGTAATGCAGTAAAAAAGATACTCTAGAGTATAATAATTGTTTTTTAGGCAGGCAAATCCACTCCAGCCATTCAGCGTCTTCACAAAACCTTAAATCAGATTACTGTTCATTCTCCTAGTGATAACATAATGTCCCCATGTTCTCAGCGAATCAATTTGATAGGCCATCGCAAACTGCACGGATCCCAGCCTGCTAATATCCTGAAGCGGAGATTTAAGAAGGATATTCAATCGCGGAAGCTGGAGTTCGGATCTAATCATAATAGTGATGAAGAGCTTGAGGATAAAGAGAACCCGGAAATAGTACCAGACGGCGATGTGGTACAAATGGTGGATTCTGGCGACTTGGTACATCAGGAGGATGAGTTTGACGTTGATGTGGAGCCGGATTTGGAAAATGGTGCATTTGTTACTGATGGTACCCAATATGCTACTGATGGTGTTCAATGTGTAGCAAATGGTCAATCACAACATTCTGATGGTAGTGGTAGTTTCTCTAGTGAAAGTTGCACCAACATAAACGCAAATGACAGTATCGCCAATGTGCACGACGTTACAGACGACCCCCACGATGCTACGGCTGATTTCGAGCAGAATTCCTAAGATTATAACATAAGTGCCTTGTTCATGTATTATTAATGTAAATGTGAGTAACTAGTATGTATTTTGGAATAAAATTTGTTTCGAAGAAGTGACTGAAATTTTAAGTGTTTTTTCCATATTGTTGTATATGATCTTACTATATAATAATAAAGAGCTTTTTGTATTTATTTTAGAGGATTTATATAGGTGTTTGGTCTGTAAAGGAAATTTTTGTCGTTTTGTGTTTTGTTAAGAAAGTTATTGCCATTTTATCTTCTGTAAGGATTTTGGCATAACGCATCAACAAAACTCGTGTTTTCCCGCGAACAACGTGATTTCTTTTGAAAAATACGAAAAAATTTCAGAACCTTCGTTGAATTCAACGTTCTTTGACGTCGAAAATATTCGCCTTTGTTTACTGCGTGCGGTATACGAGGTTTTTCGCGTTTTACGCTACATATTTTGTCTAGAAATCACGAGAAAATGGGAGGAATCGACCTGGATTCGCTGCGAAATTTCGCGAAAATCCCGCCGAAATGAATATAAGCGATCGTTTCGCTGCGATTTTTTCAATATTTCAACTTGAACTTGTTTTGATATTACTGTTTGGATTTCATATTACTTGTTTAAAACCATCTTTGGTTACTATTACTTGATTTTTACTGATATAATCAAGCAGAGATCTATTGTAGTATTCAAATTTTTGTGGATCGATCAACTTTGACTGATTTTAACTCAACTGGTCAATAATATTACTTGCAATTTCGCGTCTTAAAAGCTTCAGCAGACTCTACAGAAACTTTTGCGTACCAATTCAACCACATTGAATTGGATTAACTGATTGAATAGATTTATATTGTAGTAGGGAATTTTCGTCGATTTGGTCAACTTTGATCAACTATATCTTCTTGAATTGATCAGATACTGGATTCTACTTGTTTTTATAGTTTCAGAATACTCTACGGATTCTAAGGCTATATTATCTACCTATATCACAGACTTCTTCTAGCCGAAAATTTGAATTTTCGTCAGTTTTTGGCCGATTTTTGTGAAAAATGACTGTACCGCCAAACTTTTACGTTTCAAAAGATAACTGTCCATCACCAGCTACTTCATTGTCAGATGTGTCGGACATTTACCCAAGATTGTCGAGGAAGCGAACGTGGTCAACAACGACGGAGGATGAAGTTTTTCTACCTAAAATGGCAGCGATCTTCCCTCGAGTTATTATTCCAAGGACTCATTCTACGACGGATTTGGAGGAGCTACATCGTGCTCATTGGAATTATTGGAATGAGGTTTAGTGGTTTTTTGTATTGTATATGATTTAGCGATGTTTTATTTTGTCTTTACTAGGTTGTAGATGTCTCACCGCCAAATTATTGTACATATTGTAGTAGGCTAAATTTTGTTTGAGTTTATATATTGTATCCTTTTATAAATATTATTCTCATTGTAAAAATTGTATTATAATACCTTTAAGATCATTCCAGTGCCTTTTTATTGTATTTTTAAAAATTACTATGAGCTATGTTATTGTTGTTACCAATTATTTGTTAGGTAAAGCTATTTATTAGCAAATAAACTTAATATTATTAGATTTAGCTTTCTACATGATTATACGACAATGTATATGTTGGTACAAACTCCAAGCTAAAAGTGTTCTACGTTAAGCGGCTGGGCCAGTCCTCCTCCGCCGAAAACCGCTGGTATAAGACGAAGTTTCGGCCAAAACTGCATACACTTGTTGTTTCTGTCGGCCCAATATCTTCAGTAATTGCTTGCGAAACGGTGATATGAAATATATCATGGTTAGGAAGTCTATAAAGCCATGTAATTGCATTAACATTAACGAAATGGCCATGATTGTGGTACCTTCTCGCCATTGGTAATGTATTGAGGCGAATAGTAAAAAGGTGGGGAATAGTAGAAATCCGTAGGCTACAAACCATTGAATTGTGACTGCCTGGAATCTTTTTTTTTTGAGGAATTTCAATTTTTAAAGTAAAAAAAAATCGAAAAATTCAAATTCTGGTAGAATCGGGCTTAAAATGACGTTGTAAAACAAGTTTTGGAGATTTTTAAAATGTGGAAGTTGAGTGGAAGATTTGTAATGTATTTTTCACTGAAAATCTTCCACTGAACTTCCACTTTATAACAGCCCTTTTTTGGCTTCAAACTTTTAAAAATGGACCAATAATTGATTGCCAGTTACCTTGAACAACATCATATGCATTTTCTGAGTATGTTCCATGAGCCTATTTCGATTGTTATAGATCATAACTCTGTAAAACATGAATCCATATAGTACGTTACTAATAACAAAAAATACGACCAGTAGGACGATACCATAAGTTGCTAGATCTTGGGCTATGGATACTACCACGGCGCAAAAATAACCAATTTCTAGCTCGATTTCTTCGAACATTGGTAATATGCGAAGCAAAAACATTCGGACAAACTCTGGGGCTGAAAATGGCAAGAACTTTTTTTACGAAACAAGAAATAGCAAGAACTTTCTTTACAAAACAAGTAATGGCAAGAACTTTCTTTACCAAACAAGAAATAGCAAAAACTTTCTTTACAAAACAACAAATGGCGAGAACTTTCTTTACAAACTTACTTGGTAGTTCAAACCACAAAACGGCAGTCAAAAAGATGCCATTAATGACCAGCTCTACAATAACAACTAACTTTACGGCCGTCCAACTCTTTTCGACAAATTCGCTTATTGGCCCTGGGAAGGACTGAAATAGGTATTATTATTTCTATATAAGCCTATATCTGTTCAGCTTAAGCCTACTAAGCCTAAGCCCGCTATGCTTGAGCTTACTAGCCCTAAGCCTAAGCATACTAGGTTTAAGCCTAAGTCTACTAAGCCTAAGCCTACTTAGCCTAATCCTACTAAGCCTAAGCCTACTAAGCCTAAGCCTACTAAGCTTAAGCCTTCTAAGCCTAAGTCTGCTAAGCCTAAGCCTACTATATATATAAAAAAAAAAAATATAAGCATACTTATAAAGCCTATGCTTTTTTATAATTTGCCTTACCATAAAGTAGCGATAAAGCACATTCCACCACACAGCCAGCTCAGCATTTACAAAAACCAGTACAAATAGTAGCATAGCCCAGGTCGAGTACACTTGATCATGCAATAACGGGTTGTTAAATATAATACATGTGGCTGGGAAGGGCATAACCATACGAGTGAACCATAAGAACCAGTTGAGGAAACAGCTCCATACGACGCTGTTAATCAGTAGATATCTATATCTAGTCATTTGTTTTGCGTGGTATAGAGCTAGGTAAATGATGATCGGAGCACATATTGACTCTAGTAGATTGGCTATTGGACCAACGAAGTTGGTTATGATGGCGGCTTCGTTTACATGCTTCATGTTACAGTAGGGAGGGGTAAAGTTGAGAATGGTGTGGTAGTTAGTAACTGGTCGATAGTTACATATGTCATATAGCGTACTGCAAGGTGGAATTACTGTATAGTGGAGAGTTTAAGGGGTAGGGTTCTGTAACGCAGAGTACGGTTAGGGTACTGTAGATTAGAGTATGGATTTATTACGGTAGGTTGAGAAATGGTATGATAGGGTAGGGTAGGGTTATAGAGACATATATTAAGGTACATATACGTCTCTATAAAATAGTAAGGTACTGCAGTATACTGTAGTTTTTGTCACCATCATTATTTAAACCTGCCCTACACACTATGCTACAGTACCATTTCTTACTCTATATACCTTACCTGTACGTTTCAACACCAAACCTTATCGGTACAATAACATACTCTACTTTACCTTACCCTACCTACTCTAATTTCTATCATAAAAACTAAAGACTTTATGAAACTTTAGGTACAAGTGTATAAAATCTGTGCTCAAAGTTTTTATACCTGTTTGAACCAAAATGCCAGAGGGTATAAATTGCTTTTAAACACCGGTTTACGACATTAAATTGCATTATTTATTAAGGGCATCTTTTGAACGTTAGTGAAATAATTAACTTTTTTTGCCTGGGGACACACTTTTTAATATAAAAGTACGGCTAAAATTAGAAATAACTTTCTTTACAAAGCTTAACACAGCAAGAACTTTTTTTACACTCCAAAAACTGGCAATACTTTTTGTTAAAAGCCCAAAAATAAAAGTTGTAAATAGTGGAAGATTTGTAATGTATTTTGCACTAAAAATCTTCCACCAAACTTCCATTTTTAGAATCTCTTAAAATGACCTAAGAACACGTTTTAACGCTTTTTTAGAGTGGTAGTTTGGTGGAAGATTTGCAGTGCAAATTACATTACAAGTTTTCCACCCAACTTCCACTTCTAAAAAGGGCTAAAAACTAATTTTAAAGTCATTTTAAGACATTTTAAAAAATGGAAGTTGAGTAGAAGATTTTCAGTGCAAAATACATTACAAACCTTCCAGGCAACTTTCACTTTCCAAAATTGGCCGAATTTTGCCGTATTTCGAGCTACCTTCAATTTAACTTTCCTTTTTTAAACCCGACCGTGTTGAAATCGATATGAAAATTAAAAGTAAACAGTTTATTTCCACAAATCTATAACAACATTTAGGTTGTAGCAGCGTAATCTTTTTCGAAACATTTTGAACCGTCGTGCATATAGCCCTGATTGTTCAGCTCGTGGATGTTCTCGCATTGCCAAGAGTCAAAGTAGTAGCATTCCTTGTGCTCGTTGCAACGGTGGTACCTAAAATTTGATAAAAATGTAGAATTTGAAGTATTTTAAAATGGAAGTTGAGTAAAAGATTTGTAATTTATTTTGCACTGAAAATCTTCCACTCAACTTCCACCCTAAAACGTGGTAAAAAATCATTTTTAGGTCAATTTTTGACATTTTCAAAATGGAAGTTTAGTGGAAGATTTTCAGTGCAAAATGCATTAAAAATCTTCCACTCAGCTTCCACTTTTTAAAATCAACCTTTCTAACTACCTTTTTTGATATCCTTAAAATATGTTACCCCAAAGCAAAAAATACCCATTTCAATTAAAAAACTTTCAATAACTTACATAATGAGATATGGCTCCACTTCCCATTCAAACGGGCCATCAATGCAGAGTCCTCCGATGTAGTACCATCCATCTTTATTTGGAGACGATGAAGACACAAAATCGTCTTGGAAGACATCATCCTCCCACAACTCGATTTTCTAAAACGACAATATAATTATCAAGCGTAATTTTGAAAAATAAAAAGTGGAAGTTGAGTGGAAGATTTGTAATGTATTTTGCACTGAAGATCTTCCACTCAACTTCCATTTTCAAAATGTCTTAAAATGGCCTAAAAATGAGTTTTTGGCACATTTTGTAAGTGGAAGTTGGGTGGAAGATTTTTAGTGCAAGTTACATTGAAAATCTTCCATCAAACTTCCATTTTTAAAAAACCTCCAAAACGTATTTCCGGGCAGCAAGATGCCATTAACCTGTTCTAGACCAGTCAAATATCGTTTTTGGGCCGTCAATGTCGTAAAAAAGCCTTTAAAATTTTTAAAAGCAAAAACCTACCACATTTGAATAAACCTTTCCTCCGCACAAAACGCGTCCTTTGTAACTGACCGCCTTCTGGTAGTTGCTATTGAATGGCCAAATAGCTACAGCGTGACCGAACAAACTCAGCAGAACCGCACTTCTCAACAACATCATGATGACGAAACGACTGGTTTGGAATGGCGCACGAACCAAAATCGACCAATTCTTGCGAATGACCAGTTTTTCGGTTTTTCGAATTGAAAGGGACGCAAGCCGACAAAATATGCAAATTTTTGTGAAAAATAGAAAAATATTTAATTTTTTTAAAAATTTTTAAAAAATTTTCTGACTTTTGATTCATTTTTGTCAAGTTTAGAGCCAGCTAGCTAGTACTTTGGTGCTCCATTCAGAGCCGGGCGGGAGGCCGGGGGTCCTCTTTTCCAAATTTTTTAAAAATAATCTACAGGAGGGACCACGTTCAACTTTCTTCAAAATACAAAAAATTAAAAAAATTTTATTATTGTGCTATATAGTACGAAACAATATTGAAATGCAAACTGTGCTGTTTTAAATTCTAAGAATTGCAACTATCGTGCTATATAGTACGAAAAATACTAAAATACAAACTGTGCCGTTTTAAATTCTAAGAATTGAAGCAATTTTGCTATATAGTACAAAACAGTACTAAAATGCAAGCTGTGCTATTTTAAATGCTAAAAGTTTGCATCATAGATAATTTTATGATACAAGGCAGTTTAACTTGTGAACGAAACAAAACGCGCGCTTAATGTTAGCGTCTCTGTTAATCATACGTACATAAAGCGCTTTGTTGTTAATAGCAAGTGAAATTTCTGTCTTACTTCACTTTTGTTTATATTTTGGGCAACTGTAGGGTCGGGTATTGTGATGACGAATATTTTTTCTTGTTGAAGGTAGACCTGAAAGTTTGAATTGCGAAAAGTTTAAAATGAATCTGATTTTAAGCGCTTTACTTAAAAATATTTTTTAAACTTTGTTTATAAATTTAATTCGTTAAATTATTTTTTTTTGATATTTTTCTCTACATGTTTTGATATTTTGACGATATTTTTTTATAAATATTTTGTCGTTGTGTGGCAAGTTTATATCAAGAACACATACTAAGGATACAAACTAAGGTAGAGAACATTTTGACAGTTCCTATTCGGGGAGAATTTCGTAAAATTTAGGAAAAAAAATTATCGACCGGTTAAAAAAAATTTTTGATTTTATCAAAAGTCCCTGCTCGCCCTTGACTGCCACTGTTCAGAACTTTAACAGAAAGTAGATGTAGAAGAGAAATGTTACTAATTGGTTCAAAAACCGAAGGACCCGCCTATCTTGGGCCATATGCCACTGTTGAAATACTGAGTACCGCCATGGTTAGTGCTTTAGTAGTACCGTTTTATTGCCCGAGGGTGACCAGGGTAATTATTAAGGTCAGAGTAATCTCTCACGTAAAGATATCCGCGATCCTGGGGATTGTGAAATCAGTAAATAGAAGTGGTATTCACTAAAAGCAGGACAGCATAGTCAATGTGCTTTTTATCATAAGCTGAACAGGCGCTTTGGCGCGTAGATCCAATTGTTTTATACATTACAACATTGCGTAGGCGTAAAGACTTCAATACAACGCCGGTTGCAAAGTCGTTACCCAAACAGTCTCGTAGTTGTTACTCAAATAGTGTGGTAGTTGTTACTCAAATAGCCTTGTAGTTGCCATCCAAATATACTTGTAGTTAGCGTACCCTGGTCTCATTTTTAACCAAGCTGTTAAAGATAAGTTTAGATGAAAAAAAAATGTATACTAAGACACGAAGAATATAAAAAACACTGATCAAACCTTCGGCGTAAAAACCACTACACATGTTGGGTTTACGTAAGAGTATGTACCTCTTTAATTTTATATCTGGAAACGTAAGTTTAACTAAGTGACTTTACACGAGTTTTGGTAAGTTTAGAAGATTTGTATCCACGTAGAACACTTTAAAGTTTTGACAACACGATTTTTTCAAAGATATGACAAAACTACATGGTGACGCATATAACTGTGGAGTTTGAAAGCCTACCTGGTGACGGACCACATAAAGGTGAAGTTTTAGACCTACCTGGTGATGGATATAACTGTGGAATTCAGAGCTTATCTACTGGCAGACGTCGTAACTGTGGAGTTAAAACCATCTGATGACGGACATAATTGTGGAGTTTTCGTTATCATTTTTACGTAAAAATTAATTTTGGACCAGTTTCGCACACAAAAACTGTCTCCTGGTCAGGTAGACGGCCGCGTCGATCCAGACTGTAAACAATATTTGGCTTAAATAGTCGCCCGATCGTGCCCCGTTCTCACGACTGATCGGCGCCGCGGTAAGAATAGCATTCCTTGGCCGTCGCGAATTTTCGCGTCTTTGTTATCGTTTGAGTTTTGGCCAAAGCCATTAATTTATGCGTTCGTGGTGTACACTTTTTTAGGTTTAATTTAAAGGACCTCTCCGGGTGTCGAAAAAACCCCGTTTGAACAAAACGCCGTAAAATGGCGTGCTGTTTCAAATCAATAAATCGCGGCGGGACCAAATGGAAACTCTCACGTAAAATATTATTTTTTCGCAAAATATTATTTGGGTTTTCACGTTGATATTGTTGAAAGTGTTGTAAATCTATGTTTACTACAATTATTGCTTGAAATCTTAAAATTATATCTTAATATTCACTTTTATAATTGGATAGGTGAATATTTCGATGTGTTTTTGAGGTTATTGAGCTAAATTCGAGTAAAATAAGCACGAAATTGTGTAAGTTATGATAGATAACAACCTCAGGGTTAAATTAAAGATTGATTAAAAGGTGTCTAATATTAATTTAGTTTCAGGTGGCATTTAACTTGTGTCAGTGACGTCTACATTCAGGTACAGCGCCCATATCCTTCAACAAAACACTATTTCAGGCCAATCATACATATTCCTTCGAGATGAACGTAAAAGGTACGTGTTTTGATGTTATTTTGTTAGAATTTTTAGGTATCTTCCCCATAGAAGGTTAAAGGATAGTTTGCTTTAATCTTTATCAATATACCGAGTTTTTCGATAAATTCTGGGTCAACTCGGTTCATTAAAAGTTTTGTTGTTACCTAAAACTTAAAAGGCAACATAACTTATTGGATTCAAAACTATATTGCGTTTAGCATATTAGATTTTAATATAAATAACATAATCTTCCTTCTAATTGTAAATTAATGGTCTGCACAAGCTCTAAACTTATTTTTTAGGCAATCTTACATCAAGCTCAATCAATACCTACATTATTTTTTAAACTACGCATTTTACATTGACAAGAACATGTTTTATACGTATGAATAAAGGTCTTTCAATTATAATGAGTCTTTTGTGGTGTAATGTCAGTTTCTCAAGTCTGTATCTGTCTCAAAAAAAGAATTTATTATTTTAACTCGTAATAAGATGATGAAGTGCACAGTTTGTGAAGTTCCAATGCCACCTTTTGCAACTTTTCCAATTGATTACGCTGAACGTGAAATGTGGTGCCGAAGGTTAGGCTTACTGCCCGTGGTTCCTCCAAGGCATTATCGCGTGTGCTCACGTCACTTTGAGGACGGATCATTCTCTTTAGGGGGCGTTAGGTTCAGATCAGCGTTACCAATGATAATGGCACAACCAGAAACAGAAGAAGCGAGGGTGAAATCACGTGGCATTGAACAACAAACGATACGTACGCCACGAAAAAAATCTTTTGATTGCAGCCAACAAGAAGACGTCGTTGCGTTGACTCCATTTAAAAAGAAAAAACCGTCAATAAGCACGGTACGTTCAATAAAATTTAAGCATTAATGAACATCATGTTAAATATACGACAATATATTGAAGATGTGTTTCAAGAAATAGAAAATTCATAATGTTACCAACTTTAGGAGTATCCTAAGTACTACATCGAAGATCTGTCTAGGACTTTATCCTACAAATACTGTCCATTGTGTGGATACAAGATTGAACAGATGAAAGTGCGGCTTCAAGGATTGGCCTGAAATAGTGTTTTGTTGAAGGATATGGGCGCTGTACCTGAATGTAGACGTCACTGACACAAGTTAAATGCCACCTGAAACTAAATTAATATTAGACACCTTTTAATAAATCTTTAATTTAACCCTGAGGTTGTTGTCTATCATAACTTACACAATTTCGAGCTTATTTTACTCGAATTTAGCTCAATAACCTCAAAAACACATCGAAATATTCACCTATCCAATTAAAAAGGTGAATATTAAGATATAATTTTAAGATTTCAAGCAATAATTGTAGTAAACATAGATTTACAACACTTTCAAAAATATCAACGTGAAAACCCAAATAATATTTTGCGAAAAAATAATATTTTACGTGAGAGTTTCCATTTGGTCTCGCCGCGATTCATTGATTTGAAACAGCACGCCACTTTACGGCGTTTTGTTCAAACGGGGTTTTTTCGACACCCGGAGAGGTCCTTTAAGATTGATGCTTGCGCATCACTCCTTATCCCTTAACAAAAACCAATGACTCGTTCCATATTGTTGAGCTAAAAAATGTTGGCGTTCCGTATCTCCATTCCACTGGATTTATGTGTTCGTATAAACGTTGAATACGTGGGTATCTTTTAGGGTCAGTATCATGCCTCAAAGTACTTTCTCCGGGCTAGGGGTGGGGCAGACACGGGCCGTACTGTAAGATCCGTTTTTGGGGTTGTCATCGACCGCTTTCGGAAAGTTCCTTACCAGAATGCCGTTTTTCAATTGTCAGCAGGTGAGTTCTCCCATGTTCAAATTTTTGACTTGTTTTGATATTTAGATAACGCACCCTTCAGTCAGCGGGCCGAGAAGTTCCTGACCCAGCTGAAGTCCTATGGCCGATTACCAGTTAGGCCATTGGCGAGGCGTTTCGTAATAGCCACCGAGTTGATGGAGACGATGTCGCTGATGGCGATGGGTCGCCCGTCGGTTGTCAAAACCATTCGCCAGAAGGAGGGCAATGGTGTTTTGGGCGAGTACGTCCGTGGCCGGGGGATGATCTTGGCAGACGCCTTGCGTAAGCATATAGTGATTACGTCTACGTAAAAACCGCTACACATGTTGGGTGTACACCCCAGACGTAAGAGTGTGTACCTCTTCAATTTTATATCTGGAAACGTAGTTTAACTAAGTGACTTTACACAGTTAGTGGCTTTTGACAACACGATTTGTTCAAAGATATGACAAAACTACATGGGGATGGATACAACTGTGGAGTTTGAAAACTACTTGGTGACGCATATAACTGTAAAGGTTAAAAACTACAAGGTGATGGACATAACTGTGGAGTTTAAAAAGCATTATACATGGTGTCGTTCGAGCCAACCTAAAAACAGACGTAACTGTGGAGTTAAAACTACCTGCTGATGGACATAACTGTGGCATTTTCGTTAACATTTTCACGTAAAAATTAATTTTGGATCAGCACAGAGATTTTCCATGTAAGTTTATGTTTCAATAACATCAGAGTTTTGCCTTCTCGGTACGACTCCGGCCGGTCTAGATTTTAGAATTTATTTTTTCCCGCCAAACTCATATTTCGAAAACTATTATATTAGGTTGAACCAAAAGTAGCGGGACACTTTGAAGTTAAAAAGCCGACCGTGCGGCTGAATCTGTAAATTAGAATGGGCAGAAGCACTGCCCAAGCGATCGATCTTCTTTTTTTTCAAGAGACATCATGTTGCCGGTTTTTATAGCCCCGCACGATATCAATCCCCTTTTGCGTTTATCGCATAATGTCTCTTTTTTCCCGCATAATGTATCTCTTATTAGCCCTTTCCCTAAACAAGCGGCCATATTCTTGGCCGCGCGTGGAAAGGCCTTCTGATCACAAACGATTACATAATTAGAGTAAACTTCATTTTTCAATTCACAACTCAAATCAAAATGTCTTTCGAGAATAATCCTCGGCCAAAACGAAGTTACGCGTCGGCCGTAGTTCTACCTCAAGTTGGTTCCGACTAGTGCTGTGTCTAAAACTTCAAAGTCTACCTCTAAGGATCCGTCCGGTGAACCATCGGTTTCTACCACTTCTACCAAGTCCTCGACTGGAGCAGCCCCCAAACCAACCCTCTTGTCGAAAGTCAAGTCCAAAATTGGGGCTGCAACAAAACTAACTAGCAACGCCGCCGATTCTGTCTCTTCTCCTTCATTGCCTGGTACTGCTATAAGCCAAGATATGACTTCTTAGTTTTCTTCTAACGTGGACTTGTTTGCGGCACCACGTAGGGTAGGGTAGTGAACAATCACATTTTTTCAGATGTAAAGGACATTAAAGAAGAAATAGCAATACTTCGGCAATTGTGTCTTGATGTTCACAAACGCGTAGTTGAAAGTTGTTGCTCCATTTCTGAAACAAGTACATGTTTCCGCCATGATTTTCAAACCCATCAGTAGTAATCAAGAACGGTAAATGAAAATGGATGTTACAATGCTCCCGATCTCTGAAGATGATTGTAAATATTGTCTACAACCACACGTAGTATAATCATATACTTAATCAACTTAACTTCTGGTGTTGAAGTATCAAGACTTGAACTCAAACTTACATGGTTGATTCACATGGTAGATTCAGCGTCTGTAATGTCATACAATGTTACAATGCTCCCGATCTCTGAAGATGATTGTAAATATTGTCTACAACCACACGTAGTATAATCATATACTTAATCAACTTAACTTCTGGTGTTGAAGTATCAAGACTTGAACTCAAACTTACATGGTTGATTCACATGGTAGATTCAGCGTCTGTAATGTCATACAAAACGCAATTATGTTTTGGCTAAATATGATGGATATTTGATACGTAGCACAATAGAGTACCCAAATAATGAAAATAGTTTTTTTTTAAATTTTTTATACCAAGCATGATTGGAATTGACCGATTACTTGTTTATGCTAAAGATTTTTGAAATTGATATATTAACATATAATACTATATGTGTAGTACTATTAAAAAAACATATAATACTATATAGTACCACTAAAGACCATATAATACTTCATAGTACGATTTAAAAAAACATATAGTACTATATATTACCATTTAAAAAACATATAATACTATACAGTACTATTAAAAGAATATAATACTATATAGTACTATTAAAAAAACATATAATACTATATTGTACCAGTAAAAAACCATATAATACTATATAGTACCATTTTAAAAAACATATACTACCATATAGTACCACTTAAAAATATATAGTACTATATAGAGTAATATATGACGCCACTCATATATTATTTTTCTCGAAACAAACCGTATCAAAACTATTTAGAAATACGGTTAGTCAAAACGGACCAAAGAAAGGCCGGAAACAAAGCAATGACGCTGTGCGCAACATCGCCGTATTCATAATTGGCAACGATGACGACGCAAGTGAACGTAGGAAAAGCCTCCAACGCAGTGAGGAAGGCAGTTCGGCAATACAATTGCCATGAAAATTGCCTCTACAGTTCCCGTAAATTGGCTATGTTGGCTTTGGAATGTACCGACGAACCAACTGTCTTAATTGCCACTAGTGCGATGCACGTAATACTACCAAAGATCAAGAAGAAAGTATCCATCGTGATCATTGATGAGTATGGAACAACCAGCACCACAACAGCTGTTACTACAGTGGTGGCGCGTATGATATTAACAGGATCTTCGTCATGGGAGATCGGTTCCAACTATGTGCAGTTCGGACAACTCCCGTGTCAACTTCGTAGATTTGATGAAGAGTCGCTCTTGAATCTCCTTATGAAGGAAGAAAGAGAGTTGAAGCGAAACCTGCGATTCACGCACAGATTCTGCGAATTGCTGGCACGAATGATCGACCACAACATATATCATGAAGCTTTGTCATACGCCGGCAATCGGGAGCCTCACGTAGAACTCCAACGTGCATTGGGCACAGCGTAACCTATGTCTCTACTACACTGCACGGTAGAAGAAATCTCTACAGCTTCCAGCTTCACTAACCCAACGCAGATCCAGGCAGCATTTGCGCTATTGGAATACGTAGCGGAACGAGCCCTAGATGTGTCTTCAGGATGCATGACCATAGCGTAAAATAGCATATGCTTCCACCAGCCGGGACACTGTGGTGCCGTAGAACCGTTTCCTGCAACAACACCTACAGGTCAACGTTGTCGTGAAAACAGTAGACGCCCGTCAAGACGTAAATTTTAATTTGGTCATATTTCTTACGGTTCGCACTCGTTTGTTGGGATTCTTGCAGAACAACAGCAGGCTTACAGTAGCGCTCACGCGGGCCCAGCTCTACCGTGTAATCATTGGACATCTACACAGACTTAGACAACAAGACCCGGAATCCAGTCCGCTACGTAAATTCTTACAGGAATAATTCTGTGACAGTATCTTTAAACCTAAAAGGTAGTGTAATATGCGATGGTCTGGTTGCCTTTGTTAAGGGATTAGGTAGTTGCTGGATAACCTTAACCATTCATGATTATGCAAAGCGCTGTACATCATTCGGCAGGGAAAAGGAGTAATATATGACGCCAGTCATATATTATTGTTCTCGAAACAAACCGCATCAAAACTATATAAAAATACGGTTAGTCAAAACGGACCAAAGAAAGGCCGGAAAACAAAGCAATGACGCTGTGCGCAACATCACGGACAAAATGGTGCAGTTTGAAACTCCTCCAAATAATGTTGTTCGGGCTCGTTCGGAGAATGACTCCAACAAGTTACTGGTGGACCTTCGAAAAATTCATCGCTCCCATATGTATAAATCATTGGAGAAGACGTAGTGAGGAAGGCAGTTTGGCAATACAATTGTCATGAAAATTGCCTCTACAGCCCCAAAAATTGGCTATATTGGCTTTGGAATGTACCGACGAGCCGACTCTCTTACTTTCCACTAGTGCGCTGCTCTCACAAAGATTTGGAATGATCAGGTCCCCCCCCCCTCAAACAGGTCCCCCTATCGATCAGGTCCCCTGCTCAATCAGGTCCAAGCATCGAACAGGTCCCCTCTTTTAAAAAATAAGTAAATTCGGCGGAGGGTCGGCGGAGGCTTTAGGAGGTTCGGCGGAGACTTTTGGGAATTCGGCGGAGGGTCGGCGGAGAGTTTAGGCGATTCGGCGGTGAGTCGGCGGAGGCTTTAGGGCATTCGGCGGAGGGTCAGCGGAGGATTTAGGGCATTCGGCGGAAAGCTTAGGGGATTCGGCAGAGAGTCGGCGGAGGCTTTAGGGCATTCGGCGGAGGGTCGGCGGAGGATTTAGGGCATTCGGCGGAGAGCTTAGGGGATTCGGCGGAGAGTTTAGGGGATTCGGCGGAGGGTCGGCGGAGGCTTTAGGGGATTCGGCGGAGAGTCGGCGGAGGGTTTAGGAGGTTCGGCGGAGGCTTTAGGGGATTCGGCGGAGAGTCGGCGGAGGCTTTAGGAGGTTCGGCGGAGACTTTTGGGAATTCGGCGGAGAGTTTAGGGGATTCGGCGGAGGGTCGGCGGACGCTTTAGGAGGTTCGGCGGAGAGTTTAGGGAATTCGGCGGAGGGTCGGCGGAGAGTTTAGGGGATTCGGCGGAGGGTCGGCGGAGGCTTTAGGGGATTCGGCGGAGAGTCGGCGGAGGCTTTAGGAGGTTCGGCGGAGACTTTAGGGAATTCGGCGGAGGGTCGGCGGAGAGTTTAGGCGATTCGGCAGAGAGTCGGCGGAGGCTTTAGGGCATTCGGCGGAGGGTCGGCGGAGGATTTAGGGCATTCGGCGGAGAGCTTAAGGGATTCGGCGGAGAGTTTAGGGGATTCGGCGGAGGGTCGGCGGAGGCTTTAGGGGATTCGGCGGAGAGTCAACGGAGGCTTTAGGGCGTTCGGCGGAGAGTTTAGGGGATTCGGCGGAGGGTCGGCGGACGCTTTAGGAGGTTCGGCGGAGAGTTTAGGGAATTCGGCGGAGGGTCGGCGGAGAGTTTAGGGGATTCGGCGGAGGGTCGGCGGAGGCTTTAGGGGATTCGGCGGAGGGTCGGCGGAGAGTTTAGGCGATTCGGCAGAGAGTCGGCGGAGGCTTTAGGGCATTCGGCGGAGGGTCGGCGGAGGATTTAGGGCATTCGGCGGAGAGTTTAGGGGATTCGGCGGAGGGTCGGCGGAGGCTTTAGGGGATTCGGCGGAGGGTCGGCGGAGAGTTTAGGCGATTCGGCAGAGAGTCGGCGGAGGCTTTAGGGCATTCGGCGGAGGGTCGGCGGAGGATTTAGGGCATTCGGCGGAGAGTTTAGGGGATTCGGCGGAGGGTCGGCGGAGGCTTTAGGGGATTCGGCGGAGAGTCGGCGGAGGGTTTAGGAGGTTCGGCGGAGGCTTTAGGGGATTCGGCGGAGAGTCGGCGGAGGCTTTAGGATGTTCGGCGGAGACTTTAGGGAATTCGGCGGAGGGTCGGCGGAGAGTTTAAGGTATCTACTCGACTCTACCCTTATATACCATATCATATCCTACCATAACCTATCCTATGTACCATACTATATCTTAAAATAACGTACCATATTATACCATACTATGTCACACCATACTTGACTATATTATACCATTTACGTTGTTTTACTTACCTATTCTACCACACCCATAGATAGTACACAATAGTGTTGTATAAGATTTTTTTCATGGTATGTTATGTTATGATAGGATATGGTATTGTATGGTATGGTATAATATGGTACGTTATTTTAAGATATAGTATGGTACATATACTGAAGGCAGAAATTTTTCACCCCCCTCCCCCTCTAACTTGGCTGTGAGTGAACCGATTGGGACCAAACTTGGTATATAGTTTATTGACTACCTAATAACAACACAAACGGAACCAGGACCTGCTGGGTTATCGTTAACAAAAAATAACAAACATTTAAAAAAAAAGGGTCAAAAAAGTGGGAATTAAATCTTAACCCCCCTTCTAAAATACCTAGATTTCGTCACCGCCTGCGGCTAGAACTTTTTCCAATCGTCGAGGGATCGATGAATAAAGATTTAGAATCACATCTTTTGGAAAGTTTTCGCTGCGTTCTAAAATCTTCTGCTCCAACGTGCCCTTGTCGTAAAACTGGCCGTGTTGATGAACCCGGTCCTCTAGAAGCTTCCAGACGTTTTCTATAATACTCAAATCAGGCGATCGGGATGGCCAATCAACTACTGTGACCTTTTTCTTCGTCAAGAAGTCCATGGTTTCTTTGGATGTGTGAATGGTACAGTTGTCTTGTTGCCAACACCAGCCTTTACGGCCCTTCTGTTCAATTACCCAGGGGATGAAGGTGGTCTTCAGGTCTTTGATGTAGTCTTTTGACTTGTATTTTCCGTTTACAACCTAAAACAGCCCTCATGATCACATTTTGTGTTGGGTTTTACTCACCTTAATCTTGATATTGCCATTACTGCAAATAGCACCTAGTACCATTACACTTCCTCCGCCCATCTGGCGCTTGATCCGCTTTAAGCGTGCATTGGGAGTACCGTAGCTGGCCATGTTGTCAGGACCATCAAAAGAAAACTTCTTTTCGTCCGTAAAAATGCACTTACTGAAATCGGTCTTCAGGTCAAGGTGCTTTTTCGCAAAGTTCATGCGACAAACCAAATGAGAAGGGCTCAACGGAAGTCTTCTTTTAACTATTTCGTAAGTAATGCCATTTTTCTTCAACGCAATGTTAATTGTCCGGCGAGTTACCCCCAGATTTAAGTTCTCCTTGATTATTTTTGCCGTTACCTTATGTCCAGCACGAACTTCCTTCTCTACAAACCGTCGGATTCTGCGAAAAGTAGCAGCGTCAATCTTTTCTGGACGTCCAACCTGCTTTGTAGGCACGTTTCTGATAACTCTTCTAACAGTATTTCTACTGTGACCGGTCCTTCTCTCAACTTCCTTGATACTCATAGTCATTTTGTAACAGTCCGCAATCTGATCTCTTTCTTTTTGAGTCAACATCCTAAAAACTACCTTAAATGATGGAATAGCCATGCCTTACCTTTTTCTTGCAAAGATTCGACAAAATCACAGCAACAACGCTCTATTTCACAAGGGGGTCAACAATAACTTCCCACTTTTTTCACCGCAAAAAAAAATTTTTTTTTATAAAACGAAATGCCACAAGCCAATTGACACTTCGCTATATCAAAACAGTCCCCAGTACTTTATGAGTATTTATACCAAGTTTGGTCCCAATCGGTTCACTCACAGCCAAGTTAGAGGGGGGGGTGGAAAAATTTCTGCCTTCAGTACCGGATAGGTTATGGTAGGATATGATATGATATATAAGGGTAGAGTCGAGTAGATACCTTAAAGCCTCCGCCGACCCTCCGCCGAATTTACTTATTTTTTAAAAGAGGGGACCTGTTCGATGCTTGGACCTGATTGAGCAGGGGACCTGATCGATAGGGGGACCTGTTTGAGGGGGGGGGGGACCTGATCATTCCAGACGTTTTTTTCATTTTTAAAACAAAAATTCATTTGAATTGTAGAACAATTGCCCATATTATTAAAAACCACAGGATTGTATGCGTGTCCATAATACATTTACAATTATTACTTTGTTTTGTGGTAGTTTGTTTGAAATTGTGCCGCTTTTTTAATTGAATCACAGGTTTAAAACTGTTTGACAATACTCGTTTTTGAGTTGTTTATAGCTTTATTGTCCCTTTCAAATAAACTTTTTTGCTACTTTACGCAATTTCTTGGGGTTCCTGGCAGTTTTTTAAAATTTTTTGAAAACGCAAGAACTTTCTTTACAGATTGTAGAAAATAGATGGTTAATTTTTCAAAGTTTTTTTTTGAAGCTTTTTGATTGTTTTTAATCCAAAAAGCATAATAAGACAAGATTGAGTCTAAAAAACAGCTAAAAATGAGCGATTTTTGGTTCTTAAAAAAGTAGAAGTTGAGTGGAAGATTTGTAATGTAATTTGCATTAAAAACCTTCCACTCAACTTCCATTTTTAAAACGTCTTAAAATGGCCTAAAAACGTCATTTTGAAGGTTTTTAGAAGTGGAAGTTTAGTCGAACATTTCCAGTGCAAAATACATTACAAATCTTCCACTCAACTTCCCCCCTCATAAATGCTCAAAAACGTGTTTTTAATCCATTTTAAGAAATTTTAAAAATGGAAGTTGAGTGGAAGATTTTTAGTGCAAAATACATTACAAATCTTCCACTCAACTTCCACTTCAATTTTTTGCTGCAAATTTACTATTTATGGTAAAAAAAAGTGTGGTTACTTGTTACTTTGTACTAGATAATCGTATGTAACATGGTAAAATTATTTTTTTTACACAAAACGTTAAAATTCATACAATAAACTCTTTTTACATTCTAAAGTAATCTTTTACATTGTTGTAAAAAAGTAAAAAAATTGAACTCAATTTTTCGAAACGACAATTTTAATACTAATTTTGAGGGTAATATTGTAGTAGAGTGTATGTGATATGTTTTGGCAGTTTTGAAATGTAATTCATTACTTCCTTAATACTCGAACAGCATGTACATATGACAGTATACATAGTATGTACGTGGTAACGATATTTAATGAGGTGTAATTTGAATATTTAAGTATTTTTTGTTACTCTTGACTTTGGGTTTTGAGGTTTCTACGTTAAATAAGAACCGCATCGAATGACTTCAATAGAAGTCGTACCGGAGATTAAACCGATAAGAACAGATACTACACTTTGATCTTAGCCAAAAGGCCGAGAAGCGATACTACAAATGGCGAGGCTTAGGGTTAGGTTAGGCTTGACACTTTTTTTTTGACTGGGTTTGAGGGTAAGGCGAGAGAGAAGAGAGCTAGTAGAGAAGGAAAAGGAATGAAGGTCTTTTTGTAAGATTTTAATCATGTTTTTGACGATTTTGCAGATAAGAACGGCAACATTTTTTCATATTTTGTCAACAAATGTTGGAAACTAATGTTTTTGATATTTTTTGTAAAGAAAGTTCTATCAAATACTTACTCCAAAGGTGATTTTTTACTCTTTAAAGGTTGGTAAAAGCCAATTTTTCATCGATAAAAAACTACACTCTTTCGTTCTCTTTTTCTTTCGTTCTCTTGCACTCTCTTTCTCTCGCCCCACATTCAAACCCAGTCGAAAACCAAGTGCCAAGCCTAACTTAACCCTCTGCCTTGCTATTTGGAGTATCGCTTCTCGGCCTTTTGGCTAACAAGGAAAGGTCCCCACCACGCATTGGACTGGTGAAAAACTGGTACATACAAATTATAGAGCATGGTCAAATTAGTCAAAAACCGAAAAAAAATTTACCGCTCGTGGGGGTTTTTTAAAAAATTTTCTTATGTCAAAGTCTAAAAATATTAATTGCGCTCGCGCTAAACTCGGAAAAGAAGAGCAGAGAGTTCTGTGATGCAATAGCGCAGTGGTTGCGCTCTCGGCTAACGCTCAAAGCCCGTCGGTTCGGGTCGCGCCAAGGGCAAGCCCTTTTGTGCCCGGATTAACTTTTGTAAAAGTAAAAAAAAATAATTTTTTTAGTCAAACTTTTTTTTTACAATTTGTTCGTTCTATTATTTTTTAAATAGTACTTTTATTTTGTTTTTATTTGTAATAATGGAGAATTTTTGTTCTGAGGTGATCTGATGGATAATATGTAGAGTTTTTAATATTAAAACCAAGCTTAATAACAGAAAAATTGATTCTTTGATGTAAACAAAACAAAATTTGACCAAAAAAAATAATTTTTTTTTATTTTTTAAAAATGTTAATCCAGGCACAAAAGAGATCGTCTCCGGCAGGACCCGAACCGACGAGCTGTGAGCGTTAGACGAGAGCGCAACCAGTGCGCTATAGCAGCACGGCACTCTCCTCTTCTTTTCCGAGCCTAATTAATATTTTAAACTTCAACATAAGAAAATTTTTTAATATTAATATTTTAAACTTCAACATAAGAAAATTTTTTAAAAAGCCCCCACGAGCGGTAATTTTTTTTTTGGTTTTTGACTAATTTGACCATGCTCTACAATTTGTATGTACCAGTTTTTCACCAGTCCAATGCGCGGTGGGGACCTTTCCTTGTAAGATCAAAGTGTAGTATCTGTTCTTATCGGTTTAATCTCCGGTACGACTTCTATTGAAGTCATTCGAGATTAACAGATTTTTGGGACCAGCTGAGTTGCGAAGGCTTGCCTTCCGCTCGGCAAGGGTCGGCCCGGTCTTGCACCTACTTCCGGGAACGGCCCATATATTCTCTTTGGTACTGAGGGCAGGGCTCACATTGAAAGTTACTGCTGACTAACAATTTTTTAAAACTGGAAGCACGGTGGAAGATTTGTAATGTAATTCGCACTGAAGATCTTCCACTCAGAGGGTACTAAGGTTAAGCATACAAAACTTTTAAGACTTAAAAGTCTAATCTCAGTGAGCTCAAAGGTACAAGTTTTTTTTGCTTGTTTAAGCCAAAGCTTCTTAACCCTTTTAAACTTGAATTGTGCTGTTTTAACTTAGACGTCTCAATAACTAAACTTATTAACCTTGAGCATCACATGCTTACTAAATTGTAGCCGACTAAAATTAAGCATGTACAAACTCAAACATAAGTGAAGAGTCTGACGAGTTTAAACCGTTCTGTAACCTTGTCTGACATTAAAGGAACAATTGCTAGATGCTAGTAGGTTTGGGAACAAGGCACATAACTGAAATGCCTTGTACCGGGCAGGGCACAGTGAGGCATGTAGCAGAGTATAATTGGGCACAGGGCAGGACGTAGCAAAGCACAGGACAGGGAATAGCAGGGCACAGGAGAGGGTAGGGCAGGTCATGGTAAAAAAAGCCGTCACTTTTTCTGCCAAAACCTTTACTACTCAATCGATATTTACTTTCTGTCATTTTTTAAAAACTTTTCCTATTTAGTATTACTATGCTCATTTTAGCTTATGGTATCAAAACCATCTGCAAACTGTAGCTTTTTCTACGTAACAAAAGTCGACGTAACTCCATACACAAACGTGCCATTAGTATACGCCGAAATCCTAGTCATAATAATAGGCTTTACCACCAACTTGCTACTGACCATATCAATAGCTCACAGTGGTCTTATTAATACATCAGTCAAAATACTGATTAACAACCGTAACATTGCTGCCTTGGGCTATTTACCGACCAGAGTTTTCATTTTACTGTCAATGCTAAAGTACAAAATATTGAGTTCGGAAAGTAATGTCTTGATTATGAATATACATGACGTTTTCATGCAATCACACTACTTTAATATCATGTGGATGGTACTGGCGGTACCGGCGATTATCAAGTGGCCCAAAATGTCATTTTTTATTTTACTTGCTGCTGTCGTGGCTACATGGTCTTGTACTATATTATTAATTGTTAGCACGGCTTATAATTGGTGTAAGTGGCATTTTTGAGCTTTAGAATAGCAATGTTAATATGTTTTAAAAAGTGTAAGTTGAGTGAAAGATTTGTAATGAACTTTGCACTGAAAATCTTCCACTGAACTTTCATTTTCAAAATGTCTTAAAATGGCTTAAAAACGGGTTTTAGAGACTTTTTAGGAGTGGAAGTTCGGTGGAAGATTTTCAGTACAAAATACATTGCAAACCTTCCACTTCACTTCCACTTCTAAAAACGCCTATTTTATAGTCGAATCGTAACGTTTCTTTTATGCTTTGTAATGTACATAGTGTTACTATTTCAGTGCCTTATACAATTTGGTTTCCGTGGGTGATGTACGAAGTGGCATCGATTTGTAGCATACATGTGTTTAGGAAACAACTACAATATTGTGAATCGGGTTATCTGACGGCTACAATCGGGAATATTAAAGCTAAATCTCAGGTAATAATCGTAACTAGCCAAGCCCTTAGTCTAAGCACCTGGCCTTAACCCTATTCCTAGTCTTGGTCTCTTAGCTCACAGTTCTAGCCTTAAGGTCACGCCCTTAGTCTTGGCTCATAGCTTTAGTCCTTAGACCTTAATTTTAGCCGGTAACCACTAAAATTAGGCCTTAGTTTTAGCTCTAATTAATTTTTTTTACATTTTTTGCCGTTTCAGAGCAGTTTAAACATACGAAGTTTGCGAATTTTCTCAAAAATCAGCATTTTTTCAACCTTACGGGTGGCTGTGTCTGCCATTATCATGTATTTCTGTGTTACTTATTTCCCAAATCGGTAAGTATACTTTTTAAAAATGACACACTGTACTGCTTTATCATTTTTTAAAACCTTTTTAACTTTTTACGTTTTGTCTATTTAAAAACGGCATTTTAGCTGTCAATACGAAACAACACTAAAACTGGCCCAAATCCATGATTTCGTATTCGAAATTTTGGAAGCTTTACTGCCAGTTTATTTGTTTATGAAAGAAGATTTTTTGAGATATTTACCATGGTAAGTGCTATGACGACGAGTGTGATATGACTAATTTAGTTTTTGCAGCAAAAGAAGACAAAGTGTGTTAGTGCCAATTAACGTGTTGGGTCGTGAGCTGATAATGGATTATAAAGGCGAGGACTATTTCAAACAGCTTAATGATCAGTGGAAAATTAAGCACTGACGGATTTTTATAGTTCATGGGATTAACAATGGCATTTTAAGTCATTTTATCGTTTTTTGGTCCCACCACGAAAAACTTTTTGCCACCCAATTCTTTGGCATTCTGTTTTAGGTAGTTTTTTATCGTGAAATTTCTTAACGGAAGCTTACTTTACATTGTCTATCTTTGAATACATTGTAAATAGTTGTTTTTTGCTACCACCACGAAAACATGATATCTAGCATAACTCCTTTGGCATTCTGTATCAAGTCATTATTTATGTAAAATATCTGAACATTGACTTATTTACGATGTCTATTGTCTCCGAATACATTTTGAAAAACTATTTTGGTCCCACCACGAAAACATGATACCTATGATAAATCCTTTGGCATTCTGTTTCGAGCAGTTTTTTTAAATGAATTACCTCATTGTAAATCGATCTCATTTGCCTTTTTTATATATCGCGCATGTTTTTAATAAAATTTTTAAAAATAAAATTTATTGTCAGTAATAAATATTGTCATACGTATATTATTCTTTCCACTGAGTAGCCAATTGATTAAAATAATCATCACCAGAGCTTTTCATTATTAAATCGTCACCAAGAACGTTGCGGAGCGGGCGGATTTTGTGGGCTTTGCTTAAAAATTAAATTTTTTTTAAATTTAAATTTAAAAAATTTTGAAAAAAAATCAAATTTTCGGGGCTCAGGTAGTATAGTACCCCGTAATATTATAATACCCCAAGCAATATTATAGTACCCCAACTCAAATTTATTTATTTTAAAGTATATTTTGTGGACAAAGCGGTCCAAAATATTTTCGGGTTTACTAGTGGGGTACTCAACTACTTAGTATAGTAATAATAAGGAATATACTAAGTAGTTGAGTACCCCACTAAGTAGTTGAGTACCCCACCACAGAGTTTGGCACTATACTAAGTAGTTGAGTACCTACTAGTTGAGTACCCCGCCACAGAGTTTAGGACTATACTACGTAGTTGAGTACCCCACTAAGCAGTTGAGTACCCCACCACAAAGTTTAGGACTATACTAAGTAGTTGAGTACCCCACTAAGCAGTTGAGTACCCCACCACAGAGTTTAGGACTATACTAAGTAGTTGAGTACCCCACTAAACAGTTGAGTACCCCACCACAGAGTTTGACACTATACTAAGTAGTTAAGTACCCCACTAAGTAGATAAGTACCCTTCCACAGAGTTTAGTACAACACTAAGTAGTTGAGTACCCCACTAAGCAGTTGAATACCCACTATGTAGTTGAGTACCCCACCAAAGAGTTTGGCACTATACTAAGTAGTTAAGTACCCCACTAAGTAGATAAGTACCCTTCCACAGAGTTTAGTACAACACTAAGTAATAATATGTACAAAAAGAATTAAACTTACCAACGGTGCGATGATCATAAGTTGAAGGTCCGTTCGTCACGTATGTCGACCACTTCTACCTACGCCACATGTCTACCCTTGAGCAATGCTATTCCGTGAACGTACCATTCAACCATCATGCGATCTACATCCGAAAAAGTTCGACCGTCCATGGCCGCAACGCAAACGGAACAATAAATAAAATGAATCGGATTTCCGATTACGCAAATTTAAAAAAAATCGTTAGAAATTTTTTTTGGGGTACTATAATGCAGTAAGTTGGTGGGGTACTATATTACAACTTTTGGGGTACTATACCTCTTGAGCGCCAAATTTTCTAAAAATTAAAAAAAAATTTATGCCATGTTATCTTACTGTACACAGTAAAAACTTACCACAAAGTTTCTTGAAGAAAAGTTTCGGTATAGAGCAAGTGCACCGGTATGATAATGTCAATAATTTTAAAAATTGTGTCATTGAGTTGAGCTAGTGTCACTGTAGTTCTGTAGTCACATCTGTTGGGGAAGTAAACAATAATCAAAAACAGTAAAATACCAGAAAGAAATAGTCGAAACGCTGTGATAATACTTGTAGCCGACAGGATTCGAATACTTCGAATACTGACACTGACCTAAAATTTTATATGTCAAAATGTAGAGTAAATTAAAGTAACATAGAACAAGAATAGAGCAAGAGCGAAAGCAAAAAGAAGAGCAAGAGCAAGAGCAAAAGCAAGAGCAAAAGAAAGAGCAAGAGCAAAAGATAGAGCTGCGACTAGAGTTAGAGCTAGAGCAGGGGTTAGAGAAAGGTCTAGAGATCGGGTTAAGATCAGGCCTAGGGCTCGCCAAAAGGGCTAGAACTTACCTTTGCTTTCAGTTTTAAATTGCCAACAAAGTCCAGTCGATATTGAGTACTGTCCATCTTCATATGCTTTCGAAAAATATAAACACTGAAGGCAGCAATAACTTCGTAAAATATCCAAACATAGGTGAAAAAGTCATTGTCTAAAATATATTTTATTAGTAAAAAATGTCGTTATCTGAAACGTGTTTGTAAAAGCGAGACTGAATCAAATTGTTAAAACTATTTAGATTTTCTTACATCTTGGCATTCTTGACATTACAGTAAGAGTCAGAGCCGATACCCACGTAAATATCACGGCCACAATCGGTATAATCCGTTCTTGTTTTGGAAAAATTACCATAAATTTGATAGCTAACGCCATCCAAAACACCCCTAACAGATGGGTTTGTACGCACATGTCATGGAAGAACAAAAACTTTGCAAACGTCGTAAAATCAAAGTAAGATGGCCAACCATAACCGATCATAACAAATATCCGACAGAAGATAATCATGTAGCTCTCCACACATTGGTTGAACACAAGTAGCTTTGTAGCGCAATTTAGAAGCTTAGTACGTAGAAGTGCTACAGCAAAAATTATATTAATTATTAAGTTTAGAGGTAGTACTATTAGTTCGACACCCGTTATGTAGATGTTGAAGGTTTGATGCCCGTTTGTTTCGAAGATTTGATATATTGAGCAATTAATAGGCTTATCCATTTTGCTGCAGTATCATTGAGTAGTTAAATGCCTTAAAATTATTACAGTATAATATTATTAACAAGTAAACGCCATGTTTTATTTATGATAATAATATTATTCACGGTAAATGAAGTTGCATGTAAGCAACATACCATATTTGTACTCAAAAATACAAAACTTATAAGCACATTGTAAACAAAGTAATGACAACTATATTCATATTTGTTTTTAGCGTAAAAATAGTTTTTTGTATTTTAATTAACAAGCACAGAACTTTCTGTATTTACGCTTTACATTATTTTTGAAATAATATTAAGTAAGTATCATCTAGATTACGGCAAAAAATATTTGTTTTATGCTCTTTTGGTTAAAGGATACATAGTCAAGAGATTTGTGTTTACATATTACAGTAAAAACCCTCACCAGAGATTAGTACAAACAGCAAATACAATAGCAAAGGCAGTTTTCAATTACGTCGTAATGAATTTCAAACTTTGTCAGGACTTTATCAGCGGCATAATAAGCATGAACTTCACTAATGTTGCTTATAACCCTATATTTAAATAAGAAGACAACAAACTGACATGGATAAAAAGTAGTTGATTTATTAAAGTAGCAAATACAATTAAACTACCTATCAAACATGGCCAGGGCTGATAAGGCAACGTCAGCTTTGAAATATCTTTTGAATTGAGTTTGGTGACGTAAGAAGACACGCCTAACGTTGTTCAAGATTCCCACAAAGGACTTTCCTTTTCAAAGCAACTTTTTCATTGATGGTATTATATAAGGAGTAATTGCCTCCTTAACATTGAACCATATGAAACATTTTTTATGATTAGAAACAATTGACACTCCAAAACATGACTGCTCATTGCAATAGAAAATCAAAAAATAAAGACGTCGATAGCATTAAGTTTTCCAAAATTTATAATTTTTAAAAAGTAACTAAAGCACACTTCATTCCACAAAACAAACCACTTTTCTATACTATGTAGAAAGAAGTAAACGTTATGTCATTTACTATAACACATTTAAATGTAATATAAGTGCGGCGAAAAAATATACGCAATGTGTGTTTTTATAACCGTAAAGCATACGAATACAATCTTCAAGCGTGTGTATACCATTTCAACTAGTTTATTAGCTTTAAAATTACTATTGTGTTAAAGTATTTCGTAGATCTTAAACTTAATTAGTAATCTTAACTCACTGCGAAATGATATATTTTAGCTTCAAACAAAAGGTTTTTTTTGAAATTACAGTACAACTACAACATACGACACGTTGCTAAAAAGATTCGTTTCTCTAAACTACAATATACGTTTGTCTAGAGTATAATCAGAAATAATTTTTAAATACAGTAAAACCTCGTTAATAAGGTTTCGCTGTTAATAAAACCCCTGTTATAGCGTTAGAACGGGAGTTCACTGTACGCAGAGCTAACATTAAATAAACGACTCTAAAGTAGCCTTAAAAACTGACTCACAACAAGATATTGAGAATAGCATTAGCAATTACATATTACAGTAACAGTCTTTCTGTATTAAACACTTTTTAAGTTTACTTAATAATAGTCTTAAACCAATTTATTAACCTCTTCCTTGTTATTAACGTGCATTATTAAAGGTTTGTAAACCAAAATAGATAAAAACGGCCGTGAATTACAGTTTTTCAAAGCCAGTTATTAACAACTGTACAATTGAACAAGTAGGCTTGTAAAACATTGCGGGTTCTACACGGAAAAAAATCGTGGCTAATATTGTGTACCTATTCAAACAAGTTTAAAATAAAATTTTGAAAATTAACACGAAGGCTACGTTTAACTTTTTTCCAAAATTTTTCTTGAAGGTTTGTCTACAGATATAGGAAGATTGTAAAAAGGTAATGGGTTGGACTACAATAAAAAAAACAAACAAAAAGGCCAAGAATAAGATAGCGGTCTGATGAGCTTAAGAAGATAGAAGCTTGTAATATCAACTTGTTTGAAAGTAGGTTAATAAACTGTAAAATATAATACCATTCGACTTCAACCGCGTTGGGCAGACGAGATCATTAAGTAAGAAAGTCGGAATAGAATGGATGGAGGAAGGAAGATGATTAGTAGCTCTCAGGGACTACACCGAAGAAACCAAAGAATATTGTCATACGTAACCTTACATTTGAACATTAGAGTCAGAAAGTAAAGTGCAAACTGTATCTGTTACAATACAATGTCATTTTGTACGCTACACTAATACGCTTTTTTCATCATACTATAACATGGTTACTAAACCGTGGCTTCTTAATACTTGACGAACACAAGAGCTCTTTGTTTCTCAACACCGAAGTAATAAACGAAGGTGACTATAGTAGCCTTTGCGAGATCTAAAAATATTGTATGTGTTCCATGTAATAAGTACAAATAAAATACTTTTATAAAAAATTTTCCGCTATAATATTCAACTTATTGTTCCGGTTCTTTGTAGTCTGCCAAAATTGTAGCTTCCGCAATTTTTTAATATAATTTTAATGAGTGTCAGGTAGACATAGTGTAACGGCGGTCTATGTCAAATTGAAAAATGTAACCTTCGACATGTTTTACATAACTCAGCCTAAGTTGACACCAACTTTGGCCTGACGTCTTGGCTTTGTGCAACCTTATAAAATTTTAAATTATAGAAGTATGATGGTAGTGAATTGACGCCGTTTTCTCTTCTATACAATTACGTTCTCCTACGCACACTGCGTTTAGACTACAAACCTATTGGTATTTAAAAGATCAAACTGTATAAACAACAAAATCTTTTTAGTTACTTTTTGAGTGCTCATTGCCTACGCATCGTATGTAATCAAAAAAGGCATAAGATACATACCATATATAAACAACAAGATGTAACATATATGTTTTCTTTTCATAGCACGTATATCTTTTCATTTTTTCATGAACTAAAAAACATGACACGGTTTACACTATTTTTAAAATTGATTGTTAAATTTCTTTATGTGAAAATCTTTTCGCATGACTCGACCAGTGGCAAAAGATATGATAGGTATTTTGGTTTTAGTCACTTAGTGGTGGCTTAAAAATGTTATTTTAGAAGTAAAGTAAAATAGCTTTAGTTCGACACTCAAAAAATAGAGTAAAGTGCCATTATAAACAGGGTGTCGCAGTATTCAGGTTGTTTCTAATAGAAGTTTTATTAACAAGGGGTGGTGAGAATACTGTCATTATAAAGAGGGTGTAAAACTGCAAGGGTTATACTAAAGATGTTCCAACGTGTGCAATGTTGGTGACGAGACGGTAGTATAACAGATTATGTGTAGTCTGCTGTCAACTTGTTTGTCCCGATGGTAGTTTTTTTCGGTTGGGTCGTCCAATGGCAGGTTTTTTGAGAACACAATATTGAGTGGAACTTTGATAAGACAGTAACTTGTAGTCCGGTCGATTGAAAATGATGCTAAACTCCAGCTACGAATAAATGCCCTAAATCTACGATTACCTAAACAATAATATATATCTCTAAAATGTTTAAAATATTTGAACTCGATATTTATTCTTTTTTACTTATTTCTTCCGTTCACTCTTGTATTGAGTGTAATGGGAGTAAAAATAATATATAAAAGGACAACAAATAGATAATTGAATGTTTTTGATGCTTATTTAAACGTGAATCTGATGATGATGAAGCCATCTTTAGTTATTTCAAATGGAATTGCTCCAAATGTCGCTGTCCCAATTGTCGTTTCGTCCCAATCGACGGCATACGAAGCTAGGTTAGTAAGTGTGTCAGTTGATAATTGCTCTGCCGTCCATCGCCATCATATAGCGTTTCGGAGGTAAACTGATTGGGCAACGTGTTGAAGAGTCTGAATTCGGTAAATTAGTCAGTCCAGCCACTCGCAGTCTGTGTTAGCATAGTAACATCGTACTTTACGTGTAACAGTTAAAATTAAAGTCCAATTGCGGCTATTGTGTGGAACAAAAAGAAACATGGTCGCGAAAACTCTAAATTAGAAAAAAAGCAAAAGAAATATAAAAGTGACACTCGAGGCGCCAGTGAAAGCGCCACAATTGATCGACACAAAATGATACAAAATATATTTTGCGTTAAAATTATCAAAACAATAAAAAGATTGACAAAAGGCGAAAATTAATATTTAAATCGCATAAGCTGTGAACTTTGAATGTGCTTGTCAAATTTCAAAAAGTTTTATCGACTTTGAAATCGTGTTGACGCTTGTAGTGTAGTATAAAGTAGTCCCTATGCTACGATTTCTCATGCTTAGGATTATGCGGTGTTTTTATATTTATTGTTTTCATGGTATGTGATCTTCTATGTTAGTCTTGATCAATAAACGATATTTGATTTTTCTCATTTTTTTACTTGACACAAGGAGCAACTTTAAATTTTTCATATTTTTTTTGTGTGTGTGCGTTTGCGAACTGGGCTTGAAGTGGTATTTCGCAACTTTAGCATACCATGCCATCATTAATTACGTGTTATTACTTTTGAAGATTTGCTGTTGTATGTAGAATAATATAATTATCTATTTTAGCTTAATTTTAATTTTTTTGCATGAAAGACTAATATTAATTTGTTTTTCGTAATTATTTATGCGACTATTGATCTGTAGTTATTGTTGAAGCAAAATCATTTTATGTAACAATGACGGTAGACAGGGGCGGGCAGGGACTTTTGGTCTGAGGGCGGGGGTCGAAAAAATCCACAGGGGGACTACGTACAACTTTTTTCAAAAATTAAAAAAAATATCCATTAGACTTATTCCTCCCCCCCCCCTCACCCCCACACCCAGCCCTGACGATAGGGGTGAAAAAAAAGAGCTACTGTTGAAGCAAACCGGGCTTAAATGTTACACCTGGCCCGCGGAGCACGGCCTGTCATGCACATGTGGGCTCGAGGACTGGGTCCTACACCAAAACCCGGCTTCGTTACAGGTCTACCTATACGTTTTTTTAATAAAACGAGATGTCACAAAACAATTGAAACTTTGTTACAGTGGAACTCCTGTATAACGAACTCCTCTATAACGAAACTCCCGTATAACGAACAACTTTTAAATTCCCGTCTACTACTGCACAGTGCATTTAAAACTCCTGTATAACGAAACTCCTTTATAACGAACAAATTTCAAGTCCCCGAGCGATTCGTTATACAGGAGTTCCACTGTATATGAAAACAGTCCACAGCACTTTAAGAGTACATATAGCATGTTTGGTCTCAAACGATTCCCTTATATGCAAGTTAAATGGGGAAGTGGGGGTCAAAACTCTGTACCTTCAGTACAAGTAAGGCTTCTCTATGATGAGCCAGCTTTGTCAGGCTTATTGGTTGTTTTTATTTGAGATAAGCTAATGTTTGTAAAGGTGTTTTTAAAATTTATTAAGTTTATCGCCTCGATGTTTGCTCAGCTTTCATACAGTGTTGGCGATGGAAAAAGGTGAACTTTGTATTCCATATTTAATCCCAAAAAGATTATACTATGTATGATAGACTTAACTTTCCAAATATATGCACATCTTTCACTCGGTAGATAATATTTTACTGGATATATAACCTTTTACTGAGTAACAGTGTTATTTTCGGAGTCGGTTCTTTCCGTTACTGGATTGCGGAGGATTGTTTCTTAAGTGACTTAAGTACTTTTTAGATTCTTTATAATCTCTTGTTATTGTTATCGCTTTTCCACGATACAGTTGAACTTTACAGGAACAGGAGATCGATATCTGGAAAGATGTTTATTTTATTAAAGCTTGGGTGGAGTTGGGGTGGAATTATGGTAGGATTAGAGTGGAGTTAGAGGGGTCAGGGTAGGTTAGAGTGGGGTTAGTGGAGAGGTTTTGGTAAGTGAATAGGAAAAGGTAGTGTTAAGTTGGTTACAACATATATCAGTTTTCTTTACATGTTTCATGTTGCAGTAGGTAAGGGTAAAATTGAAAATGGTATGGTTAATAACTGGCCGATAAGAGGGTTCTATAACTTACAGGTACAGTCGAGTAGTGGACAAAAGGGGTAGGGATTTGTAACGCAATGGTTAAGGTACAGTAAACTGGAGTATGAATTCATTATTGTAGGTAGGCAATGCCAGGGTAGGGTAAGGTGAAGTTCTGTAGGATAGGCTATGGAGGGTAGGCTAGGGAGGGTAGGGTAGGGTAGGGTAGGGTAGGGTAGGGTAGGGTAGGGTAGGGTAGGGTAGGGTAGGGTAGGGTAGGATAGGGTAGGGTAGGGTAGGGTAGAGTAGGGTAGGGTAGAGTAGGGTAATGTTACTTAGAACTAGCAATCATAGGGTCATATATCGAGGTTTAAAATAAAGTTGGGCAGGGCACAAGATATGTTTATTGTAAAGCAAGGGCATTGAGACCGTACAGTTCAGTTCAATTTTAATCTCACACAATAGTCGGAAAAAACATTTTTTGGATTTTAAAAACCTAAAAGCTGATTAAATAGGGCCGCTTCACCTATCCTTTGACTAATTCCAAGCCAATTATTATGCAAAGTCGCTTTTGTCAAAAAGTCAAAATGCGAGCTTACTAGTCTATATTTATTGTGGAACAAACAGATTACTTTGGTTCATTTCAGTCATGTCGGCTGGAGCTCACGCACCAAAACGACTCGACCTTCAAGGGTTACGATGTATAGCCATAGTCGCCGTACTGTTGTTTCATATATGGCCAAAACTGTTTCCTAATGGCTATCTGGGTGTGGATATGTAAGGTTTATGACATTATTTTTCTTCTTAGATTACGGAACGGTCAATTTAGATTTAATGTTTAAAGTGGAAGTTCGGTGGAAGATTTGTAATGTATTTTGCACTAAAAATCTTCAACTGAAATTCCACTTTTAAAAAGTGTCAAAAACGTGTTTTTAAGCAATTTTTAGACTTTTCAGAACATTTTCAAAATGGAAGTTGAGTGGAAGATTTTCAGTGCAAAATGCATTACAAATCTTCCACAAACTTTCACTTTTAAAAAGTGTCACTTTTAGCGTTTTAATGAAAATTTTGCTTTTTTAGTATATTTTTATTATTTTTTAGCTTCAAAGCACTCTAAAAATGACAAAGTTTTAGGTTTTTTGTGTTATCAGGCTACTTAATGTACACTATATTATCAGCAAAACCTTTAAACACAGTTACTATTACTGACTTTTACTATCGTCGTATCAAGAGAATCATACCAACGTATCTATTTGTTATTATTATGTCACTAACTATTGGTTTTATTGTGTTCACATCAAGAGAGTATGGTTATCTGGTCAAGGAATCTCTGACTGCAGCTACGTTAACTTCAAATATGTTGAATCTACCTGAACATGGCTACTTCAAGATCAACAATGAGTTCACATTGTTCTTGCATACATGGTCATTGTCAGTAGAGTTTCAGTTCTACCTGATCTGTCCTATTCTGTTTGGTACTCTGAGTTGTTTGAGTGATAAGAACAGGTTTAATGGAATCTTGTTCTGGCTGGTGGTTTCTGTGACTTCATTTGCGTTTCAATGGTATTATACTTATGGTAGGTTTTATTTGAAGTTTGAGTTTAAAAGGTTGGTAGGGTTAGGAAAAAGCCAAAAAAGGGTAGGATTGGGTAGAGTAGGGTAGGGTTTGGTAGAAAAAGTTTGTAGGGTTAGGGAAAAGCCGGTTGGTTAGGGCTTGATACAGAAAAATAGAAAAGATTAGTAGGACTAAGGCAAAACCAAGTTAAGGTAGGTTAAGGAACTGTAGAAAAGATAGTCTAGGGTAGGGTAGGGCAAAGTCATTGACAATTGTAAGCCTAAAATGACGTTGATAAGCCTAAATGACATTTAGAGCGAAATCAACGTAAGTTGAGACAGGGAAGTTGTAGAAACGAATAGGGTAGGCTTTGAGTAGGGCAATGACATTGTAGGATAGAGTAAAGTAGGGTAGAAAACGTTAGAAAAGCTAAGACAAACTGAAGGCAAGCTAAAGTAAAGGTAGTTAGAACTAGTCTTATAAATAAGATAAATTGAAGCTTACTATATTTTTCTGAGGTAGAGCATGGCTAGGGTGAGTTGCAGCCCAGTATAAATTCTCTACTTCAGAACCAAACATCTCCCACATGAGTCTGCCAGCCAGAATCTGGCAATTTTTCTTTGGTTTTGCTGTGGGCATGGCTAGGGCGATGCAGAATGACAATGTTTATGTATCACTGGACGGAAAACAAACCCAACCAGCCTGTAATACCTACTACATCAAGTCAGCCATCACACTCTTCGTACTACTACCAATCCTACTTATGCCAGATTATATTGACGCTGTAGTACTACGATTTCTGGCTACTTTAGTAACTGCGATTGTCATATACGATAACGGTGATAGTATTTGTTCGAATTCGTATGTTGTTTGGATTGGTGACATTTCCTACTCAGTGTACTTGGCTCATTGGCCTATTATCAAGTTTGTGCAGTATAATATCGAGGATAGGGAGAGTGGATTGTCTTTGTTTCGTGAGTTTTATGGGAATTGGGATTGGCTTGACTATGGCAGTATTTGCTCAAAATGACGCTTGTTTCGATGCGGTAGAGTACGGTAGGGTAGAGTGAAATTAGGGTTAGAGTAGGGTTAGGTAGGTTTAGGGTAGAGGTTTTGGTAGGATAGGGCAGAGCATGCGAATAAATAATATTGTAGGGTATGGTAGGGTAGAGTGAAAGTAGGGTTGCAGTAAGGATAGGTAGGGTTAAAGTAGAGTTTTTGGTAGGGTAGGGTGAGATTTTTGATTTAAGGGTACGGTATTTTTGTAAGGTTGGACTAATTTTGAAGCGAGGTATTTTTTAAGGTAGGGTATTTCCTAGGGTAAGGAATTTTCTGGGGCCGAGCATTTTCTAAAGCAAAGCATTTCTTGAGTGAGGGGTGTGGTAAGGCAGGGTACTGTGGGGTAGAGTAGGGTAGGGTAAAATATGGTAGAGTAGGGTAGAGTAGGGTAGGGTAGGGTAGGGTAGGGTAGGGTAGGGTAGGGTAGGGTAGGGTAGGGTAGGGTAGGGTAGGGTAAGGTAGGGTGGGGTAGGGTAGAGTAAGGTAGGGTTAGAGCAGGCTAGGAGAACACCAGAAAAATTGTTTTAAAAGGGACACAGAATTATGTAAAAAACTTAAATATATTGTTTTCAGAAGGAATTCTGATAATCGTGGCATCAGTCCAGCTAGGCAACTCAGTAGAAAGTTTTTTCGCAAAAATCAGTCAAAGCATAACCTCATGGCTACGGTTACTACTCGTCCTCATGCTACTGTATTGTACATTATTCTCAACTCAAATCTATGTTACTCAAAAGGTCCCGAGCACTGAAGTCGATGGGGCAAGGGTGGTTGATTGGAAAGACCCATCTTACCTCAGCTTTATCGAAAAGATGTACAAGAAACGTGGCCAAGACCTGGAGTTGTCTTTGGATGAACTGTTGACCTTCAACGAGGGCATGGTACATTATGTGGAAACGTATTTTAGAAACTGTAAAAATAACAGTGCGAAAAGATATCCGGAAATGAAGTTTTACGAGGACTTTTTCTACGGTTGCAGTATTGATGTAAGTTTCAAGTTTACGAGGAAGATGAACTTTTTGGCACTTTTTAAAAGTGGAAGTACGGTGGAAGATTTTTAATGTATTTTGCATTAAAAATCTTCCACAAAAATTCCATTTTTAAAATGTCTTAACATGGCCTAAAAATGACTTTTTGACACTTTTTAGATGTGAAAGTAAGGTGGAAGATTTTCAGTGCAAAATACATTACAAATCTTCCACTAAACTTCCACTTCCAAAAAGTGTTAAAAACGTTTTTTTGTGCCATTTTAAGAAGTTTTGGAAATGGAATTTGAGTGGAAGATTTTCAGTGCAAAATACATTACAATTCTTCCACTAAACTTCCACTTCTAAAAATTGTTAAAAACGTGTTTTTATGCCATTTTAAGGTATTTTAAAAACGAAAGCTGAGTGGAAGATTTTCAGTGCAAAATACATTACAAATCTTTCATCTCGCTTCCACTTTTCAAAAACGTACAAAATTGAAAAAAATCTTTTTTACAGGGCAAAGGAGACAAAGAAGTAGTAGTAATTGGCAACAGTATGGCCAGAGACATTTTCACCGGCTTTCAACAGTTGTGGAAAGGCACTTATAAACGACTCACAATGGCAGCCCACCCAACTGAGGTTCCATTTAGTATTGAAGATGCAGAAGTTGGCAACAAGTACATAAACTTGCTTAAAGAATGGGATCGGCCAATCGATATTGTCATTGTGCAACATGCTTACTTTGAAATACCGCTTGAATACAGGAGTGGCAAAATGAAGGAAGATATCGACAATTTTTACAAAGATTTGCAACCGCTGGTCAAGGATGTTATAATGATTGGAGCGCCTGAGGTGTGGCAGGAGACTAGCAAACAAAAAATGTTGAAAATTATTGAAAATAAGGAAGATTATGACAAAGTCAGCATTGGATGGGATGTAAGTTTAAGCAAAGTGAAGTTTTTGAAGTATTACAAATTTTTAAAAAATCAATATATTTTGTGACATTTCGCAACATTTTGTAAAAGTCAAATTTTTGGTGACATATCGCAATATTTTGTGAAAATCAATATCTTTTGTGATAATTTGCAAATTACTTTCAAAGTCGATAATTTTTGTGACATTCCGCAACATTACTTAAAAATCTATAATTTTTGTGACATTTCGCGACATAACTTGAAAGTCAATAATTTATGTGACATATCGCAACATTTTGTGAAAATCAATATCTTTTGTGATAATTTGCAAATTACTTTCAAAGTCGATAATTTTTGTGACATTCCGCAACATTACTTAAAAATCTATAATTTTTGTGACATTTCGCGACATAACTTGAAAGTCAATAATTTATGTGACATATCGCAACATTTTGTGAAAATCAATATCTTTTGTGGTAATTCGCCACATTTTGTATAAGTCAATATTTATTGTGACATATCGCAACATAACTTGAAAGTCAATAATTTATGTGACATATTGCAACATTTTGTAAAAATCAATATCTTTTGTGATATATCGCCCCATTTCTTTATAATCAATAACTTACGTGACATCTTGCAACGTCTCTTAAAAATCAATATCTTTTGTGTCATTTCGCAACATTTTGTATAAGTCAATATTTATTGTGACATATCACAACATTTTGTAAAAATCAATATCTTTTGTGACATTTCGCAACACAAAAAATCGTTTCAGCTTCACATTGCCATAAATGCCAAAATGCGCATAATGATCGAGAACCTGCCATGTGAAAAGTGTGTCATCGTCGATTTTGTCAGGTCAATTTGTTCGCGAGTTACCGCAAAATGTCATGGTATTCTACCCAACGGTATTATGGTGTTCAGGGATCGGATTCACACGACGTTGGTTATTAATTTAATGTATGCTCAGGAATTTATTGAAGTTTACAATAATAAATTTATAGGTTAAAGGATTGGAGATTTGATAAGAATAAGGTTTAAGATAAGGTTAGGGTTAGAGGTGGAGTTAGACAACGGCAGAACGACGGAAGGGTCAGTCAGGATTGAGTTAAGTAAGGCAAGACAAAACCAACCAGGGTACAGTAGAACTAATAATGCAAGAAAGGGCAGAACAGAGTAAAGCAAAAAAAAAGAAAGGCAAGGCAAGGCAAGGCAAGACCGAACCAGACCAGAGTGGACTGACCAGACCGGACAGTACAGGACAAGGCAGGGTAATACAGGACAAAGCAAAAAGTTAATCCTAAGGTTAGGGTTAGAGTTAGGGTTAGGTATGACACAGAAGGAATGACATAGCACGGCCTGCCCGACAGGGCAAAGCAAGGCCAGGGCAAGGCCAGGGCAAGGCCAGGGCAAGGCCAGGGCAAGGCCAGGGCAAGGCCAGGGCAAGGCCAGGGCAAGGCCAGGGCAAGGCCAGGGCAAGGCCAGGGCAAGGCCAGGGCAAGGCCAGGGCAAGGCCAGGGCAAGGCCAGGGCAAGGCCAGGGCAAGGCCAGGGCAAGGCCAGGGCAAGGCCAGGGCAAGGCCAGGGCAAGGCCAGGGCAAGGCAAGGTAGGACCAGAGGTAGGACCTGAACTGCTCTGATCAGCTTTTATTAATATCTATTTTTGGTAGTAAGCCTTCAACATCCCATATGTTAACATTTTAACGTAATAAGCAAGCACTTTGTGTAGAATCTTCTCTTCAGTCTCATCCTCGTTCTTGGACTGGCTAGCACTTTGTTTTTCTATCTTTATGTAAAAGTTTGAGCAAGCCGTTGCTAGCCAATACCAAAGATTGAAGTTTTAACAGACATAATAACATAGAGCTTTACGTAAATCTAAATCATAAACAAACTTTATTTTTAATGTTATGTTAAAGTTGAAAACACCTCGTCAACATATTTATTCAATTTTATGCACATCTTCCCCATGATATAACACTTGTTTTCGTGGTAAATGTTTTTTAGTGTCGTTGTTTTGTTTTGCCAGTAGTATTGTCAAGACCTTTGAGGTCTGGTTTATGTTAGTCATGACAGCGGTAACACATGCACCAAAACGGCTCGATCTTCAAGGGTTACGATGTATAGCCATAGTCGCAGTACTGCTGTTTCACATATGGCCAAAACTGTTTCCCAATGGCTATCTGGGTGTGGATATGTAAGGTTCATGATATTTAATGCATTTTGAAATGTTTTTAAGCAATTTTAAGACATTTTTAAAATGGAATTTCGGTGGAAGATTTTCAGTGCAAAATACATTGCAAATCTTCCGCCCAGCTTCCACTCTTGATGTGTAAGGTTTAAGACATTAGTTTTCTTTAAAAACCATAAAATAACCATAACTTTCCTTCCAGTTTAAAAAACTGCTAATTTAGAGCCATTTTCCAAAGTGGAAGTTATGTGGAAGATTTGTAATGTATTTTGCACTAAAAATCTTCCACCAAACTTCCACTTTTAAAATGTCTTAAAAAAGACTTAAAAATGACTTTCTGACACTTTTTTAGAAGTGAAAGTTAAGTGGAAGATTTTCAGTGCAAAACACATTACAAATCTTCCACTCAACTTCCACTTTCAAAAACGCTCAAAAACGTGTTTTTAGGCTATTTTAAGACATTTTGGAAATGGAAGTTGAGTGGAAGATTTTTAGTGCAAAATACATTACAAATCTTCCGCTTAATTTCCACTTTTTAAAACTTAATTTTTTAGCGTTTTAATGAAACTTTTGCTTTTTTTTAGTAAATTTTTAATATTTTGTAGCTCTAGAACAGTCTAAAAATGACAAAATTTTAGGTTTTTTGTGCTGTCAGGCTACCTGATGTACACAATATTGTCAGCAAAGCCTATGAACAAGGTAACAATTGCTGATTTCTACTATCGCCGTATCAAGAGGATCATACCATCCTATCTGTTTGTCATCATCGCTACACTAGTGATTGGTTTTGTTGTATTCACATCGAGAGAATATGGCTATCTGGTCAAGGAATCATTGACTGCAGCTACTTTGACTTCGAATATGTTCAATTTACCTGAGCATGGCTACTTTAAGATCAACAATGAGTTCACATTGTTCTTGCATACATGGTCATTGTCGGTTGAGATTCAGTTTTACCTGATTTGTCCACTTTTGTTTGGGACGTTGAAGTATTTGAATAGTAGAAATAAGGCATTTGGAGGAGTCTATTGGTTGATCATTACCTTGATATCGTTCGGATTTCAGTGGTTATATAGGAATAGTAAGTTGAAAAAGCTAGCCCTAATTCAGAGCGATAGCCCAGAGCCCTGAGTTCTGAGCCCTGAGCCCAGAGCCCTGAGCCCTGAGCCCTGAGCCCAGAGCCCTGAGCCCTGAGATCTGAGGATTGAAGCCTAGCTTGGCTTAGCACTAGCCCTGGATCGGGTTTTAACTTTTTTTTTGTTTTTTTAAAGCCCAAGCATAAGCCTAAACCTAAGCCTAATCCTGAGTTTGAGCTTGAGTTTGAGCTGATCCTTTAGTTTCACCGTACCCAAGCCTTCCCTTGCCATACCCTACTTCAGCCTTACTTTGTTGTACCCTAATGCCGTCCTATCAAGTTGTAACCTAGACAAAAGGAACGGACTGGGCCTATTTTCAGACCTGGCCTAATGTGAACTTTGCTCAGGCTTGGCCCGACCTGTTCCTCATGTCTACCGTACCCTACTATAATCTACCATAAGGTTACTGACCTATATATTCTTGCTTGTCTTGGAAGCCTACAAGCTATTGAAACGTCTATAGCAGTAAAAAGAACGTAGTATAGTAAATAATATCTTTAAACCTATATTATTATAGATCCAAACATCTCCCACATGAGCCTGCCAGCCAGAATCTGGCAATTTTTCTTTGGATTTGCTGTGGGCATGGTCAGATCAATGCAAAGTCATACCAGCTATGTACCATTAGATGGGAAAGAGCCAGTATCACTAAAGACGTACTACATCAAATCAGCTATCACACTTCTTATACTAATACCAATACTAGTCATGCCAGACATTGTTGATGCCGTGCTACTACGACTTTTAGCTACTTTGGTAACAGCGGTTGTTATATACGGTAATGGGGAGAGTATTTGCTCTCATCCTTATCTTGTTTGGATTGGTGACATTTCGTATTCGGTCTACTTGGTACATTGGCCTATTATCAAGTGTGTCGAGTATAATATGGAGAACAAGGATAATGGCCTGTCTTTGTTACGTAAGTTTTTGAGGAAAGGATAAGGCTTAAATGACAGTTTTTGAGGTTAGGGCTAGAGATAGAGTAAGGCAATGGCAAGACAAGTTACGGTAAGGTAAACTAAAGGAGAGTAGTGCAAGATAGAATATGATATGTTAGGGTAGAGTAAGGCACGGTAGGGTAGAGTAAGGTCGAGTAGGGTAAGCCTTGCTCTTGCCTCTGGCCTTGCCTCTGGCATTGCCTCTGGCCTTGCCTTTGGCCTTGCCTCTGGCCTTGCCTCTGGCCTTGCCTCTGGCTTTGCCTCTGGCCGTGCCACTGGCCTTGCCTCTGGCCTTGCCTCTGGCCTTGCCTCTGGCCTTGCCTCTGGTCTTGCCTCTGGCCTTGCCTCTGGCCTTGCCTCTGGCCTTGCCTCTGGCTTTGCCTTTGGCCTTGCCTTTGGCCTTGCCTCTGGCCTTGCCTCTGGCCTTGCCTCTGGCCTTGCCTCTGGCCTTGCCTCTGGCCTTGCCTCTGGCCTTGGCCTTGCCTCTAGCCTTGCCTTGACCTTACCATGTCTTGCTTTTGTCTTGCTATGCTCTGCTTTGCCGTGCCATGCCCTGCCCTTTCGTGCCCTGTTGCATCCGCCATGCCTTAGCCTTATATTTAACCCTGGGCCTACCTTTAGCCCTACCCTAGCCTTGGTAAGCCAAAAAGCGTCATAAAGATATTTTCAGAAGGAATATTGATAATATTGGCATCAATCCAACTAGGAAACTATGTGGAGAACTTTTTTGCCAAGATCAGTCAAAACATAACATCATGGCTCAGGCTTCTACTAGTCCTCACAATGCTATACGGTACCTTCTTTACCACCCAGATGTACGTCATTCAAAGCACACCTCACGTCGAAACGACCAATTCACAAATAGTGGCCTGGACTGATCCAAAGTACCTTGACTTCATTGAACAGGTCTACAACAAACGTGGCCAGAGTCTTGGCTACACTGTGCCTGAATTGTCACGTCTAAACTTGGAAATGATTTACTTTTCCGAAATTTACTTTCCACAGTGTCGGAAAGATAGTGCAATGAAGTATATGAATCTGAAGTGGTACCATTACTTCTTCTATGGATGCAGTATTGATGTAAGTTGGCAATGTAAAGAAAGTTCTTGCAATTTTGGGTACTTGCACTGAAAACCTTCCATCAAACTTCCATTTTTAAAAAGTGTCAAAAACGTGTTTTTAGGTCATTTTAAGACATTTTGAAAATGGAATTTGAGTGGATGATTTTTAGTGCAAAATGCATTACAAATCTTCCACTCAACTTCCACTTTTTTAAACATGCCATTTTAATGTTTATGTAGCAGATTGTGTTCTTATAAGGATTTGTAAAGAAAGTTCTTGCTATTTTTCGTTTTGTAAAGAAAAATCTTGCCATTTTGTGTTTTGTAAAGAAAGTTCTTGCCATTGTTTGTTTTGTAAAGAAAGTTCTTGCCATTTTTTGCTTTGAAACCCTTTTTCATCGACGAAAAGCGAGCCCTTTCGCTCCCTTCCCTCTCCCTCTCTACCCGCTCTCTTCTCTCTTGCCTCACCCTCAAACCCAGTCGAAAAACAAGTTCCAAGCCTAACTTAACCCTTTGGCTTGACATTTGGAATATCGCTTCTCGGCCTTTTGGCTAAGATCAAAGTGTAGTATCTGTTCTTATCGGTTTAATCTCCGGTACGACTTCTATTGAAGTCATTCGAGATTAACAGATTTTTGGGACCAGCTGAGTTGCGAAGGCTTGCCTTCCGCTCGGCAAGGGTCGGCCCGGTCTTGCACCTACTTCCGGGAACGGCCCATATATTTTAGTTTTTTTAACAAAAAAATGGTAAGAACTTCCTTTACAAAACAAAAAAATGGCAAGAACTTTTTTTACTAGGAAACCGCAAATAATGAAAATCGAGTTATAACTAGTGGTATATATACGAACATAGAGCAAAAAAATCTAAGACTTATGGTGTAAAAATTTTTTGCCAACAATCTCTAGTTTTTGAGATATGGCAGGTCAAAGTTTGGTTTTTTAAATACTTTTGTCTGATGTTCGCTTTTTGAGCACAGAGCATAAGCTCTTCAATGGCAGCGAGCGAGTGAGCCCCACTTGGACTCGGAAGCTCAAGGGTTCGGTTCCCGTGGGCTTCCAAAGGCTAAAACGCCTCAAAAATGTTTTTTGTTTTTTTTTCTATTTTAAAGTTAATAACTACAGTCTTAAAACTAAACATAAGTAACATTTTGAACATAAGAAAAAAGAATATAACAAAATTTAAACCTAAATAATTCATAAAAAAAGAAAATTCCAACAATAATTGTTCATAACATTTGTATTATTTCACTTTCACCGTTATGGTGGACATTAATATTATTGGTGGTCAAGTTGACGTCAGTTACTGATATTTCTAAAGCTACTAGAGAAGAAGAGACCTCTTTCCAAATTCTGTACAGTAAGTTGTTAATGTCGAGAGACTCTGATATCTTATTGCCAGGAAATTATGAAAATATGAACGAATTTTGGGATAGTAACGTACAAGGAATGGTGAAGTACACATCATTAATGTCCACCATAACGGTGAAAGTGAAATAATACAAATGTTATGAACAATTATTGTTGGAATTTTCTTTTTTTATGAATTATTTAGGTTTAAATTTTGTTATATTCTTTTTTCTTATGTTCAAAATGTTACTTATGTTTAGTTTTAAGACTGTAGTTATTAACTTTAAAATAGAAAAAAAAACAAAAAACATTTTTGAGGCGTTTTAGCCTTTGGAAGCCCACGGGAACCGAACCCTTGAGCTTCCGAGTCCAAGTGGGGCTCACTCGCTCGCTGCCATTGAAGAGCTTATGCTCTGTGCTCAAAAAGCGAACATCAGACAAAAGTATTTAAAAAACCAAACTTTGACCTGCCATATCTCAAAAACTAGAGATTGTTGGCAAAAAATTTTTACACCATAAGTCTTAGATTTTTTTGCGCTATGTTTGTATATATACCACTAGTTATAACTCGATTTTCATTATTTGCGGTTTCCTAGTTAAAGAACAAAAAAATGGTAAAAACTTTCTATACAAAACAAAAAATGGCAAGAACTTTCTTTACAAAACAAAAAATGGCAAGAACTTTCTTTACAAAACTTTAGGCTTAATTAAATTACTGTATTTTCAAAGATCTCAAACATATCACACTTTACAGGGCCTAGGCACAAAAGAAGTGGTAGTAATTGGCAACAGTATGGCCAGAGACATTTTCAGTGGCTTCCAACAATTGTGGAGGCATACTTATAAACGTCTGACAATAGCCGCCAACCCAACTGAAGCTGTGTTTTATACTGAGAATGCTGCCGTCGGCAACAAATACTTAAACTTGCTAAAGGCATGGGATCGGCCCATTGATATTATCATTGTTCAACAGGCGTAGGTTTTCAGAGTTGAAGGGGAGGGGTAATCAAATTTTAAAAATGAAAAAATTTTTTTTAGAAAACTTTTTAAAATGTCTTGAAATGACCTAAAAATGCGTTTTTAAAGCTTTTTAAAAGTAGAAGTTGAGTGGAAGATTTGTAATGTATTTTGCACTGAAAATCTTTCATCCAACTCTCACTTCTAAAAAGGTCCAAAAAGCCATTTTTAAGTCATTTTAAGAAATTTCAAAAATGAAAGTTCAGTGGAAGATTTTCAGTGCAAAATACATTACGAATCTTCCACTCAACTTTCATCTTTAAAATGTCTTAAAATAGCCTAAAAACCAAAGTTAACCCATTTCAGCCACTTTGAAATACCGAAAGAGTACGTAGACACAAAAATGCAACAAGCTGCTAGTGTCTTCTACCATGAATTGGGAAAGCTGGTCAAGGAGGTTGTGATGATTGGCACACCTGAGATTTGGTCAACCACCATTGTGCAAATACTGTTTAAAATCGTTGAAAATCAAGAGGATTATAACAAACCTAGTGTTGATTATGCTGTAAGTTTCTGTAAATCTATTTTTGTGACATTTTGCCATTTTTTTGAAAAAATCAATAATTTTTGGGACATTTAATAATTTTTTTGCAAAAATTGATAGTTTTTGTGACGTTTAGTCATTTTTCGGAAAAAGCGATAAGTTTTGTGACATTTAGCTATATTTTTTGTAAAAATCGATAACTTTTGTGACATAGAGCCATGTTTTTGAAAAAATCAATAATTTTTGTGACATTTAGCTATATGTTTGAAAAATTTGATAAAATTTGTGACAGTTAGCCTTGTTTGTGAAAAACCAATAATTTTTGTGACATTAAGCCATTCCTTGAAAAAAAATCGATAGTTTTGTGACATTTTGCTATTTATTCTAAAAAATCGATAATTTGTGAAATACAGCTCTTTTTTTACAAAATCGATAAAATTTGTAACATTTAGCCACGTTTTTGAAAAACCAATAATTTTTATGACATTTCGCAACATTTGTCAAAAATCAATATATTTCAGCCCTACATAGCACACAATGCAAAAATGCGTCGAATTGTAGAAAACGTACCGTGTGAGAAGTGCGTAACGGTCGATTTTTGCCGCTCAATTTGCTCCAAATTGACAAATAAGTGTCGTATTATCCTACCGAATGGCATTATTGTGTTCAGAGACTACATTCATACCACGTTGGTGGGCGGTTTCATGTATGCGCAAGAGTTTATTGACGTTTATAACAATAAATTTGTTGCTTGAGTTTGTCGGAGTCTTGAATTGTAAAGGCAGGGTGAGAGGATAGATACAGTACTTCGGGGGGGGTATAGGTAATACTAGGGTTAGGGAGACTGGGCTGGGTTGAGTTAGACGTGGCTTTACTGAACTTTCCTGGACTCGCCTAAGACATGGAATGAGTGAGGGATTCAGCTGGACTGAACAAGGTCCGTGCTAAAGCGATCTATGCTTAGCTAGACTGAGCTGGGCTAAGCATTGCTAGACTGAACTTAACTAACTATAAGCTAGGCTAGGTAGTGCTACGTCAAGCTGAGCTTGTCCGGGTTGGGCTGGGCTTTACTTAGGCTAGAGCTAAGGCTGGGACAAGAGGTAGACTGAACTAGGTTAATCTGAGCTGAGCTGAAATGAGCTGGGATAGACTGGGCTGGAAAAGAGAGGGCAGATCAGCGCAGGGTTGTGCTGGCTCGTGCTAGCTTGAACTGGTGTGGGCTGAGCCGAGTTAAAGTGAGCTGGCACAGAACTGAAACCGAGTTAGAGTGAGCTAGGCTAGAACTGAGGCTGTAGGGCAAGCGCTAGGCTATGATTTCAAACTGTCATCAACCATATTTATTGTTATAAAGGTCAATAAACTCTTGAGCGTACAAAAAGCTTCCGATCAGCGTGGTATGAATGAAGTCTCTGAATACCATGATGCCATTCGGCAGAATACTGTAGCATTTTCCAGTTATTTTTGAACAAATTGAGCGACAAAAATCGACCGGTAAACATTTTTCGCATTTCAAATTTAGCACCATTTTGAGTTTGTTGGCATAGAGAGCTTTGCGGGCCTAAAAGAATATTGTTGTACCATCTTAAAAGGAATGTTGCGATATGCCACAAAGTTTATTGGTTTTTTAAAAATTTAGCGGATTGTCACTAAATTTATTGGTTTTATTGTATATGTTGCAAAATGTCACAATTTTTTTTGGTTTTCTTAATGATATTGCGGAAAGTCACAAAATTAATTAATTTTGTTAAAATGTTGCAGCTTGCTGCAAATTTTATTGATTTTCTTAATGATGTTGCGAAATGCCACAAAATGTATTGATTTTATTAATAATATTGCGGAATATCACAAAATGTATTGATTTTAAAAATTATGTTGCGGAATGCCACAAAATTTATTGATTTTCATACAACTTACTTTCCAATCAACGCTGATTGCATTATAATCTTCTTGTTTTTCGATAACTTTGAACAATTTTTGTTGGTTTTGAGCTGACCAAACCTCAGGCATTCCTAACATTATTACTTCTTTTACTAGCGGTTGCAGCTCTTTGTAAAAGAAGTTCATGTTATCAGCCATATTACCGTGTTCATACTCTTTCGGAATGTAAAAGTATCTGAAATGGCATTTTTAGTCTAGGCCTTAGCCAAGATCCCTAGCCATAGCCTTAGCCCGGAGCCCTAGCCCAGAGCCCTAGCCTTAATCCTAGAAACTCACGAATGCTGAACAATGACAATGTCAATGGGCCGATCCCATCGCTTCAGCAAGTTAATGTACTTGTTGCCTTTGGTATAATTTCTGGTACGAAATGGCACAACAAGTGACTCTCCAACTATAGTCAACCGCTTATATCTACTCTTCCATAACTGTTTGAAACCAGAGAAAATGTCTCTGGCCACACTATTGCCAATCAACACTATTTCTTTGTCTCCTTGACCCTGTAATGAGATTTTTTGCCAGTTTTTTAAGTTTCTGAAAAGTGGAAGTCGAGTGGAAGATTTGCAATGTAATTTGCAGTGAAAATCTTCCACTAAACTTCCGTTTTCAAAAAATGTTAAAATGGCCTAAAAACATGTTTTTGAGCAGTTTTGGGAGTAGAAGTTGAGTGGAAGATTTGTAATGTAATTTGTACTGAAAATCTTCCATCAAACTTGCACTTCAAAAAAGTTTTCAAAGGTCATTTTAAGACATTTTAAAAGTGGAAGTTGGGGTGGAAGATTTTCGGTGCAAACTACATTACAAATCTTCCACTCAGCTTTCACTTCCGAAACTAAGTTTGAACTGGCCGTTTTTCGTGCTGGAAAGGAAATTATTGCCAATTTTTAGTTTGTAAAGAAAGTTTTGACCATTTTTTGTCTTGTAAACAAAGTTTTCGCCCACTTACATCCACACTACATGCAAAATGATACTTTATGTACCACCACTTCTGATCTGGGTACTTTTTCATACTTTCGTTCTTACATAATGGAAAGTAATTGTCGATGTAATCAATCATGCCTTGGTTAAACTGCACCAGCTCTGGCACACTCATATTTAGAGCTCTATCTCTTTTTTGGTACATTTTATCGACAAAATTAATGTAATTTGGGTCATTCCAACTCAAAAGTGTACCATTTTGTACCATTTTTGTATTTGGTATACGTTGGTAGATATAGAATTGAGAAGAGAGTAAAGTTGAGTATAGTGCCAGTAGTACTAGTAGTAGTCTTGACCATGACGTTATGTGCTGATTGAGTTTGCCAAAGCAAGATTCAATCGAATTTCCAATTTGAATTGATGACATTATTATAAATAGGCCTTCTGAAACGATGAATACCGGGTAAAGGGTGGGGATTAGGCTTGAATTGTCTTTTTAGGTTTAGAAATGTTTTTTTAGGTATTAAATGTCATCTTAGACCAGAAAACTCGTTAAGTTTTAAAAATGCCATTTTAGACAGTCGGCTTAAGAGTGTCATTTTTGGGTTAAAAGATACATTTTTTAAAATTTTAAAAAATAAAAAATCTCATTTACACTTATATCACTTTAGGCTCATAAACGTCATTTTACGCCTAAAAGTTTCATTTTAAAATTAAAAGTGTCATTTAGGCTTACATATGTCAATTTAGGCTTAAAAATGATTAATTGTCATGTTAGGCTTAATAATGTCCTTTTAAACTTAATAATTTCATTTTAGGCTTAAAAGTTTTATTTTAAGCTTAAAAGTGTCAGTATAAGCTTAAAGGGTTATTTTAGGTAACTGTCATTTTTGGCTTACAAGTGCTATTTTAAGCTTAATAATGTCATTTAAGGCTTAAAAGGGTCATTTTAAGTTTTAGACTTAAAAGTGTCGATCTAGGCTAAACTATGTCATTTTTATCTAAAAAAGACGTTTTAGGCTTAAAAACAATCTTTAAAAACATACGAACTAGAGTAAAACCACCATCGTTTTTATCAATATTATACTCTAAAATCTTGATGATAGGCCAATGAGCCAAGTACACCGAATAGGAAATGTCACCAATCCAAACAACACACGAATTCGAACAAACACTATCACCAGCATCGTAGATGACAATGGCTGTTACCAAAGTAGCCAAAACTCGTAATACCACAGCATCAATGTAATCTGGCATGAGTAGTATTGGTAGTAGTACAAACAGGGTTATGGCCGACTTAGTGTAATAGGTATTAAAGGCTGGTTGGGTTTGCTTTCCGTCCAGTGATACATAAGCATTGTCATTCTGCATCGCTCTAGCCATGCCCACAGCAAAACCAAAGAAGAATTGCCAGATTCTGGCTGGCAGGCTCATGTGGGAGATGTTTCGTTCTGAATAAAGAAGTTGTACTAGACCTTTACCCTACCCTACCATAACTTGGGAAATTATACTGAGTTTCACTTTATCCTAGCTATACCTGAGTTCTGCTTAGTTTTCCTTTAGCCTAGTTTGGCTTTGTCTTAGGCTAACTAACGCATTTTTCCGTACCCTACATTGACTTTGCCTTACCGTGCCCTACCATTTTTTACAGTTTTCTGCCCTGTCCTCCCTGGGTTTCGCCTTAAATGTCATTTTAAACTTACGAAAGTTATTTTAGACTTAATAATCCCACTTTAGGCTAAAAATGTTATTTTAGGCTTAAAAGATCATTTTAAGCTTAAACTATCATTTTAGGTTTGAAGGTGCCATTTTAAGATTAATAATGTTACTTTAGTCTTAAGAGAGCATTTTAGGTCTAAAGATGTTATTTTAGGCTTAAAAGATCAATTTAGGTATAAAAGTGTCATTTTAGGCTTAAATATGTCACGTATAACTTTCACAACCTTACCCTTCTCTACAACTTCTTTTACCTACTCTATCCTATTCTTTTCTACAGTACCACTTATACCTAACTTAATTTTTGTTTAGCCCTACTCTAAGGTTTTCTACCCTACCCCAACCTAACCTACGCATCCTTATCCTACCTTCTTTTGCCCTGACCCTACTAAAGCTTCTTAGTTTTAGGCTTTCATATGTCAATGTAAGCTTAAAAATGTAATTTTTGGCTTAAAAATATCATTTTAGGCTTAAGAATGTCATTTTAAACTTAAAAATGTTACATTAGGATTAACAATGTCATTTCAGGCTTAAAGGTGTGAGTTCTAACTTTTTCTAATCTAACTACATCTACATTTCGCAGACCATAAATTGTAATTGTATAGCGTAGAAAATATGTTAATAAACCTTTAAACCTTTAAACAAACCCTACCCTACAATGACTTTGCCTTACCCTACCCTATTCTTTCCTACAGTTCCCCCGACCTGCCCTAACTTGGTTTTACCTTCGCCCTACTAACCTTTTCTACTTTTCCCTACCCAACCCTGCCCTAACTTGGCTTTTTCCTAACCCTACTAACTTTTTCTATTATACTCTACTCTACTCACCGTACCGTTCCTTGACTTTGTTTTATCCCTACTAACGTTATAACTAAAACCTACCATAAGTATAATACCACTGAAACGCAAATGAAGTCACAGCAACCACCAGCCAGAACAATATTCCATTAAACTTATTCTTATCACTCAAACAACTCAGAGTGCCAAACAGAATGGGACAGATCAGGTAGAACTGGAACTCTACTGACAATGACCATGTATGCAAGAACAATGTGAACTCATTGTTGATCTTGAAGTAGCCATTTTCAGGTAGATTCAACATATTCGAAGTTAAAGTTGCTGCAGTCAATGACTCCTTGACCAGATAGCCATACTCTCTTGATGTGAACACAATAAAACCAATAGTTAGTGACATAATAATAACAAATAGATACGTTGGTATGATTCTCTTGATACGACGATAGTAAAAGTCAGTAATAGTAACTGTGTTTAAAGGTTTTGCTGATAGTATAGTGTACATTAAGTAGCCTGATAGCACAAAAAACCTAAAAGTTTGTTATTTTTAGGCTGTACTAGAGCTACGAAATAGCAAAAATGTACTAAAAAAAGAAAAATTTTCATTAAGTAGCTAAAAAATTGGTTTTAAAAAGTGAAATTTAAGTGGAAGATTTGTAATGTATTTTGCACTGAAAATCTTCCACTTAACTTTCATTTTTAAAAAGTGTTAAAATAGCCTAAAAATGGCTTTTTTGACGCTTTTTAGAAGTGGAAATTCGATGGAAAATTTTTAGTACATTTTGCACTGAAAATCTTTCACCGAATAGATATCTAAAATGCCTTACAACTGCAAAAAATGTCATAAACCTTACATATCTACACCCAGGTAGCCATTCGGGAACCGTTTTGGCCATATATGGAACAGCAGTACCGCTACTATGGCTATACATCGTAACCCTTGAAGATCGAGCCGTTTTGGCGCATGTGTTACTGCTGTCATGGCTCAACGAAAAGGTTTAAAACTTATGTAACCAAATTTGAAACATTTTTGAAATAAAAGTAAAAAGCAAGTGTGTTACGGCTGCGCTCTGCGGGAGATAAACTTTAGTCAAACCCCGCTACGCTTTAAAAAGGCAAGAGCGCAGCCTAATATCAATTCACAAGGAAGGTGCCCGACCTGCCCCGCTCTGATTGACTTTAAACTTTTTAGATAGAAAGATCATGTAAATATAACATCTTCAGCAAAGTACTAAATCGCGCTTTCCAGGAAATCTCGAGAAAATCGAGTTTAAAAAATGTCATTTTGAGTTTCCCGCCAACTTGGCTTTGTGTTTCAAGCTTGTAACTTTGTCGTTTTTTGACTTTTAATTATTTTCCTTAGATATACTAGTAGGAAACCTTTAGATAAACCTACATTTTAAAATTTGTAAGCGCATCTTGTCTGGAAAAAAAGTGCTTAAAACACAATGCCAAATTTGCCAAATTGGCGGGAAACCCAAATAATTTAAATTTAAAACTCAAGAGCGCGAGCTAAAATTTTTTGTGGGTACTATTGGTGGTACAAAGAATTCCTTTAAAAATTTTGAGCTGATTCTGAACGGGGCAGGTAGGGTACTTTCCTTGTCAGTTCGCTGTTTATGGAAAGAAGGTCAGTCAGGGACGTCGCTACGGATTTTCTCTGGGAGAGGGGGGAGGTCGAAAAAAAATTTTTCGTCCCCAGGTAGGGACCTGTGGACCGATTTTTCAAAAAATTTTTTTTTCGTTTTTTTGCGTACAGTTACCTACCTGTGCAATTTTTTTTCGGATCAGCTCTGGGGGGGAGGGGGTACCCCCCCCTCCCCCCCCCCTCCCCCAAACGACGTCCCTGGGGTCAGTCGCTGTCCCCTCAGTCTTCCTAAAGACTCAAATAAACATGAAAACGAAAGATGTTGGCTATTACAGTACAGTAAACGAGCTCCTGTTAAAGGACTCTGGTCGCTAGGACCGCAACACCAAACCAGTAGGATTTACTAATAAATCCTTCTTTAACAAGTGTTGCAGATAGGTTGAAACAAGCTTGGAATGCCTTTGCTAATCCTTTATCCTTTTTGACAAAACATTTTGTGGTTAGAAAGCAATAGACCTGATCAGCAAGGACGAGCGGGGGCTTTTGGTCTGGGAACGGAGGTCGAAAAAATCAGCACAGCTAGTGCCAAATTTAAAAAAAAAATTTTAAAAAAATTTTTAAAAAAATTTTAAAAAATTTTAAAAAAAAATTTTTTTTTGCGATTGGACCGGACCCAAAAAATTTTAAGTATGGATCGGACCGGACCCGAAAATCGCCGGACCGGGCAAAACACTGCCTGTGCCGATTTTTTTGGACCTCTGCCCCCAGACCAAATGTCCCCGCCCGGCCCTGACCAGACCGACGAAAAAAACTGGCTTGAGCTCAGCCCGCTTTGAGATGCTTGAGTGGGCACTAATTCGGACCGGGCCACAAAAATCCAGGCTTGAAAGCTAGGTTTAAGCGTTAATCAAACCGGTCCAAATTTTTTCTATTTGACCAGGAAAAAATGACGGGCGGATTCTATTAATAATTTTTTCCCCAACGCTTTTAGATGATACTGCACAGTAGTATAGCTACTACAGGGTCTTTTGCATGTTCTCGTTTGGGTTTTTAATTGGCTTCCTGCACCGCTGACTTCAGAATCTCAACTTCATGTTCCGCCAGCTGACCAGAGACCACACAAAGGTAAAGTCACCACTTTTGAACTTCTCTACGCGTTGTAAGGTCCGCTCCCTAGAGGTATCAGTGCCAAATGCCATGTGAATACTTAGGGTTGCCGCCAGGGCCGGGCGCTGGGAGGGGGGGGCGCTGGGAGGGGGGGGCGCTAGGAGGGGGAGACGAGGGAGGGGGGGGAACAAAAAAATTTTGAAAAAAGTTGAATGTGGTCCCCCCCCCCTGTGGATTCTTGGAAAAAAAGTTTTCAATCCTCGCCCCAGACGAAAAGTCCCCGCCCGGCACTGGTTGCCGCGGTTGCATTGCAGTCAATTTTGTATTTCTAAACTGTGTTCAAAGCTATGCTTAAAGAAAGCGCTAAAGCAAGGGTTCTGAGCCTGAGCACCGTAGGGTAGAATCCGGCTTATAAAGCATGTTTCAAACTCTAGTATTGACTGTAAGCTTGTTTTTTCTTTTCTTTTTATTTGTTTTACTGTGGTGACGTCAAAATAGCATACGATTCAAAATTACATTGCAATTTCAAAATAACTTTTGAAGCAAAAAGCTTCAAAAAAAAAATTATGAAAAAATCGAGAGGATTATTGTTATTTCTCGCACAATATCCTTGTTTTTGTTTGAATTAATGCCGATACGGATCTGTAAGATAAAATACTAAGATTCGCTTTGTTTTTACTGAGGAAGTAATCCAATAACTTGAGCAAATTATTTGTTTTGGAACTGTTTGAAACTAGCTAATCCTCAAATCTTGTTTTTAGCCTAAGAGTGATATTTCTAGATTAAAAGTGCTATTTCTAGCCTAACGGTGCTAATTTTAACTTAAAAGTACCATCTCTAGCTTACAATTGCTATTTATTGCCTGAGGAGGCTATATTTATATAAGAGTGTTACTTCTAGTCTAACAGTACCACTTCTAGCTTGGAGTTGCCATTTCTAGCATATGTGTACCATTTTTACCTAAAAAAGTACCATTTTTTTAATCTAAAAGTGTCATTTCTAGCCTGAGGATAAAATTTTTACCGAACACTACCATTTCTAGCATAAAAGTACTATTTGTTGCCTAAGGGTACCAGTTCTACTCTAACAGTACCATTTCTGGCTTAAAGGTGCTATTTCTAGCCTACAACTACCACTTCTACCTTAAAACTGACATTTTTAGCCCAAGGGTACCAATTCTAACCTAACAGTACCATTTCTAGTTCAAAGGTGCCACTTCAAACCTAAAGGTACCATTTCTAGCCCAGAGAGTACCACTCCTACCCTAAGGGTGCCATTTCTAACCTACAAGTACCATTCCTAGCCTAAGGCAACAAAATTTGAAAAATTATTTTTCGAAATTTCTATTGTCTTAGATTTATGTTACAGTACAACCAGCTTACTCCGGTTAATTTACAGAGTAAAAAACGCCTTGATATACAAGGTCTAAGGTTCATTGCTATTGTGGCTGTACTCTGGTTTCACATTTGGCCAGATATCTTCCCTAATGGCTTCTTGGGGGTGGATATGTAAGTTTTTGTGTTGTTTTTGGTTGTAAAGAAAGTTCTTGCCATTTTTTGTTTTGTAAAGAAAGTTCTTGCCATTTTTTCTTTTGTAAAGAAAGTTCTTGCCATTTTTTGTTCTGTAAAGAAAGTTTTTTGCCATTTTCTGATTTGTAAAGAAAGTTTTTGCCATTTTTGTTTTGGAAAGAAAGTTCTTGTCATTTTTTGATTTGTAAAGAAAGTTATTGTTATTTTTTGACTTTGTTTTTATGGTTTTTAAAGTCGAAGATTAGTGGAAGATTTGTAATGTATTTTGCACTAAAAATCTTTCACTCAACTTCCATTTTTAAAATTTCTTGAAACGTCCTAAAAATGACTTTTAGACACTTTTTAGAAGTGGAAGTTCCGTGGAAGATTTTCAGTGCAAAATACATTACAAAGCTTCCACTCAACTTCCACTTTTTAAAAAGCACATTTTTGTTATAAAATGACATTTTCTTATAACAAAATGAAACTTTTTGTTCAAGGTCATCAAATTGTTTGCTCATTCCAGGTTCTTTGTCCTCTCAGGTTACCTAATGTACACGATATTATCCTCCAAGCCCTTGAATACCCACTCAGTAAGCGATTTTTACTATCGTCGTATCAAGCGAATACTGCCAACTTACTTCTCATTGGTACTATCAAGTTTGCTGATAGGATTCTACACGTTTCATCCATCGGAATATCCAAATTTACACCGGGAGTCGCTGCCGGCTGTCACTTTGACTTCGAATATCTTCAATTTGCCTGAGCTCGGCTACTTTGCCAACAACAACCTCTACAACCTGTTCTTGCATACCTGGTCGTTATCGGTGGAATTTCAGTTTTATTTACTGTGCCCTTGGCTATTTTACTGTTTTACTGCGTTTGGTCATACTGTAATGGTAATGGTATGGACGAGTATTACTGTAGCTTCGTTTGTTTTTCAGTGGATGCATACTTTTGGTAGGTTGCACTACCCTACCCTACCCTACCCTACCGTATCATCTCGTACCCTACAAACATGTTTAATCGTATAAAATGTCCCCTTTACAGACACAAACGTATCCCATATGAACACTAGTGCTCGGCTATGGCAATTTCTAGCCGGATTTGCTGTAGCAATCATCAAACAGTACCTCCACTACATTGACAGTACCAACAATACCATCAGTACCAAGCCCAACATAATTGCTATTTTCAATAACATGTTGACGAAACTATCTGCTACAGTATACAACACAAAGACATTGATAACAACGTGTCTACTAATACCATTATTATTCATAAACCATGGCATTGACATTGTAAAACTAAGGCTATGGGTTACGGTAATTACGGCCGCTTTAATAGTGCATGACAAGCCTACAGTATTCTCGCATTACTATTGTGTTTACATTGGCGACATATCGTACTCGGCGTATTTACTGCATTGGCCGATTATAAAGTTGATCGATTATAGTCAAGGGAGTCATGCTAGATCAGTGTTGTGTAAGGCTATTTTTTTCCAATTTTTTAGTATTCACAAGGAAAGTATCCGACCTGCCCCGCCCTGATTGACTTGAAACTCTTTATATAGGAAGATCATGTAAATATAAGATCTTTAGCAAAGTACTAAATCGCGCTTTCACCTTGTCTGAAAAGCGGAAAAAAGTGCTTGATACACAAGGCCAAATTTGCCAAATTGGCAGGAAACTCAAATAATTTAAATTCAAAACTCAAAAGTGCGAACTAAATTTTTTATGGGTACTATTGGTGATACAAAGAATTCATATAAATATTTTGAGCTGATTCTGAGCGGGGCAGGTAGGTTACCCTCCTTGTCAATTTAAAAAAAATCAATAATTTTTGTGACATTTCGCTAAAATATTAAAAAATCAATAACTGTTAAGACACTTCGTTACAAATCTCACAATCAGTATTTTTGTGACATTTCGCAACTTTTCATAAAATCCAATAATTTTTGTGACATTCCGCCACAATATTAAAAAAACAGTAAATTTTGCGACAATTCGTTCCGAATTTCGAGAAACCACATTTCTGTGACATTTTTCAACTATTCTACGTATCCATTACTTTTTGTGACATATCGCAACACTTCTTAAAAATCGATCATTTTTGTGACATTTTGCTATATTTTAAATAATCAATACTTTTTTTGGCATATCGCAACAATTCTTAAAAATCCAATAATTTTTGTGACATTCTGCAACATTTGTCAAATTTAGCATTATTGCCAAAATATCCCAAGATTTATGATAAATCAATATTTCATGTGACATTTTGCAACTTTTTACGTTTTTCAGGCGGTGCAGTAATCCTTCTCTTATCAGTACAACTTGGCGATTGGGTGGAGAAAGCTTTTATCAAAATCGGCCGAAAAGTGACAACTTGGCTACAGCTACTTTCAATAATCGTTCCTATCTTCATCTCCGTTCTTTTATTACGTTATTTCATTGTGAGACAACTTGATGACACTTTGGTACCTAATGACCTGGCTTCGAATATAAAGCACTTTGATTCACAAGATCCTTCTTTTATCAGTTTGGCCGAACATATTTATCACCGGAGGGCCGAAAACTTGAGTTTGACAACAAAGGAGCTGGTGTACTTGAATCAGGCCATGGCTGTTTATAATGACTGGTACTATACTTGTTTTAGTAAAGTTGAGACTATCAAACAGTATGGTGATAGCTACTGGACTGACAATTTTCAATTTGCTTCTAGGTTTGAGGTAAGCTATCCTACCCTGCTTTACCCTACCATACCCTACCCCGCCCTGTCCTGCAGTATCGTACCCTAAAGCCTTCAACCTAACGTAATGTTTTGTACTTTCAGGGCAAAGGCGAATATGAAGTAGTAGTGATAGGCAATAGTGTCGCCAGAGCCATCGTTACTGGCTTGAGGCAGTTATGGAATCACAAATATAAAGTGTTAACCATAGCTGGAAAGTCTGCCGAAGTGCCATTTAAACCATTAGATTTGGATATACTGCAAGAAAACAAATATCTAAAGTTCTTGCAGACCTTTAACAGAACTATCGACATTGTCATGGTTCAGCATACGTAAGAGTTTAATCCTAAACAAGTGTTCTATTACCTAAAAATCGAAAATGAGCTTTATCTCTGTCCATTCAAGTATAAAAGTACAAAAACATTTTTTTCATTTTAGCTACTTCAACATCCCAGACCTATTCGGAGAGTCGTATGTGTCAGAAAACATGACCCAAGATATATATGACTTTTACCGTGAACTTGAAAAAATACCCACTAAAGCAGTTATGATCGGCTTACCAGAAGTAATATCAGAAGCTAACCTACAATATTCATTGAGCGTCCTTCAGAGGAGTCAAAGTTATGACAAAGTTAGCATTGATTGGAAAGTAAGTGCTTTACCGTATCGTACCTTATTCTAATTAACCCTACCTTACCCTACCAAAAAATTTAAAAATACCCATCCCTACCCAACTCTAACCTTAAAGAATACCCGTCTTAAATATTCTGCTTTAAAAAAGCCGTACCATGCCCTACCCACCCTACCCTATACACAACCTTAGCTTACCCTACATTTTCAGAAAAACATAAAAGACCGTGCAGAAGTTCGTAGAATTTTGACAAACTTAAAGTGTGACAAGTGCATTCTAGTCGATTATACAAGGTCGATATGTTCCGCAGTAACGGACAAATGCTATGGTATATTACCGAACGGTTTGGTGGTGTTCAAAGACGACGTGCATACGAACATGGTCACTAATTTTATGTTTGCACGGGAATTTATTTACGCATTTGAGAGCAAATTTGTATAAAATATTATAAAAAAATAAAAATTTCTACTATGATTATCAGCAAAGAACTGTAAAGTAAAAAAAATATTAAAAATGTTCAAAGGTTAAGCATATATTCATAAAACCTTTATTTTTTATATTGATCAATAAAAAACATAAAAAGTTTAATTAATATAATACCATAGGCAGTGTAAAAAAGATTCATATTGCAATTGATAAGAGATCACCGTTGATTATGCCCAAATTCCTTCGTCTTCACCTCCATCTGCCTAAAAATCCAAACGTAAATATAGGTCTACTGTAATATCTTAAATGTTGTTTTTTACTAAATAGTATGTAGCATTAACATCTAATACCTTTTATTACAAACGCAAGGTTGAACAGCCGGGCAGTTAGCCTAATATTGAAAGCAGTAAAATTTATATTATTTAAAAAGCAGTAACACTACTACTAAAAAGCAGTAATACTACTGCAAAAAGTAAAAAAATCTTACTCTGTTGCCGTATGTAAACGAAGCAGGGGCTGACGGTACAGTGCCGTATTGTGGAATTGTTACATTCACTGGTGCTGCTACTCCACCAGCAGTTACTCCTGTAATTAAATTGCATGTTGTTATTGTTCAAAAAATCTTTTTGTTAACCCATTTATATAATACGTATTTTACCTTTGTTACTAACTGGAACATTTAACTTTTTTGCCCCATTGATGATTTTGCAACTTTTTAAACAACTGTTAATTTTCAAAACCTTCAAACCCACCTGCAACAGGTCTAGCAGCTGCAGCAGCTCCCAGTGCAGCTCGGCCAAGTGTAGCTGTTCCTTGAGCAGCCGTACCACCTCCACTAGAAGCTACATAGTTTGCATATTGTTGTTGTTGATAATGTTGAACTCGAGATGCTGCTGAAGTTCCATTAACCATAGTTGAAGTGGGTTGAGAGGTTGCTGTACCTAACGGCATGCCAGTACTAGAAATCGGAAGGCCTGAGGCTCCCATAGATAAACCAGATGCTCCTAGAGGTAGTCCAGCTCCTCCCATAGTTATTCCGGCACTAGTACCGTAGTTAGTTCCTGTGCCAGTTATACCACTGGCTCCCATCGTTAATCCCGCGCCAGATCCAGCTAATACTCCGCCAGCTCCAGTCAAGCCAGCGCCGCCCATACCTAACCCAGCGCCACTACCAGCCATTCCTGTTCCCATAGCCATACCAGCTGTTCCTAGCGGTTTAGTGTGGACATTAGGTATAAAACTGGTTGTGGAGGGTTCAGTCGTTTGTTGAGCTGCCATCCAAACATTAGCCAGGTAAGGACCGGTTTCTGACGTGCTGTATTGTTCATTATTTTGGGTTAAAAGTCGATGGCGCAGCTGTTCTTTTTGGCGCGCTAATATTTCAACTTTTTCTTTTATTGGCTCTGGAGGACCTTGTAGAAGTTGGATGCATGCTTCTTTTTCTCGGATTGCCGCCATTGTTACTTCTTTTCTAAAATTTATGCTATTTTAAAAAGGTTTTTCTAGGTACTGTTTATTCGTGTCGCGGTTGTTTATAGGCTTAAACTTTATTTTATTTTAGTGCTCTAATGTTTTCAATTTTAGGTTTGTTAGTTTATCACTACAGTTAGTTCCGAATACATACAAACAATTTTATGTTCTACGTCTTTGTTTTCAGTGAATCAGGCAAGTTTGGTCTGAATGCTATTATTATTATCACTGCTTTTGGATTGATTGGCTCACGGAAATTCAAACTCAAGCAACGTACAACGCAAAGTTCAACTGTACTATCATAGCTACAAATAGTTTCTTCTCAAAAACAGATCTATCTAGCATATGCAAGTAATGGTACTTAAAAATACAAAATAAAAAAAATTTAAGACCGTCTCAATGTCATTACCAACAATGTTTTCCCAACCCACCTCAAGTTAACCAACTGCCGTTGGTACCGTTGTCGTTCATCCTCCCATGCTTTAACGTCAGCATCTGTTTTAGTACCTTTAAGTCGTCTAGTTGGATCTTTGTAGAGTTCATTCAGTTGACCAGTTAACTGTTGGATTAAATTCTTTTGTTCTGTCAACTGTTTATCTTTTTCTGCTGTAATTCCAACAGATTCTCTTAATGCTTCTTCTAGTTCTTCAATGCGAATTTTCAGCGTTCCTTCACCTTTGCGACCGGTTGCGTTATAGTCGACCGTGCTTGAGGTATGGGTATAAGTGTCGGAGGATCTGTAATGAATAATGTTGTCATTTTTCTTTTGTAATGCAAGTTTTGGCTATCACTAGTTTTTGTTGTAAAATACGTCTTTCGTATTGGCTTTTTTTAAGACGGTATAAAAATGTTTTGCCTTTTTTTGGCTTTGTAAAGAAAGCTCACACTAATGTCTTTTATAAAATGACAAACTAACTTATTAGTAGCCAGTTTGTTTAACAAGTTTTGCTTCTCCTTCTCCAAGCTCTGGACCGTCCTTAACAAATGATCCACCTCTTTCCTAGCTTCATCCAAATCTGTCAGTGTATTATCTGACGTCCCATGCACTTTCTTATCATTGATATTAGCGTAGATGTCAAGCTTTTTGTCAATAACTTTGCCATTCGCATCTAACTGACTAATTTTCTCATTTTGCGATGCCAACAAGATTTGGCGATCCGCCAGGTCTTTCTGAAGATACTCAATTGTGGAACGGAGTTGGCGGGTTTCTTCTTGAAACACTTGCAGCTAAACGGGTTTACAATGAAAAAACATGGTGCGACAAGTGGGAAATGTTTATGACGAATACGTTGTACATGTTAGAGTGTGCAAAATTTAAAAAAATTTTTTAAAACTTTGTTTGATATAAACAAAAACTAAAGGTACGGCTCAGGCTAGATCTTAAACTAGGGCTTAGGATAGGGCCAACGCTAGGGCTAGGCTGGTGCCAGGACTAGGTACGGCTTAAAAATTTATAATGGAATCCTTGTCCCAAGCAAAAACCGAATTCCCTTTGTTTGTCATGTCTTTTTGATGCCAAAACTGTCGTCTACATAAATTTTTCATAATCTTCAATATATAAAAAAAGCAAAAGCACTTTTTTCCTTTTTTTCATTCCAAAAATGATGTTTGTCATAACAAGCTTTTAATAATTCGAACAACAAATTACTTTTTAATTATGTTTACAACTTTAACGCTTATTTTTAGGCCAATTAATTTTAAAGAGAGGGGGGGGGGATGGGGTAAATAGAGATTTAAAAAAAAACTTCTTAAAAATGTTTTTTTTTAAATTTTAATTGTTTTTGCTTCGTAAAGAAAGTTCTTGCCATTTATTTCTTTGTAAAGAAAATTCTTGCCATTTTTTGTTTTGTAAAGAAAGTTCTTGCCATTTTTTGTTTTGTAAAGAAAGTTCTTGCCATTTTTTGATTTGCAAAGAAAGTTCTTGCCATCTTTTTTGAAGCTCTATCTATTGTGATACCTATTATAATATCGTGTAATCTATTATACATACTATATATTGTTACTGTACCGTGCTGTATAATCTATTCTACAGTGTACTATATAGTACGGGTGCTGTCTTGTACGATATAGTACTGGTGCTGTCCTATGCTATATATTACACGTGCTGACCACTAATAGTATGAACTAAAGAATGACAGCACTTACATCAAACCTGCCAGTCCGGGTGCTATTAACTTGCAAGCCTAGGCCCATCTTTATGTTATGTATAAGGCACGATAACATACCTGTTGTTGTTTGTCCTTCTCAGCGTCCAATCTCATGTTGTCTATCTGTTCTTGCAGCTTCCTCTTGTCCAACTCCAAGTTGTGAATCTGTTGTCGCAGTTCGGCTTCAATCCGGGTCGATGGTTGTTGGTGTAGACGTTGTTTGAGACGCTCGATCTCACCTTCACGTTCACGAAGCAGAGTGTCGAGTTGGTCTACACGAAGTTGTTGAGCGTCTATTCGGGTTTTGTGTTCCTGAAAAGCATAATAATTATAATGGTCAGAAAATGAAAGTTTGTCCAAAAGAGCATTTTTGGTCTTAAAATGAAACTCAAACTCTACTTTAAGGTACTAAGCCATGAAAAGGATTTTTGACCATTTTTGAAAAATGAAGATTGAGTGGAAGATTTTCAGTGCAAAATACGTTACAAATCTTCCACCCAACTTCCACTTCCAAAAAGTGTCAAAAAGTCATTTTTGAGCTATTCTAAGACTTTTTAAAAGTGGAAGTTGAGTGGAAGATTTGCAATGCAAAATACACTAAAAATCTTCCACCAAACCTCCACTTCTAAAAAGTGTCAAAAACGTGTTTTTAAGCCATTTCAAGACATTTTAAAAATGGAAGTTGAGTGGAAGATTTTTAGTGTAAAATACATTACAAATCTTCCACTCAACTTCCATTTTTATGGTCCCGAGAGCCGAGGCCCAAAGCAAGGTCCGACTCCCGGGCAAGGCTGAAAAAAATACGTCTGACCCCTTGACAGGTCTAATTCCATACTAATATTAACCTTCCCACAGTTACATGAAAAGTTAGCTGGCCTCTACAACCCCTCCCTAACTTACATGCAACGTCGGCTGGCTTCTACAACCCCTCCCCACACTTACATGCAACGTCTGCTTGCCCTCCTGAAGCTGTTGCCTCAGGTTGTCCACGTCCTTCTCCAACAGCCGAATCGCGTTCTCCTTGCTTTCGATTAGCTGATTACGAGTTTCGAGCTTCTGCCGCATCCTGTTAACATCGTCCTGCAGCAGCTTCACTTGGGCGTCGTTATTCACATTGGAACGGCCGATTATGTCCAACCGCTTCTCCAGCTCTTTATTCTGTTCCTCCATTCCCTTTAATCTGCAAGAGATTGGATTAGGGAAGGCGAATTAATAAAATTACGTGGCTTTTGCCGCGGAGAGATTTATGGTAATGATAACTAAAGTCTAATAACAATTTTTCACACTTTTTAAAAGTGGAAGTTTCGTGGAAGATTTGTAATATATTTTGCACTAAAAATCTTCCACATAACTTCCATTTTAAAAATGTCTTAAAATATCCTAAAAATACGTTTTTGAGACTTTTTGGAAGTGGAAGTTGAGTGGAAGAATTTTAGTGTATTTTGCACTGAAAATCTTCCACGCTACTTCCACTTTTTAAAAAGTGCCAAAATGGCTCTTATGGTATTGTAAAGTAAAATGACATATGGTAAACGCATTTTTAGCCTATATATTGTAATTTAAGCCTAATTTTAAAAAATTTTAAGTTTTTAAAATTTTCAAAATTTTGAAATTTAAAAAAATTTCAAAAAACCCACCTAACTTCATTATTCTGAAGTTCTCGCTGCTTCTCAGCTAATGCCATTTCCGACTTTTCCAGTTTCATGATCATAGTATGATACTCGTTCGTACTCATCGACTTGTCAGTATAATCCTTGGGCGGTGAGATGATATTCCCCGGGTTATATTGTTGTTGTCTTTCTTTAATCAACTGTTTTCTGAGTTGACGTAGCTCATCCTCCATGTCCAGCATGTCATTATCGGCCATGAGTTCGGTTATGTCCTTCTCTCGACGGTCCAACTCTTGGCGGATTTGTTGGATTTCGGTCTGAAGCGGTCGCTAAAACCGGTTAAAATCGATGGAACGGTACGGCAAAGCAACAGCAAAATGTTAGAGAATATCACATTGAGGATTATGAAGGTTAGAAATGGCAAAAAAGGCCTTAAAAACTTAAGAAAAGTGGCTAAAAAGCCTAAAAAATTGCCAAAAGACCATTTTTCAACCATAGGAAGATAGGGTAGATCGGTACTACTAAGGTCATCTGAATACTACAAGTACCAAAAAGAATATATGGACTGTTGCATCAATACCCAACATAATATATCTTCCCAAGAGTAAAGAAAGTTCTTGCCATTGTTTGTTTTGTAAAGAAAGTTCTTGCCATTTTTTGTATAAAAGGACAAAAATATATGGGCCGTTCCCGGAAGTAGGTGCAAGACCGGGCCGACCCTTGCCGAGCGGAAGGCAAGCCTTCGCAACTCAGCTGGTCCCAAAAATCTGTTAATCTCGAATGACTTCAATAGAAGTCGTACCGGAGATTAAACCGATAAGAACAGATACTACACTTTGATCTTAGCCAAAAGGCCGAGAAGCGATACTCCAAATGGCAAGGCAAAGGGTTAGGTTAGCGTTGGCACTTGTTTTTCGACTGGGTTTGAGGGTGAGGCAAGAGAGAAGAGAGCGGGTAGAGAGGGAGAGGGAAGGGAGCGAAAGGGCTCGCTTTTCGTCGATGAAAAAGGGTTTCAAAGCAAAAAATGGCAAGAACTTTCTTTACAAAACAAACAATGGCAAGAACTTTCTTTACAAAACAAAACATGGCAAGAACTTTCTTTACAAAACAAAAAATGGCAATAACTTTCTTTACAAATCAATAAATGGCAAGAACTTTCTTTACAAAACAAAACATGGCAAGAACTTTCTTTACAAAACAAAACATGGCAAGAACTTTCTTTACAAAACAAAAAATGGCAAGAACTTTCTTTACAAATCAATAAATGGCAAGAACTTTCTTTACAAACCCAAAAAACCGCAAAAACTGCAACAAACCGGCCAAAAAACCAAGACAAAAGCGACCAACCATCATGACAACACTTACCGCCTGTTGCATTACTTTGTCTTGGAAGCGTTGCAGTCGATGTGAGTCGTCCTTCCGTCCCTGCCGTTCTCGCTTCAGCTCGGGCGACCAGAAGGTCTTGATCGAGTTCATCATGTAGTTCAACTTCTCGTTTAAAGCCGCATTCTCACGCTTCAACAGGTCCGATTCACCACTGCCATAGCCTGCGGGGAGGTGTTGTTGTGCCACTTTGGGTGTGTAAAGCTGAGATGTCATTTCTGGGCTGAAATGGCAGAGGAATATTAGTTTATGTTAATGTAGGTATGGGTCTGAATATTAGTTTATATTAATGTAATAGGTGCCGACAGAAAGAACCCGCCAGTTTTTACAGGAAATTACAAACAAAATATGGCGGGTTCTTTATGTCGGCACCGGTGTAGCTCACAATTGTCAAATTAATGAGGCTACATTAACATAATTTTTGAAGTTGAAAAGAGTTTTTTTGGGCGGAATGTAACTTTTTTACACATTTGTAAAAATTCTTTATGATTATGATCAAAAAATGCATTTTTTAAAGAAAAAACATTAAGCAAGGGCGCAGCTCACAAAAAGAACGAGAAATGTAAAATACGATATATAATAGCCTTCGTTTAAATACAATTGCATTAAAATTAAAAAAATGTTAGTTTTTTAAAAATAGCTATATTACGCCTTAAAATGGCCTACTTTTATCAAAAGTGACATGTTATACGATCAATAGTGTCCAAATGAAAGTTTTTTTATAAAAATTTAAGATTACTATGATATAAAAATGCCATAACAAAGCTGAAAAATAATTTTTAGTACTAGTAGTACTATATTTCTATCAAAAAAAAATTTTTTTTTAATTTTAAAATTTAACAAATTTTTTGAAATTTATGGTAATTTCGTTATAAACAGACCGTGAAACACGTAAAAAAAAGTATTTTTGGTACTTCTAGTACTATATTTCTATTAAAAAAACTTTTCAAAATTAAAAAATTTAAAAAATATTTTGAAATTTTTAAAACTGAGGCTTATTACGTCATAAACAGGCCATAACAAGTCATGAAAACCATTTTATAGTACTTTTAGTACCATGCCTCATTCCAAAATCTAATTTTTTCAAAATTTTAAAATTATTTTCTTTGAAATTTTTAAAATTTTCAGAAGATTTTCAAAAATTTTCAAAATTTTTCAAAATCCAACTTACTATCCACTAGTATAATCCACACCTCCCATATTAGCTCCATAATTTTGTTGTAACACTCCTTGTCTAGAGTATTGATCATAAGCATAAGGATCAGCTGGTGGTACCCCATAAGAAGGGGGTGGTGGAGGTGGGGCTTGGCTGTCAAGTTCGCGAAGGAATTGAGAGCCGTCCAGAGATCTGTGCTTGCTAAATAATACCTTCGTTAAGTGGGGTAAGCAAGCTGAAGGGATAGAGATGGGCTGACGGAAAGCGGAAACGTATTATTGGCCTAGTTACTATTAGCCTAAGCCTATTATTAGCCCAATTTTATGGTTTAAGCTTATTATTATTGGTTTAGTTTAAAGTTCTAAGCCTAGAAATATTTTTTGTGTTTCAAATGGGGACTTTTAAACCTAAAAAGAAATTTTCTAGTTCAAAAATATTGTTAAGCCTAAAATAAGGTTATTAAGCCTAAAATATGATTCTAAGCCTTAAAATGTTCTTAAAGCCTAAAATAAGGTTGCGAGCCTAAAAACAGCTTCTAAGCCTAAAATGATATTCTAAGCCTAAAAAATGAGTTTAAGCTTAAACTTTGTTCCTTGGACTTAATGTGTCATCTGTAAGCCTAAATGAGGTTTTTAAGCCTAAAAAAGTAATTTTAGGCCTAAACAAGCATTTTAAGCTTAAAAGGTAACTTTAAGCCTAAAAAGGTCGTTTTAAGCTTAAAATAGCCTTCTTAAGCCTAAAAAGTCCATTTAAGCCTAAAAAGACCGTTTTAAGCTTAAGATAATTTTCTTAAGCCTAAAAAGTCAATTTAAACCTAAAAATTCATTTTAAGCCTAAAAAGTCATTTTAAGCCTACAAAAGTCACCTTAAGACTAAAAAAGTTATCTTAAGCCTAAAAAGTCGTCATAAGCCTAATAAGTAATTTTAAGCCTAAAAAAGCATTTTAAGTTTAATAAATTCATTCTAAGCCTAAAAAATCATTTTAAGCCTATGAAAGTCATCTTAAGCATAAAGAACACAAATTAATTCAAAAAACCACTTTTAACTTTTTCTTAGCCTATATTCTTAGCCTTCATGCACAAGCCTAAAAGTGCAAGAATGCAACAAACTACCAAAAAACCTACCGTATACTTTGCATCATTTCACTGCGCTGCGCCCTCCGGTCCACACTTGGCTGTCGCTGCTGCTGCCGAGCCTGTTGACTGCCTGAGGGTAGTTGTTGGGTATGTACAGTATATTCCCGATTGCCAGCTGATGAGCCTTGCACGTTCGGCCGATGGAGGTGATGTTGATCGTGAAGTGAGACAGCCGGCTGTCCGTAAGCGTTGTATTGGCCGTACTGGCTTTGGGAGGGGTCGTTGTACATTTTATAGTACTAGTTGGGTTTTGGTACAATATAGTACTCTTGGTACTTAAAAAATTACTTTTGGTACTTAATGGTACTAGTGGTACTAATAGTAAAGAAAAACCAAAAAATTTAGAAAAAGTTGGTTTATATAGCCCTATCACGATGTACAATATACTAATCTTGTCCTAGCCTAAAACACTATTTTGTCACCACGATGGAAGTGCTATGACAATGTGCTGCTCAATATAGCACTAGTTATCCATACTTTATAAAAATTTGAAGATTTTGGCAGAAATTCTGAAAAAAGTAAGATTAGAATAAAACGCAATAACTTTATTTACAGTAAATGAAAAATAACGAAATTTGAACACACGGTACTATATAGTATGATACTCTAACAAAACAATTTGCAATAAATTTAGACCACTACTTTTTATAAAATACGAATTTTAGTTCCAAGCGGGCAAAATTATAAAGTAAAAAGCAAAAAACGCAATAACTTTCTTTACAATTACTTAGAAATGCCGAAGTTATAAATTATGATACTATATAGGATGATACTCGTATAAAACAAAAAACATGATAAATAAACAATTACTTTTTGTAAAATACGAACATCCTAATCCCGTGTTGGGCAAGTCTAACATAAACAAGAAAAAAAACGCAATAACTTCCTTTACAATGAATAAAAAATTACAAATTTTGAAATAATGGTACTATATAGTATGTGCATTAAATATAACAATAATTGCACCTATTAGACCATTACTTTTTGTAAAATACGTTCGAGTCTCCTTCTAACAAAATTTTAAAACAAAAAGCGAAAAGACGCAATAACTTTCTTTACAGTGAATGGAAACTCACAAAATTTGAGAACATAGTACTATATAACATGGTAATTCCGATAAACACAAAATGCAGAAGTATACACGACTACTTTTTGTAAAATACGCCGGCTAATCCGTTTCCAACAAAGTTTTAAAACAAACAGCGAAAAGACGCAATAACTTTCTTTACAGTATATAAAAAATCACAAAATTTTAGAACAGAGTACTATATAGCCTGGTAGCCCTCATAAACACAAAACGCAAAAGTATACATGACTGCTTTTTGTAAACTACGATCTACCACTCTGTAATGGGAATTCAGCACTTGACTCACAAAAACACGAAGTAATTTTCTTTACAGTTGACAAAAAATAAAAAAAAATTGAAAAGGAGAAAATACAGTATGATAATTATCATACCCAAAATCGGGAGGTAGTTGCCCATTACTTTTTGTAAAATACGCGAATTAAACCATAGCCTACATATTTTAAAATAATTTTAACTGCCTATGAAAATAAAATGCAATAACTTTCTTTACAGTTAATGAAAAAGCAAAAAAAATTTAAAGATAATCATACATAGTATGTAGAATATAAAAACTAAAAAAGGGCATATATTAACCTTGTCACTTTTGTAAAACACACCTTTTAACCTACGCATGACCAATCTGAAGTACCAAACAAAAAGCTTCAATACCAAATTTTAAAGCTAAAAATTCTAACAAAACCCCCTTCAAAAGAAAAAAAAAAAATGACATAGCCATGTATTGTAGAGTACACACGCATGCATACATATAAAACGTGTGTAACACAAAACCAACCATTATATGTTGGCGCGGCAGAATTTATAAGTACTCGAAAGCTGGCTTAAAGTATCACCAATATGACGTTTCTAAACCCATACTCATTATCTAACATGTCCTAAATTAAGATTTTGGGCCCAATTTTATATTTTTTTCGAAAAATGTGACATTTTATACGATGAAACATTTCTTGAGGCGTAGGCTTAACTCGTCTTAAGCTTAGGCTTAGGTTTAGGCTTAAATTTAAACTGAAGCTTAGGCTTACGCTTAAACTTAGGCTTAAGCTTAGGCTTAGGCGTAGGCTTAGTTTTAAGCTTAAACTTAGGCTTAGGCTTAAGCTTAGGCTTAGACTTAGGATTAGGCTTAGGCTTAGGCTTAGGCTTAGGCTTAGGCTTAGGCTTAAGCTTAGGCTTAGGCTTAGGCTTAGGCTTAGGCTTAGGCTTAAGCTTAGGCTTAGGCTTACGCTTAGGCTTAAGCTCAGGCTTAAGCTTAGGCTTACACTTGAACATAAATTTAAGATTAATCTCAGGCTTAACGTTACGCTTAGGCTTAAAATAAAGTTTAGGATTAAACGTTAAACTTAATTTTAAACTTAGAGTCAAGCTTAATCCGAACCCCTGCCTCTATAAGTTTTATTATAAACTGATAAAAAGTTGTAAAGAAAGTTATTGCGAAAAACCAGAAATTCTGTTTTCAGTATAAATAAAGTGAGTATGCCATTATAAATGTCACATATCTCGTCAAAATGTGTGTAACATTACAAAAAATAATAACATTTGGCTAGATGTCAGCGCCTTCAAGGCCGAAAATCAAATTTAAAAAAGCAAAAATTTCTTGGAATGTTTTTTGCCATTTTCAGAAAGAGTCAAATTTCAATATTCAAACAGAAAAAAAATTTTGAAAAAAATGTCTTTTTAGCTTAGTCTTATCATACCTTAACCAGCCCTACATTGCCCTTGCCCTTGCCTTGCCCTGGCCTTGCCTTGCCCTGGCCTTGCCTTGCCCTGGCCTTGCCCTGGCCTTGCCCTGGCCTTGCCCTGGCCTTGCCCTGCTTTGCTTGGCTTAGCCTGGCGTGGCTTGGCTTGGCTTGGCTTGGCTTGGCTTGGGTTGCCTTGTCTTGCCTTGACTTGCTCTACCCTTCCTTATCCTACTCTACCCTAGTATAAAAATCATGTTTTAAAAACTACCACGTCCTCAAATTTACCATGCCTAATAAATAACCCACGCCTCATAAAATGCCATGCCCAAAACAAACAAAGAGTTATTATACAATTACATTATCAAATAAACAAAATTACCCCACCCGTCGTCAAAAAAAAGACTCTTCAAATCGAATAAGGCCATAATTTTATGCTTTACCAAGCATAAAATGAATCAAAATTCTAGGTCCAAAAATGACTTTTTTGAAGAGAAAAATTATTAAAATGAACCTTTATTCCTTTCGATTGAAAAAATTACACGTGCAGTGTTAGATTTACCGAAGGAAACATCATTTTGACAATTTTGAAAAACGGAAGTGGAGTGGAAGGTTTGCAATGTATTTTGCACTGAAAATCATCCACTTAACTTCCATTTTTTAAAGCCTTAAAATGACCCAAAAACACGTTTTTGATCATTTTTGGAGATGGAATTTAAGTGGAAGATTTTTAATGTATTTTGCACTGAAGATCTTCCACTTAACTTCCACTTTCAAAAAGTGTCGTAAAGGTGTTTTTAAGCCATTTTAAGACATGTTGAAAATGGAAGTTACATGGAAGATTTTCAGTGTAAAATACGTTACATATCTTCCACCAAACATTCACTTTTAAAAAAATTTTAAAAACGGGTATTTCTCATAAAAGTGCCACTCCAAATATATGGCTTGTTCATTCAGTACATAAAATAAGATATGGGCCGTTCCCGGAAGTAGGTGCAAGACCGGGCCGACCCTTGCCGAGCGGAAGGCAAGCCTTCGCAACTCAGCTGGTCCCAAAAATCTGTTAATCTCGAATGACTTCAATAGAAGTCGTACCGGAGATTAAACCGATAAGAACAGATACTACACTTTGATCTTAGCCAAAAGGCCGAGAAGCGATACCTGAATTGGCAAGGGAAAGGGTTAGGTTAGGGTCGGCACTTGTTTTTCGACTGGGTTTGAGTGTGGGCCGAGAGGGAAGAGAGCGGATAGAGAAAAAAAGAAAGAGAGTAAAATGGGTCGCTTTTCGTCGATGAAAAAATGGCAAGAACATTCTTTACAAAACAAAAAATAGCAAAAACTTTCTTTACAAAACAAAAAATGGCAAGAACTTTCTTTACAAAACAAAAAATGGCAAGAACTTTCTTTACAAAACAAAAAATGGCAAGAACTTTCTTTACAAAACAAAAAATGGCAAGAACTTTCTTTACAAAACAAGATTGCTATATTTTTTTAGTGTCTAATAAAGAGTTGCGCATCAGAAAAAAGTGGCCTTTCAAGTTGGTAAAATTGGAAAAACTCTCCCATGAGACCATCTCGACGGCCACTTTAGAAGCCTTTTTTGGGTAAAACGGTTACAAATTTTGAAAAGTTTAAACACTTTTCAAAGTTTTGCAGTATTTTATGGCACAATCACTATTTTAGCAAAAAATAGCAGGAACTTTCTTTACAGTACAAAAAATAGCAAGAACTTTTTTACAAAACAAAAAATTGCAATAACTTTCTTTACAAACCCATATAAGACAACATTCTGCTACATAAAACTTAAAATAGCACTGTTTCAAAAGTGGAAGTTGAATGGAAGATTGGTAATGTAATTTGCAATGAAAATCTTCCACTCAACTTCCACTTTTTTAAATGCCTTAAAATGGCCTAAAAACACGTTTTTGACACTTTTTAGAAGCGGAAGTTAAGTGGAAGATTTGTAATGTAATTTGCACTGAAAATCTTCCACACAAATTCCACTTTTTAAAAACGTCAGAAATTTGTTTCTAAGGCATTTTTGGGGTTTCCCTATTACTAAGTAGCAAAAAAGCACTAAAAATAGATCGAAAAGCTCCAAAAAACACCCAAAATAAGCCTAAGAGAAGAAGAAGAGAAGAAAGAAGAAGAGAAGAGAAGAAAAATGCCCAAAATTTCAAAAAATAAGCCCAAAAACCGCTAAAACTGTTGAATGAACGTTCAAAAACATTAACACTAACAAGAAATATTCATTTTGTCACTTGGAAGCCGTAAAAAGTGTCTCTAAAGTGCTGAAACGAGGACGAATTCTTTTGAGAACGGAAGACGAAACATGTTCTTTTCGCTATTACAGAGTAATACTCTCAACAAGTACTCCGTTTCGGAGGCGAATTCAAAGACCAATAAAGTAAAAAGATGAATTAAGGTTTGTTTAGAAAATTTTAGTTTTGGGCTTAAAATTAAGGTTTTATACATAAAACTAGGCTTGTTTTAGGCTTAAAACCAAGCCCTAATTAGGCTTATTTAAACCAACCTTGAGTTAGGCCCATCTGTTAAATTTAAAAATTAGCTTTTACGATTAAAAACAAGCCTATAGGCTTTAAAATCAATCATTTAAGCTTAAAAAAAACCTTTAGGCTTAAATGTAAGAATAAAATACAAACCTAAAAGCTTGACAAAAGTAAAGTAGAAGATAAGCCTAGCAATGATTTCAAATAAATCTTTAGCCTTCAAAATAAGCCTTTAAACTTCAAGATAAGCTTTTAGGCTTAAAGATAAACCCTTATACGCAGTGTTTTGCCGGACCGGTCCGATCCGCGGACGGGTCCGGTCCGGACGGACCGAAACAAGAATTTTTGCGGACCGGACCGGACCCAAAAACCTGCGGACCCGGACCGAAGAAAAAGCTCCGGACCGGTCCGGAAGAAAATTTTTTTTTATTTTAATAAAACTGATTTAAAAATTGCAAAAAGAATGTATTTTTAAGAGTTTTTAAGCAAAAAGAAAGCAGTTTTAGCGCTCTCTGCTTTTTTTAAAAATAAAAAAAAAATTTTTTGCGGACCGGACCGGACCCAAAAATTTTGGGTTTGGTCCGGGCAAAACACTGCTTATACGAAAAGGTAGACTTTTAGGCTTAAAAATGAGCTTTTTGGGATAAAAAATAAGCCTTTAAGTATAAATATAAACTTAAAGGGGCTAGGATAAGCCTGCTAGCCTTAAGACTTAATTATGACCTTGTAATTTTAAATATAGGCCTAAAGCGTGTAGGCTTAAATATAAAAATAAAAAAACTACATTTTTAAGCCTAAAAGTTAGTCTAAAATTTAAAAAAATCTAATTTTAAGCCTAAATATAAACTTAAAAAATTAAAAGATTTAAAGCTCAAGCCTAAAACTAAGCCTAAACTACAAAAAACCATTCTCCCCCCCCCCTCTCCTCCTCTCTTAACTTTAAACTTAAGCTACTCCTAAACCCCCCCCCAACAGTCCATTTTTGGCGTGCTGCCAGTTTTTTTTTAATTCCAAAAATGTCACTTATCCGCCCCAAACAAATATTCCTCCTTTTTAAGAGCAACACAAGAAGAAATGGCCTGAGGGGAATTGGGAAAACATGAGGGTCAATATCTTTAAACATTCCGCCTAACAATCCCCCAAAGACCGAGAAAGTATCCGATATGGGTATTTAAAATGAATGTCCAGTGGCTATTTTTAAGAATTTTGAAATTTTAAAATTTTTTAAAATAAAAAAAAAATTTTTAAATTCAAAAATTTTTTTTTCAAAAGATTAATCTACTACAACATAAGCCGATGACGCTAACCCAATGTGGCAAGATTAAAATTACTCGAATTAGATTGATATTAATGTGGGAAAACACTATACATACTTAATCGACCCAAAAATAGGGCCGCTTTTAGGTTATGAGACATTTATTAGTCATGGAATAGGTAATGCTTGCAAAATAAAGTGTCTAAACAAATCATAAATCAATGTTAAGATCTTTTCTTTACCCTACCCTATCCTACCCTACCCTACCCTTCCTACCCTACCCTTCCTACCCTACCCTACCCTACCCTACCCTACCCTACCCTACCCTACCCTACCCTACCCTACCCTACCCTACCCTACCCTACCCTACCCTACCCTACCCTACCTTACCTTACCCTACCCTACCTTACCCTACCATTACTACTGCCGTTACCGTCTTTACTATAACCTACCCCATCCTCCCTTAACCTATCATATTCTACCTTATCCAGCTCTATACTACCCTACCCTACCCCTCATTCAAAAAGCCAGTCCTACCACTAAAGAAATAAGAAATTTTGCCCTACGTTTACAAGTTTTACCTTACACTTTAAAATCCAATCTTACCTTTATGTAAATCTATCCTACCATTGCAATTTTCAACAGTAGGATAGATCCCCCCCCGTCCCATACTCCAGCTTCCCGCTTGGCCGTGTACCCTACCACTAAAGATGCTACACCACACTTAAAAATCATTTTTTAATCTGAATTTCTATTCTGCTTTGAAAGATCATGCTCTGCCTTCTCAATTCTAAACTGCTCACCAAAAAATTCTCGATGCCCTTTTTCCCCTCCCCCTCCCCCCCCTTCCTACCTTACACTACCCAGCCCTCTCCTGCCCCATCCTTTTTCCTGTCCCTTCCCGGCCCCTCCTTTCCTTACTTACACCTCCCTTCCTTATCTATCCCTCCCTTTCATATTTACTTTTTCCCGGCCCCATCCCGATTTACTGAAAATATATTTTTGGAAAAAGAAGTAGAAGGTTATGGCCTGAGGACACAAAAAAACGGTCGGGTTTTCTCCCCACCGCCGCCGCCGCCCAAAGCCAATAATTTCGCTTTTCCGTTTTTTGAGATGCTTTCGATGCAAGGTCGAAGAGAGTACTAACATCAATCTACACGAATGTTCTCGTTTATTGTAAAACGATTAGGCAGTCGGTTAAGGGAAGGGAGAGAAACATGAAGAAAATGTGAAAAAAGGGTCAAACGTGAATTTGAAAAATTAAAAAAGTGAAAAAATTAAAATTTTTAAAATTTTAAAAAAGTTTTCAAATCTTCAAAATACAGCTTAAAATAACATTACCAGCCCTAAAATCATTCCACAGAAACATATTTCAGCTTTAAAAGCCACGAAACAAGTTTTAGCCAAATTTAAAAAATGGAAGTTGAGTGGAAAATTTGTAACGTATTTTACACTGAAAATCTTCCACTAAAATTCCACTTTTAAAATGCCTTAAAATGGCCTAAAAACGCATTTTTAACACTTTTTAAAAATGGAAGGTCAGTGTAATTTTTGTAATGTATTTTGCACTGAAAATCTTCCACCTAATTTCCACTTTCAAAAAGTGCCAAAAACGTTTTTTAGGCTATTTTAAGATATCTCAAAAATGAAAGTTGAGTGGAAGATTTGTAATGTATTTTTCACTGAAAATCTTTCACTCAGCTTTCATTTTTCTTCTTTTTTGGTTTATATTAATAACAGAGGTTCATTTACTACCATATTTTACAAAAAAATAAAAAGAAACAGGAACACACCGCTAAATATTTATTCTAGGAGGCAAGATTCTCTCATTCTCCACCCTCTCCTCCCTCTAGGTAAGCTCCTGTATAGAATTTTAAAAACTAAGCTTTGTTTGTCCTGACCTAACTACCTTGAAATTACCTTCAACCCCCTTATCGTACCTCTCCATACCGCACTTTTTACTAGCCCTACCTTCTACCATACTTCTCTCTACTCTTACTCTCTCTACCACCCCCGCCCTCTACCACCCCCGCCCACCTTGAATTTACTACCAAAAACGTCAATTGTTTTTTGGAGAGTGTCCAACCGCCAAAAATCCCATAAAAAGTCTGTGAAAGAGAAAGAGTCCGGATTTGGACGGGAGTGGCCATGACATTTCGTGGCCATGGCTATTTTCGGTCGAATACTTTTTTCGTTTTTTGCGGAAAAATATTTAATGGCCAACGTAATTTCTCAAGAAATAATGGCCAAAAGACAAAAACGCTTCCGAAAACGACCAAAATTAATCGACAGCTTATTGTTTTGGACAGGTAGAGGTGGAGAACAATTCATAGTGTTTAGTACGAAATTAGTAAGCTTAGGCTTAGTAGGTTTAAGCTTAGTAGTCTTAGGCTTAGTAGATTTAAGCTTATTAGGCTTAGTAGGCTTAGGCTCAGTAAGCTTAGGCTTAGTATGCTTAGGCTTAGTAGGCTTAGGCTTAGTAGGTTTAAGCTTAGTAGGCTTAGGCTTAGTAGGCTTGGGCTCAGTAAGCGTAGGCTTAGTAGGCTTAGGCTTAGTAGGCTTAGAATTAGTAGGATTAGGTTTAGGAGAGTTAACCTTAGTAAGCTTAGGCTTAGTAGGTTTAAGTTTAGTTAAGCTTAGAAATAAGGATTGGGTAGAGCTAAAGCTAAGAATAGCTCTAGGTCTACGTTTAGGGCTAGGACAAGGGCTAAGGCTAAAGCTTAGGATAAAGCTTAGGCTAGAGATTGGCCTTGTGTTTCGACTTAAGCTTGGGTTAGGAATCGAGCTTCAGCCAAGGCTAAAGCCAGGGCTAAGACTAGAGCTATGGTTAGCTAAGACTAGGGCTAGGACTAAAGCATAAGACGAGGACTAATTCTAGGGCTACAGTTAGAGTTAATGCTATGGCAAAGACTACAGTTAAGGGTTGTGGCTTGACCTAAGCTAGAGCTAAAGTTAAAGCTAGAGCTGGGACTAGGGTTAGGGCTTTGGGCTAGTTACATTTAATAATATTATGGGTTTATTAACAACAATTATTATTCATTTTACCTTAAAATTTTTGAAAAATTTAAAACTAAAATCAGCTTGAATTTGATATAATTTTCAACAACGAATCATCCTCAGGTCGATACCCAGTCAACCGAGAGCAACTTTGAGGCAGTTTGTCCACATTTTCCGATAAAACATGCCAATCGTATATGTCAGCAGCATGCCATTGAACATACGATCTTACCAGTTCAATAGAAACATTAGCCAAAGCCATAGGGCAGACTTGTTTTACTATGTCTTCGTGACAACCTATAACAATATCTTTTGAAAAATGAAAATTTCGTAATAAAATGGCAAAAACTTTCTTTACGAAACAAAAAATGGCAAGAACTTTCTTTACAAATCAAAAAACGGCAAGAACTTTCTTTACAGAACAATAAACGGCAAAAACTTTCTTTAAAAAACATAAAATGGCAAGAACTTTCTTTACACAACCCCTATAAGACAACATTCTGCTACATAAAAAATAAAATGACACTGTTCCAAAAGTGGAAGTTAAGTGGAAGATTTTTAATGTATTTTGCACTGAAAATCTTCCACCCAACTTCCATTTTTAAAATGTCTTAAAATGGCCTAAAAACACGTTTTTGCTACTTTTTAAAAGTGGAAGCTGAGTGGAAGATTTTCAGTGCAAAATACATTACAAATCTTCCACTCAACTTCCACTTTTTAAAAAAGCCCAAAATGTGTTTCTAAGGCATTTTTTGTTCATTGCCTAGTGCAAAATGACAGAAAAGCTTTCTTTCCAACCCCCAAAAATCACAAAAATCTGTTACCACACCCAAAAACCTCAATAATTTACCCTACCTTGATAGCACTCCTGAAAACTGCACAGTAACTCCAGTTCAGCCTCATAGTTCATAAGTTCGTCGTCGGAGAAGACTTTTCCAAGTCGCGCCCGAGATTTTTGACTTTTCTCCATTTCCGCCTTTTCGACCGCTTCTTTATGACATTGTTGGTCGCACTTCAAGAAGTTCAGAGGCTCAGCATCCTCTAAACAGGGTCGGGCAGTCAAAAACATGGTCTTCTTGAATTTGCATAGGAAGTTGGATGGAGAAAAGACTCGATCTGCTGACTGAAAATTAGTGATTTGGGGATGGATTTTTTGGATTTTCAGGCAGGGTGTGGTAAGAAAAGATGGGGTTTTAAAGGCAGAGTATGTCAAAAAAGGAGGGTATGGCAAAAAAGAACAAGTGTTTTTAGGAAGGGCATGGTAAAAAAGAGATAGGGGTTTTAATGCGGAGTATGGTAAAAATAAGATAGGGTTTTAAAGGCGGGGTATGGTAAAAAAGAACAGGGGTTTTTAGCCAAGGCATGGTAAAAATAAGATACCGTTTTAAAGGCAGGGTATGGTAAAAAATAACAGTGGTTTTTGGGCAGGGCATGGCAAAAAAAGACAGGGTTTTTAAGGCGGGGTATGGTAAAAATAAGATAGTGTTTTAAAAGCAACGTATGGCAAGAATGGGCAGGGCATGGATATGAAGCTTTTAGGCAAGATATGGTAAAAAAGATAGGGTTTTTAAAGCAGGGTATAGTGAAAAAAAGATAGGAATTTTTAGACAGGGTATGGTAAAAAAGAATAGGGGTTTTTAGGGTAGGGTAGGGTAGGATAGAGTAGGGTAAGGTAGGGTAGGGTAGGGTAGGGTAGGGTAGGGTGGGTAGGGTAGGGCAGGGTAGGGTAGGGTAGGGTAGGGTAGGGGTGGGTAGGGTAGGGCAGGGTAGGGTAGGGTAGGGTAGGGTAGGGTAGGGTAGCGTAGGGTAGGGTAGGGTAGGGTAGGGTAGGGTAAGGTAGGGTAGGTTAGGATAGGGTAGGGTAGGGTAGGGTAGGGTAGGGTAGGGTAGGGTAGGGTAGGGTAGGGTGGGTAGGGTAGGGCAGGGTAGGGTAGGGTAGGGTAGGGTGGGTAGGGTAGGGCAGGGTAGGGTAGGGTAGGGTAGGGTAGGGTAGGGTAGGGTAGGGGTAGGGTAGGGTAGGGTAGGGTAGGGTAGGGTAGGGTAGGGTAGCGTAGCGTAGCGTAGGGTAGGGTAGGGTAGGGTAGGGTAGGGTAGGGTAGGGTAGGGTAGGGTAGGGTAGGGTAAGGTAGAGTAGGTTAGGATAGGGTAGGGTAGGGTAGGGTAGGGTAGGGTGGGTAGGGTAGGGCAGGGTAGGGTAGCGTAGGGTAGGGTAGGGTAGGGTAGGGTAGGGTAGGGTAGGGTAGGGTAGGGTAGGGTAGGGTAGGGTAGGGTAGGGTAGGGTAGGGTAGGGTAGGTTAGGATAGGGTAGGGTAGGGTAGGTCTACTTACCTGGTCATTGCATCTCTCTATGAAGCATTTTGTTTGTTTTTCAGATAGTTCACAGTAGTTTAGGTAACCTTCATAATCCAATACTTTGGGGTGGAATGGGAAGTCGTAGTAGTCTTTACAGGTCATATTGAATAGATTTTCAAATTCTGAACGCCATTCGTTGTTACAATGCTGAAAATGAAAATTTTTATGTAAATTTTCAAAAATTTCAAAATTTTAAAATTTTTTTTAAAAATTAAAAAAAATTTTTTTTTAAATTTAAATTTTTAAAAAAATTTTTTAATATATTGAAGCCACCCGTATTTTACCTGAAAACATTGAGGATCAGTCTCATTTTGGCTGGAGGCGAACATGAAGTCCCGTTTGACTCGCTGAAACTCTCGATGGACTGGACTCTTGGACATGAATCTTATCGTATTACCGCTCGATTCGATTTGTAACGGTCGATATTGGGTTTTGGACATTAGGAAGATCAAAATGGCACTCATAAATATGGCTGATATTAGGAAGCCAGCCGCTGCTGAATGGAGTTGAGCCATTGTTTGTTACCTAAAAACGTAAAAATTTGGGAAAAAATTTTAATTTGGGGTTTTATTGAAGAAACTAAAACTTTGTTACCTAAAATAGAAAAAAAATGTAAAAACTTAACTTTTATTACCTAAAATGTCAAAAAATTTTTTAAAAAACTTAAAATTTCGCTATTTTTTGTAAAAAAATTAAATTTTATTACTTAAAAACAAAAAAAAATTGTGAAACGCTTACTTTTGTTACCTAAAAACACAAAAACTTGCAAAAAAATCAAAATTCGGCAATTTTTAACAAAAAAATTAAATTTTAATACCTAAAAGCTAAAAAAAAATTTTTAAAAAGTTAGCTTTTGTTACCTAAAAATCTAAAAAATTTGCTTTTATTAACTAAAAATTTGAAAATAATTGATTTTTTTACCTAAAAACATCAAAATTTGGAAAAAATTTTAAAATCTTGCAATTTTTAGAAAAAAAATTAAATGTTGTTACCTAAAATGAAACAAAAAATTAGGAAAACTTAACTTTGGTTACCTAAAAACATAAAAATTTGGAAAAAAAATTCAAAATTTGGCAATTTTTAGTAAAAAAATGAAATTTTAGTAGGCTTACGCTTCATAAGTAGGCTTTGGGGTTATAAGGCTAGAGATAAGACTAGGGATAGGACTAAAACCAAGGTTAGGGTTAGGTTTAAAGCATGACATAGAGAACGGGCCTATTTTACAACCCCTGTCCGACTTAATTTTGCTCAGGCAAGAGCCGGCCCGTTCTCCATTTACAGCTAAAGCTAGTACTCTGGGCTAGGGCTCTGGGATAGGGCTCTGGGCTAGGGCTCTGGGCTAGGGCTCTGGGCTAGGGCTCTGAATTAGGGGTCTGGGCTAGGGCTCTGGGCTAGGGCTCTGGGCTAGGGCTCTGGGCTAGGGATCTGGGCTAGGGCTCTGGGCTAGTGCTCTGGGCTAGGGTTCTGGGCTAGGGCTCTGGGTTAGGGCTCTGAATTAGGGGTCTGAGATAAGGCTCTGGGCTAGGGCTCTGATATGGGGCTCTGGGCCATACAAATTTAAAAAAAGTTCAATTTTTCAAAATTTTTTAAATAAAAATTCAAATTTGTTACCTAAAATATTTAAAAAAAGTAAAAAAAACCAACCTCAGTAAACTTTAGATACGCACTAACGGCATAGTAGCTTTCACTTTCACTTGAAGAAATCGTTTTTTCTTTATTGCGATCAGTCGAAAATCGTCTCGGCTGGGTAAATGCCGTTATCGATCGAAATCTAACCGGAGATATATTAAGGCTGCAAATGGAGGGGAATCGAGCGTAATTGACATCTTGTATTGAGGCGGGAGCTTGAGTTAATATCAACTGAAAAGGGCTTTGAAATTATTAAAATTTAGAATTATCTGCCCTACCCTGCCCTACCGTACCCTACCTTACCCTACCCTACCCTACCCTACCCTACCCTACCCTACCCTGCCCTACCTTACCATACCCTACCCTAACCTACCCGACCCTACGCCGCTAAGCTACCCTATCCTACCCTACCCTACCCTTCCCTATCCTACCCTACCCGACCCTACGCCGCTACGCTACCCTATCCTACCCTACCCTACCTTATACCAGCCCTCATCTTACACTATTTGTCGTTGCCATGCCCTAGCACCAGCCTTGGCTTCACCTTACCCTGCTGTTTTTCTCTTGCCGTTTCCTTACAACACTTTTTCTTACCATACTCACTACCTTTACCTCAACGTGTAAACCTATGTACTTCACCTGGGACATTGCAAAACTCAACAGAAGAATTTCTTCGAAAGTTATATAATGTTGATGATATAACTAGATAGCCTTAGAGAAATTGCAAGAACTCGTGTTGCGCAACCTTTTCTTATGTAATATTACGATTTTATATAATAATTGCCTCGATGAAAAACGACCCAACAAATTACTGCGAGTGCTGGGATTTTACTCTATTTTACTTCGAGGGGGTGTTGTTTATCTGATGTGGTTCTTTTCTATACATATTAAACCTAAGCCTACTAATCAGGTGTCTGCCAAGCCTAAGCATATTAAGCCTACGACTACTAAAACCAAGACGACTAAGCCTAAGCCTACTAAGCCTAAGCCTACTAACCATCAGCCTAAAAAGCCAAAGCCTACTTAACCAAAGCCTACTAAGCCTAAAACTACCAAGCCTAAGTCTGCTAATTATAAACCTAAGCCTACTAAGCCTAAGCCTACTAATCCTAAGCTAATACCTTCTAAACTTAACCATGCAAAGCCATACAATGGTCAAACCAATCAAAAATATACCATAGTCTCTAACTATATTAACCTTCAACACAATTTCTCGAACAATCCTTTCAAATTCAATATATATATAGATTAAAGTATATTAAACAATTATACCAACAAAGATGAAATAAATATAATATTAACAACTCTTCTATCATCTACAATAATATTATATAAATCACAGTCGATTTGAACCCGTTACAAATCCTTGTCCTTCTCGTATCTCTCCTTCAGCAGTCTCGTATTCAAGTTTTCGAACTGCCATTTCTGAGTTAATACGGTCGTGTCACATGAGCTGGCAAAGACTTCACTTTTGGAGGCATCTGAGTCCAGGCACAGTCCAGTCACGGGATGTTTGATCTGTTTCGTCGCTGGCAGGTACCTGAACATCTGATTGCCTTTGCCCATGTGGCAGTGGTAGATAACGACCGGTGCTTTTTCTTGGTTTTTGGGTATGTCAAGGCATTTTTCGCTAGTTCGAAGGTCGAGGTAGTTGGTCAGCTTCCAGGATTGTTCTCCAAAGCCACAGTCGCCGATCACTACGCCCTCGCCGTCGTTGTGGAATTTGGCGTCCAGGCATTTGCCATTGCCAATGTTTTTCACTGTTCCTGAAAATTGAAATTTTTAGGTGAATCCATTAATTTTTTCGCAGACTTTTCTGAGGTTAAGACAAAAAACTAGAGCTGGAGTAGCGGTAGATGGGTAGGAGTAGGAATAGAGGTAGAAGTAAGGAAAAGAAGTAGAGGTAGTAGTAGAAGTAGAGGCAGGAGTAAGGGTAGGGTTAAGGATAGGCCTAACGGTAGGGTTAGAGGTAGAAGCAGAGGTAAGGGTAAGTGCTTCAAACCTTTTAAATAGGCTTATTTAGGCTTAAATTAAAGCTTTCTTCTCAGAATCTTTAGGCTTAATTTATGAAGTTTTAAAAGCCGTTTAACCCTTAATTTGCAACTTGTTTTGGCTTATTTAAAGTGTTGATTACAAGCATATTTAAACATTTTTTTCCAAGTTCAATAAGCTTGATTTAAGGGCTATGTTAAGCCTATTTTAAACGCAATTTTCAAGTTTTTGGATTTATTTTAAAACCTAATCTTGAAGCTTATTAAGGTTTAATTTAAAAGCTACTTTAAAAAGTATTTTAACCTTGCTATTTAGGCTTAATTTAAAAATTGTTCCTAAGCCTAATTAAACCTGAATTTCCGTCTTGTTTAGGCTTCATTTAAAGGTAGTATTTAAGCCTACTACACGCTAATTTTTTTGGCTTGTGTGAGCTTAATTTAAAGATTTTTTCTAAGCCTATTTAAACCTAAACTATCACCTTGTTTAACCTTCATCTAAATCTTGATCATCAGTTTTATTCCAGACTTCTTTCGTCCCTAATTTAACCTTTATTTCCAGCTTAACTTCACCCTCCAAAAGAAACCACAAACAGCCAATATTATAACCAAAACACAAAGCATCAGTCCCACAATCATCCTACCATTAGCACTTGGTTCTGGCTCCACCGCCGGGTAGTAAAAGTCCTGATCGTCCGCCACATTCTTCATGAACCAGTCGAATGATTTGCACTGTAACTTATCCCGTATGCCCTTCATTTTAGTCATGTCACCGGGTTCGGCGTTGGCTATGCCTGGTCGGCGTTTGAACAGGTGTTGTTTATACTCGTCCATCCACACTTCAGCGACGCGGCGATAGTTGCGTGACAGGTAGTCGCCAAACCCAAAGGGTGTGGCTTCGCCGTGCCGTTTGCAGCGATAAATGTGGCCAACGCGGGAGCAGGGTGCGTCGACCATTCGGCCGTGGCATTGCCATACCTGGAATTGGGAAAAATTTGAGTTTTTTTGAAAAATTTCAAATTTCAAAAAAAAATTTTTTAATTTAAAAAAAAAAATTTATTTTTAAAAATGCAATTTTAGGTAAAATATCACCAAAGTAAACCTTCATACCCTCTAAAACAATCCAAAAATCAAATTTTTCAAAAAATCTTAAAAAATTATAAAAAAAATTTTTTTAAAACTTTTCATTTTCAAAAAACTTATTTTTACCCCAAATATCAACCTCCCAGAACCTTAAAACCCACCTTAAAGCTCAATTCGTACTGTTCCCCTCCCCAAATGTCCAACTTCTCGTCGTATCCGCCCAGTTCCCAAAACCATTTGGCGCTAATGGCGAAATAGCCTCCGGCCATGACTGGACTATCGAATGGGTCGGTTGGTACTTTCTGGTCTTTTGGCCTCAATGGTAGACGTTTGTAGTCGAAGTTCCATGCGAATGAGCCTCGCATACCTTGATCTTGAGGTCGGATGTCAAAGTTGTTGCAATCGATGACGTCGATGAATGGGCATACTACTGTTCTGGAATTGTATGCTATTATACTTGAAATAACGTAGAATAACATTATCAATCATTTTTGGTTTATTTTTTGTTCCAGTCGTTCTTTGGCGACATGTTATACGATCAAACATGTGAACCTGTTTCATCGCATAAGATGTCACTTAGTAAACTAGAATTTTTAAAAATGTCAAACTATGCTCTAATAGCATTAAAAAAACCATAGCTATCTTACTTTTGCCTTATTTTTATTTCAGAGACAAGTTATACAATAGAACATGTTCCATCGTATAACATGTCCCTTTTACAAAAATAGTACGAATCTCAACCTTCAAAATCCAAAATCTTACTTATAATCAAGAACAATTGGTTCTACTAGAGGCGGAATCCAATTGGGCATGGCTTCTGAATGTGAATCCAAGAAGACCAGGATTTCGCCCGTAGCGTGCTGTGCGCCGATCTGTCGTGCTCGAATTAGACCGTGTCGTTTGCTAAATTAAATAAAAATCTAATAAAAAACAGTTTTAAACCTGATTTAGATAATCATTCTTTAAAATTATCAAAATCTCCGCTCAGACATCTTTCATCGTATAAGATGTCCACACTTCTCTAAAATCAACCAAATTTCAAAATTCCAAAACCTTACCCTGGCCTCACTACCTTCACAAGCTTATCCAAGCCTCTGTCTTTCAAATATTTGTCCAATGGAGCCAGTAAATACTCTCTATCACTGTCATCATCGACCAATATTATCTCATGGAGAACATCTTTTGGTGATTTGTTTAGGATCGAATGCACCGTTCTTAGCAGCGTCGTATTGTGCTGTAAAATCATTTTTATACTTTATACCATCAATATAAGTCAACATAAACCCATTTTATGCCTTATTTCCACCAAAACGCCATTTTAATGACATGTTATCCGATGGAACATGTCCAAACCAAAAAGAAATTTTTTTAACGTTAAAACCTTAAAACTCACTTCATTATGATATGGCACAATCACTGACACAGTTGGTTGCTTATTGACGTATTTCAGGTCTTTACATTGATGATGGCGAAGGTCTCGTACAGCTCGATCCAACGATATCATATCACTATATACAGCGTCAAAGCCGTTTTCCAAAAATATTTTTTTCTGAATTTGACTGTTACTAATTCGTATTTTACATTTTTTTCAACAAAAATTTGAAATTTCACATTTCTTTTACAAAAAGAGACATGTTATACGATAAAACATGTCCCAAAAAAAACCTCGTATTTTATGTTTAAAAATTCGTTTTAAAACCAAACATTAAATAAAAACAGTACATTTAACTTACTCTATTGTTTTTACTATCTTCGGATTCATTTGGTATTGAAATTGGTACCGATTGTTCACCAGGACCGGACCTTTGAGCGTCTGCTTGAACTCGTGTATGATCTTCCCAATCCTTTTTAGGTAAACTCCTATAGTCTTGAAATGGGTCTTGGCCATCTGTAAGTTAACGTATGCTTAAAAATTTTAAAAACCGTATTTTGGGCATATTATACGATGAAACCTGTCCAAATAAAAATTTTTGTTTATACATATTTCATCGTATAACATGTCACCCAACCTAAGTAACATAAAATAGAAGTAAAATAAGCTAGTGCATCAACTTTGACAACAATGCAACCATTCTATACAACGAAACATATTCAAAACATAAAAATTCCTGAACACCTTTCATCGTATAATATGTCCAAACTTGAAAATTTCATACTCCATTTTTAAAAAACAACTTTTAGCCTACAATCCCTTACCATAAAGCTCCCATTTCTTAGTATCAACCTTCTGTTCGACCAACTTTTGAGCCTGAGGTAACTGTTGAACATCCTCTACTACAACATCATTTTTCACATAACTACCGTTGTCTCCACCACTGCTAGTGTAAAAATAAATAAAACCCATTAGACAGAGAACACATATGTACATATTTCGAGTTAAGTTCCGCCTCGGGGACTTTAATAACCGCAGCCAAGTTGTGAAGCCCATTTTGGCCTGAAATTTTTTGAAATTAGCTCGGAATGATTGGTTGTTGCATGTAAAGTAAGATGACACGGATGGTGAATATTGTTTAGAGTATGTAGAAGATAGATAAGTACAAATATACTCATTTTTAAAAGGCTAAACTATTTAAAAATTAATTTTAAATTACTCTACCCCAAGATTTTCCAAAAAATTCAACTTCTCTGCCATTTTAATATTATCCCAACAGTAATTTTAGACCAAAACCATAACGTATAGGTCGAAAAGTCCCTAGAATTCAATATTAAATGCGAATTTTCCCAGGCCATTTCCAAATTTAGGGTCAAACGAAGCAAAATTTACGTGGCAACCTTGCACATGAAGCCGCGTCTAACCCGTTTTTCAAGTTTCCATTGTTTGCTTTGTTCTCTTGTCATAACACAACCCGCGATTTTTTCGTCTTTTTATTAAAACACTAATTTTTGATAATAACCTATCACTTTTGACTCATATACCTCTCAAAAACGAGTCAAATCAACCATTTTTACATTTAAAAAACAAAGAATAGGCGATTATTCAGGATGAAAAGCGATTTTTATGATAATAAAGCCGCCTCTAACACAAATCGTTAATATCATTGTGCTATTTGTAAGGAAAACATTCTATTTCTGCTGTTATGAATAGTTTCTTCCAATAAAACGTGGCTTTGAATTGTGTTTTTATAAAAAAAATGTGGGAAACAACAAAAAATAGCCAGAAACCTGATGTTGTTATCGAAAAATGATCTAAACTACATTTTATAGCCGATATTTTTAAACAAATTTTATGTCAAAATACTCAGAAAACACAGCCTTATCAAATATAACACTTCAAAAAATTTCAAAAAATTATAAAAAATTAAGAATGAACATCAAGACCCAATTTGATGACATAGATAACACAAAATCAGCTGAAAACCTAGTGAAACCTCTAGACAAACATCTGAATTTAACATTATCAAACAGAATAGAACCTCCTCCCTCGTTTACAACAAACGTAAATCTAATAAACAGCAAAAGACTTTCAGCTATTAACCACGAACATCAACGCCCAATCTGATGCCAAAGATAACATAAAAATGATCATAAATAGTAAAATATGTTAAAATTCATACCGATAGAAAAAAAAACAAGACATCTTAAGTCAACTGAAATCTTCCAAAACTCTCGATGTCAAGTTTAACTTCAAACTAAACAAAAATGTTAACCATAAGCATCAGATGCCATGGATAAGATAAATCAATAAGAACTGAAGCTAATAAATAAAATTGCATGTTTAAATTATAAAAATAAATAAAATGACACTCTTCTTCATCTTAAGCCTAAACTTAACAAGTTTTAACAGCAAAAGGTCTCTAATGTTAACCATGAAAGTCTGGCATCATGAATAACATATAGCAAATCGAAAACTTGAAAATACTTCAAAACTAGCACTTCAAATTAAAAAAAGATGATTAAAACAACCCCTTCTTCATCTTTTAAGCCTAAATTCACCATTTTTAACATCGAAAGAACTTCCAATATTAAACATGAAGACCTGAAGTCATAAACAACATAGAATTAATCTAAAATCTATAAGCTCATCAAGTATAACCTTCCAAATTACAAAAATTAATTAAAACAGAGTCTCCTTCAACTTTTAAGCCTACATTCACCAAGTTAACCCCCAAAACCGTCCAGAAAAAACTAAAAACATCACCTACACCATCAATATTTCAACAAAAACATCACTTTTTAATAAAAAACAAGTTTTAATAGCATAGATTATACAAAAAAACGCAAATCCACACAATCCTAGCCCACGAACAGCAAGAATCACTTCCATTGTATGTAAAAAACACTTCCACACACCTGGTTAGGAAAGGAGATTCCAATGCCACGCAATTCGCTCCCGCTTCGCTCTCGTTTTAAACGTTTTTGTCTCGAAAAAAACGTCGAAATTTGTGGAATTAAACGTTGTTACAAAGCAAATACACATGAATATGGACAAGACAATATTGCGCTTCATTTTGAATATAAAATTAGCTATGGAACAGTAAAATAAAGGCCTGAAAATAGCTAAAAATGTGAAAATTTCGAGAAAAAAATTATTTTCGAAAAATATTATTTTTTGTGGCACTTCGTCCAAGTTCGTGACACTTCGTTCTTTTCGGTAAAACGAGAATTTTAAAAAATTCATTTGAAATTCGTTACTAGCTAAAGTGAGGTTGTGGCTTCGTTTCATCTTGTCAGCTAGATCGTCGCTTCTGTTTGATGTAAGTTGATGGGTAATATTATATATCTAATTTGGATATTTTTATGGGTAATGAAAAGTTAGGCGATGAGTGGCTATGTCATAATTTTTGAGTTTTGCAGTATTTTTTGAATTTTCTCGTCATTTTAAACAAAAAAGTAAAAAATTTGTTTTCTAAGCATAAAATGGCAAGAACTTTCTTTACAAAGCAGAAAATGGCAATAACTTTCTTTGCAAATTACAAAATGGCAAGAACTTTCTTTACAAAGTACAAAATGGCAAGAACTTTCTTTACAGAGCTTAAAATGACAAGAACTTTCTATACAAAATAAAAAACGGCAGTTTTTAACAGTTTTCGAATTTTTTTTTCACTATGACATGTTTTTTGAAGTTTAGGTCATTTTTACCATTTTAATGTAATTTTCACTTTTTATGATCATTTTAACGTCATTTTGAACCTCTTCAACTTATTATTATGCAATTTCAAACTTCAAAAAATCATGATGACACCTTTTTCAGACTCACAACATGTCGGAAGAGAAAGGAAACGATCCCAAAAAGGAGGAAAAGAAGGACGACAAAAAAGAAGACAAGAAGGACGAGGAGAAGGAGGAGAAGAAAGAAGAACCAAAAGACGAAAAACAGAAACCAGAGGAGGGCAACAAGGCCAAACTAAAACAAGGCTTTCGCCGCGAAACCGTCCCCTCCCAACGCGAACGACGTCGCCGAAAATCGCGCAGACGAGAACGCCGGAACGACGACGAAAAGGACCAAACCGCCACATTGCCCACTCCCGACAGCAAAACTTGACTCCTATATCTGATCGTTTTGGCAATAAACACTGCTAAAGACGTGGTATTTTACTTTTCTTTGGTTCTGTTGATATTCGATGTAACTTTAATGTCATAGGCAGGGCCAGGCGCTGAAGAGGGAGGAGGAGGGGGGGGAGGGTGGAGGCTACATGTGCCAATTTTTTCGAACCCCAGACCAAAAGTCTCGGCCCTGGTCATAGTTAATGTTGATTTGAAAGAGAAAAGGGCTAGGATACAACTAGGTCTAGTAAGGCTAAGGTTAGTGCCAAGGCTAGGACTAGTGCTAAGATTAGGTCGGTTAGGACTGAAGCTTAGGCTAGAGTTTAGGTCAGGTCTAGGAGTTAAGCTACGGCTGAAACACGAAATGGCAAGAACTTTGTTTACAAAACACAAAATGGCAAGAACTTTCTTTACAAAACTAAAAATGGCAAGAACTTTCTTTACAAAACAAAAAATGGCAAGAACTTTCTTTACAAAATACTAAATGGAAAGAACTTTGTTTACAAATTACAAAGTGGCAAGAACTTTCTTTACAAAACAAAAAATAGCAATAACTTTCTTTACAAAACTAAAAATGGCAAGAACTTTCTTTACAAAACACAAAATGGCAAGAACTTTCTTTACAAAACAAAAAATGGCAATAACTTTCTTTACAAAACTAAAAATGGCAAGAACTTCCTTTACAAACTACAAAAAATGGCAATAACTTTCTTTACAAAATACTAAATGGAAAGAACTTTGTTTACAAATTACAAAGTGGCAAGAACTTTCTCTACAAACTTTTTTTAGGCTTTTGAGCTTTTGTAAGCAGGCTTATTTTTATAAATTCGATTCAGAATCGTAGTTTATTTTGCTAAAAGCAGGTCTTTTTCGTATTTTACCTAAAAAAGCCAATGTTTTACGGTTTACTTTTTGCCTTTCCTTTCGAGCCGACATACATCGCTGTAGTGACATAACCATGCGCTTACTTTTTATACCGAAGCGGCGATTGTAAAGACTCTTAAAGAAAAGACTTCAGCCTCTGTTTCTCTTTGGATTTAGTATGCCATAAGGTAAACTAAAGAATGTCGTATACAACGAAATGACATTTCAAGTAATATACACAAAAAATTTTCTTATATGCCAAGTTTTAAAGTTTTTGATTTATTTCAATTTTCTGTTAACTTACCATCTTGTTGCCTTGTATAATATCTTCTTCTTGTATTCAAAAATGATTTTCAACCTTGGTGAATTCATGCGCTCAAGCAACTGCCAACTTCCACTATTTGGGTAAGTTAGCCTATAAATTCTTAAAAACTTTACATTGTAAAGGAAGTTTTTGCTATTTTTTGTTTTGTAAAGAAAGTTTTTGCTATTTTTAAAGAAAGTTCTTGCCATTTTGTGTTTTGTAAAGAAAGTTCTTGCCATTTTGTATTTTGTAAAGAAAGTTCTTGCCATTTTGTGTTTTGTAAAGAAAGTTCTTGCCATTTTCTTAATAATTTGAATTAGGCGGATCATTTGCAAACTTGGAGGGGTAGTTGAGACTTGGGGAGAATGTTAATCATAGCAGTAACTTTTTTTACAATTAAAAAAGCAAAAATAACAATAACTATCGTTACAAACTAAAAAATAGCAAAAACTTACTTTACAAAACAAAAATGGCAATAACTTTGTTTACAAATTAAAAAAAGACAAGAACTTTCTTTAAAAACTACAAAATAGCAAGAACTTTCTTTACAGTACAAACAAATGGCTAGAACTTTCTTTACAAGTTAAAAACGGCAACGACTTTGTTTACAAATTAAAAAAAGGCAAAAACTTTCTTTACGAGGCAAAAGATGACAACAACTTTGCTTACAAAGTAAAATACAGCAAGAACTTACTTTACAAAACAAAAATATCAAACAACTACGCTACAAAACAACAAACAAAATTTTACAGTGACGTTGGATGCTATGTCTACAACATTACTGTTATGGTATTGCTGATCCTTCTGTTCGCCACCGTTTTTTTCATTGTGACATTTGGAACATCTGCAATAATAGCGTATGTCCTCATCAAATGTATGAATTTGTATATTAGGCACCAAAAAAGGGGACGAATTCACATCGTGCCAAACCCAATCCAGCCAACCTACATCGTTATTCGGACGTAGCTACGTATAATAGTAATTGTTATCATCATAGATGTGTTAATTATGTTTTGATGTTATTGTAGATTGTTGAAGATTTTTAATGGTAAATTTGTATTGACCATTTGATTGAGTGTTTTTTAAAATTTTTGATGATTTTTTGATTAAGAGCGTTAGAAAAATAGTCTAGACTATATTTTCCCAACAAGCCCAGGTTTCTTTGGTTAAAACATAAGAGGTTTAACTTATAACATTTTCGATTACTTTCTATTTACATTACAGTAACTAACTGTGGATCGTAAAATATTTTATTCGGGCTTAGTAGGCTTAGGCTTAGGCTTATTCTTAGGCTTAGGCTTAGGCTTTGGCTTAGGCTTAGGCTTTGGCTTAGGCTTAGGCTTAGGCTTAGGCTCAGGCTTAGGCTTAGGCTTAGGTTTAGGCTTAGGCTTAGGCTTAGACTTAGGCTTAGGCTTAGGCTTAGGCTTATTCTTAGCCTTAGGCTTAGGCTTAGGCTTAGGCTTAGGCTTAGGCTTAGTAAGCTTACGTTTAGTAAGGCTTAGCAAAACTTCAGCTAAGGCTTAGGGTTAGTCGCTTGGCTTTAGTCGCAGAGGCTTTGTCACTTAGCTATCGCTGCGTCTATTTCGAAATTTTATATTTTCGTACTTGAAATCGCTTTTATAATTATTAGATTCACCCATTGGTATAATTCCTACGGTACATTCCTTCTCTCTGATCTTTGTTTTTCGCAATTTTTATCAAAACATTTTTCTCCTAAGAACGTTAAAATGATGTAGCTGAAGCAACACTGTGCCCTCAAAATGACGATGTAATCACGATGTAAAACAAAGAACGGTTATTGCTGTAAATCAAAGAACCGTTCTTCAGTGAGTTCTTTGATTTGACAAGGTTTTAAGGGTACAGGCGTAAACACAAAATTGAGATTGAGGTCGCGACGTATTCGGAGTCTGAAAAACAAACGCCTTAACACTGTTAACGTGATTAGTAGTGTTTGAAGATTGTCGCTGACGTCCGTAGCTTGTGCGTTGAAGACTGACGCACGTGTAGCTGGGAGAATGATTACAAAATAGAAGTGAACTTAGTTTGTCAAAATACAAAGTAGGTACAGTAAAAGTAGTTTCAGTTGTTGGTGATTGATTGTTTTGTAAAAGGAGGAGTGTTTAGCTTACTGCAGCCTTTAAATCAATAAACCTATAGCTTACTGTAAAGAACATACTGTAAGCTTTGAAAAAACAAGTATTCAGTTTTTTGTAGGCACTAAATGGCCCTATTACAAAGTGCGCTAAAAGTTCTGTTACAAAGATTTCCCGGTTGTTTTCGAGTAACAGAACTTTTGGTGCATCAAATATTTTAGCTTATTGTAGCTTTAAAACTAAGCCTACCAATAAAAGCTTGTTAAAAATAGTTTGGAGAGCTTAATCCAAAACTTGTAAACATGTATTTTATAGTTTAAAAAATCAAAAAAAGTTTGCAAATAACTTACTTCTTCACAAAAATCGCCTTGTCTGTTTGACTACAATTCTAATTTGTTTTGTATTGAAGAAGTACACTGTAAGGCAATTAAGGCATGTTAAGGCAAAGAATTTGGTTAGGCTAAGCCTAAGAGTATGGCATAGTTTGGGGCTAAGTCTAAGAATAAGACGGGTTTAAGCAAAGGCTTAGCATTAGGCTTAGACTGAAACTTACGCTAGGGCTTAGGCTAGAGCTAAAGCTAGAGCTAGAGCTAAGCTAGAGCTAGAGCTAGAGCTAGAGCTAGAGCTAAAGCTAGAGCTAGAGCTAGAGCTAGAGCTAGAGCTAGAGCTAGAGCTAGAGCTAGAGCTAGAGCTAGAACTAGGGCTAGGGCTAGAGCTAGAACTAAAGCTAGAGCTAAAGCTAGAGCTAGAGCTAGATCTAGATCTAGAGCTAGAGCTAAAGCTAGAGCTAGAGCTAAGCTAGAGCTAGAGCTAGAGCTAGAGCTAGAGCTAAAGCTAGAGCTAGAGCTAGAGCTAGAGCTAGAGCTAGAGCTAGAGCTAGAGCTAGAGCTAGAGCTAGAACTAGGGCTAGGGCTAGAGCTAGAACTAAAGCTAGAGCTAAAGCTAGAGCTAGAGCTAGATCTAGATCTAGAGCTAGAGCTAAAGCTAGAGCTAGAGCTAGAGCTAGAGCTAGAACTAGAACTAGGGCTAGAGCTAGAGCTAGGGCTAGAGCTAGAACTAAAGCTAGAGCTAGAGCTAGAGCTAGAGCTAGAGCTAGAGCTAGAGCTAGAACTAGGGCTAGGGCTAGAGCTAGAACTAAAGCTAGAGCTAAAGCTAGAGCTAGAGCTAGATCTAGATCTAGAGCTAGAGCTAAAGCTAGAGCTAGAGCTAGAGCTAGAGCTAGAGCTAGAGCTAGAGCTAGAGCTAGAACTAGAACTAGGGCTAGAGCTAAAGCTAGAGCTAGAGCTAGGTCTTCAGCTAACAATAAGGATCGAGTTAGGGCTTGAACTTGAGCTAGGCTTTGGGTTCTGGACTAGTGCTCTGGGCTAGTGTAAAAGCCATGAATAAGGTTTGGGGGGTTAATTAGAACTTTTTGAACCTTTAAAACTTAAAAATCAATTATCATTGTACTACAACTTAAATTTCTGTTACTTAATCTCTGTGTGACACATTTTTCTCTCAAAAATATTTTGTTGTAAAGTGCACATTAACACTGAAATAACAAAAAATATGTTATTCATTAGTGTGGCGCACGTCGTTCCATTAGCGTTCTTCGTTGAAGTTTTCCCCTTAGTTGTCGGAGGGTCTTTTTCCTAGTTGTTGAAGGCTTTTTCTCTTGTCGTTAGTCGTTGAAGTTTGTTCCTTTTTCAGATGTACTTGCACAAAGGGGCGTGAATAAGTTTGACCAATGTTTATATAATTCAAAAATCACCGTAATTGGATTGAAGGGCTTTTGGTGGTATATAAAAGGTTAAGGTAAAATTGTCGGGCAGGCAAAATTTGAGGATAGGCAGGGTTAAGGTTTGTAGGGTCTGACTGGGTAACACGATGCTTTTTAGATGTCATACTGTACATTTTGTGAACTAAGACTATAGAATTTAAAAGGTAAAAAAATATGGCTTCATGATAGGGGCGGTGCTATCAAAATATTAAAATTTATTTTTTCTTTAAATTTAAGTCATCATTTTTAAAATTACCTCAAATTTCAAAATTTTACCCCCATTTTCTCCCTTTAACCTTAACTTGGATGACGAAGAGGTGGGGTAAAGTAAACAAGGTTTTTCTGATGTCGTTGACAAAGTTTTGATTAAATTAACGGTTCTCTGATTTGGGAGTCCATTTGTTCAAATGTTAAGAGGATTTACCGCCGTTCGACCGCGGTTCTTCGTCAATTTGTAGTTGAAGAACTTTGGGTTGCGGTGAACGGTGGGTACTTTGGTTGTGTTGTAGGAAACGGTGGGTAAAAGTAGGTAATAGTAGGCTTGTAAAGAGTTTAAAAGGAGACCCTGGTGCCTTGAATCGCTTCCCATGGGACATTCTTTGCACCCTATGGGGCTTGCTATCCACCTTATGGGACTGGTTTTGCCCCCATGGAGTTTCCGTTGCACCTCATGGGGCTTGCTTTGAACCCCATGAGATTTGCTTTGATCCCTTGGAGGCTTGTTTGGCGCCCTTATGGGCTTGCTTTGGACCTCATGGGGCTTGCTTTGAACCCCATGAGGTTTGCTTTGATCCCTTGGATGCTTGTTTGGCGCCCTTATCGGCTTGCTTTGGACCTTATGGGGCTTACTTTGGGACCCGTATGAGCTTGATGGGGGTTCTTGGGAGGCTTCATTTAGTCCTATGGGGGCTTGCTTTAAGGCCCCCGGGAGCTTGATTGGGGTCCCTGGCGGCTGGCTTTAAACCCTTTGAGCCTTGCTTTAGGCCCCTGAAGGCTTGATGTAGGTCCTTGGGGGCTTGCTTGACTTTCTTGGGGGCTTGCTTTAGTATCGTAAAGGCTTGATTTGGGCTCCTGGGGACAAAGTTTTAAGTACACTGTGTGGTGTTGGCCGTGAATTCACAAATTGTTTGTTATAACAAGTTTTTGTTACAATATTTCATTATAGCGGCGTGTCACTGTATTTGACAATAGTTTTACCATTAGTATTAACAAACCCATTTTCAGCACTCTCTACCTTCTCCTTACCCCAACTTACTGCGCAGTAAATATGACCGCTCCAGCCCTGAACATGACCTGGTTTGTGCGCTCCGTGACCCGCTCCCTAATGTTGCAGAGCGGCAAACGCATGCGGAAGTACGCCAATCAACAAGGCGAAAGCTTCGATGATGACTCGATGGACGCGATTGATAGCAAGATCATCGGGGAATACGGTATTGAGACCAAAGGAATCTACTAAACGCAACGTGGAGGTATGGGTGGTGTGATGGTGGTTCATGGGTGGATTTGAAGTTATGGTTGAGTAGTTTGTAGGACGACAGAACGACAGGTCACATTGGATAAAGAAAATGATAAACTTATTGTTAGATGGATATATATGTATATATCAATGGAATACGAAGCTTTACTTCAGCGTACTAATATGTCTACAGCTTACTGGAAGAACAAGTTAATGTGAAATGCATTAATCATATCCCCAGTATCTTATTATCTATCTTACAATGCAATCGTAATCAAACTGTCAGAAAATCTATCCAAACTTCTACACTTTAAACTACTGGGATGTTCGACTACCGTACTACAGTAATAGCATGTATTGTTAACTCTTCTTTAATCTCTACAGCTTGAACTACTATAATGTTCTGTATCGTTACCTTCACTGTACCAACCGCTACTTCTTGACCTACACTCCAAAATCAACCCACACCCACCATCAACACCACACCAACCCCACCCAATACCAACATATATATATATCCTAAATGGTCGACCAAATCTCACAGTAATCCTCTACAAAAATCTCAACATATTTGTACATACCATCACTGAACATTGACCTGACGCGCGGTCAAACCAAGTGAATCGTGTCTTCAAAGTTCTCGCAACAATTGAATACAACCGCAACGATTGTACGTTTATGTTGCTGTAATGCATATTATGACTATATATAATTGTTACTCTAGTTGTTAATAAATTGTGCGCACAATATTTTATACTTGGATATTTATTTTAAATGCTTGTTTTATATATACATATTATTATTATAGTTAATTTATAAGTACTGTAGTGAGCTAATAGGTTATTTAAAGCAAAAAAGTGGGGAGAAAAAGTGTAAGGTAAGGTGAGTTACGTAATGACAAGAGTGTTGCTAGAATAAAGCTAGGGTAACACTAGTGTATAACTATGGTACGACTGAGGTACGAATAATGTAAAACAAGAATACGGTAGGTAAAGGTAGAACAGAGTTAGGCGGAGCAGAATAGGTTAGAATAGGGTAACGTTAAGTAGGGTAGGGCAGGGTAGGGTAGGGTAGGGTAGGATAGGGTAGGGTATGGTAGGGTAGGGTAGGGTAGGGTAGGGTAGGGTAGGGTATGGAAGGGTAGGGTAGAGTAGAGTAGGGTAGGGTAGGGTAGGGTAGGGTAGGGTAGGGTAGGATAGGATAGGGTAGGGTAGGGTAGGGTAGGGTAGGGTAGGGTAGGGTAGGGTAGGGTAGGGTAGGGTAGGGTAGGGTAGGGTAGGGTAGGGTAGGGTAGGGTAGGGTAGGGTAGGGTAGGGTAGGGTAGGGTAGGGTAGGGTAGGGTAGGGTAGGGTAGGGTAGGGTAGGGTAGGGTAGGGTAGGGTAGGGTAGGGTAGGGTAGGGTAGGGTAGGGTAGGGTAGGGTAGGGTAGGGTAGGGTAGGGTAGGGTAGGGTAGGGTAGGGTAGGGTAGGTTAAGGGCATGACTGAGTAGCACTGATGCTGAGACCTTTTGCAGTAAAACTTGGTTTTATAACCAGTCGAATGAGCTTTTTTCGATAAGGAGTGATAAAATACATCATGGTGATAAAGTCCACACATCCATGTAGCTCCATGAATGATAAACAAACTGATGTTATGGTTGTTCCTTCTTGCCATTGATAATAATATGTAAAGTATATCGTGGCTGTTGGGACTAGCAAAAATATGTAGCCTACGAGTAGTTGGACACTTATTGCCTAAAGAGGATTAATTTTTTTAAAAATTTAATGCATTTTCAAACTTGTTTTTAAAAATGGCAAAAAGCTGTTACTCAGCACAGCCAATAGGACCATTTCACAAAAACTCACTCTAAACAGTACCAAGTGCATTTGAGCGGTACTTTTCATCATTTTAACATTGGTCTTGTTAGCCATGACACGTCTGAACATAATTATGTACAAGATATTACCAACTACAAAGAATGACACTAGGACAAAACCAGCAGTTAGAGCATAGTATTGGCTAAAACTGTTATTCTTGACACACACAAAACCAAAATCAGTAGAATTTGAAAGGTTTGTAATGTTCATAATTTGAAGATTTAGTTGATATTTGGATTCAGATTCTTCTAAAATTACAAAATGTGATACATGACAAGTCAAGCCAAGCCAAGGCAAGGCAAGACAAGGCAAGGTAAAGAAATGACGGGATAGAGAGAAAATTTCAAATTTAAGTTAAAAATGTACCTGGAAACCCGTAGGACATAATAGGCCACATGTAGGTAAAGTACAGTATTACTTGACCAACTATAATGATAACAACCGCCGTCCATCCTTCTTCTGCCAACTTACTTGGCCAGCCGTCAAATGCCTTAAAATCAAATTTTTTGAAATTTTTGGAAAAAAAAACCATTTTTACCATGTCAAATGTCTTAAAATAGCCTAAAAACTCATTTTGACACATTTTAAAAGTGGAATTTGAGTGGAAGATTTGTAATGTATTTTGCACTGAAAATCTTCCACTCAACTTCCACTTTCAAAAAAATTTGTAAATATAAGAAAATATGACGAACAAGGCTTTTAGCATTCTAAAATTAAAACTTACTATTAAATACCGATAAAACAAGCTCCAAACAACAGCAATTTCGACGTTAACAACCAAAATATGGCTCAAAATAAGTATGAACTTGGTAACGTTATAGTTATGTAGCCAGCTGCTTCTCAACACTATACACGAAGCTGGGAAGGCAAATTCAATATTTGCAAATTGTAGCATCCAATTCAAAGTGAAGCTCCATATGACATTGTTTATTATTAAAAATCTGTAGCGTTTCATATTTTTTGACTCAAATATGGCTAGGTATAGCACTATTGGAGCACATATTGATTCTAGTACTGTTGATATGGGTAAGATGTAGGTTGTTAGATAGGCTAGAGTGTTGGTGAACATTGTGCAAGTTATTGAAATTCAGTACAATTTTTTGTACTATTATAGTACGATGAGTACGTGCTATGTACTAGTACATATAAAAGACTGTAACGTTTAGCACAAACCTTTACAGTATAAGATATTGAGATTCAATATGATTTTTGTACTACTATAATACCATGAGTACGTGCTATAAATTAGTAGTTATAACGTAAGGAAGCCTTTTGCACAAGCCACCGAATAGCAAATTACTGCACAAAAATATTATTTAGTATGCTATTTTTAAAAACCAACAAGCTCACTGACTATCATAACATTACCAAACTTGTCATTAAGACAGCTATTAACAATTACGTTTGCTTGATTACTAAAATTAAATTTTAATAAAACAGTAGCTACAAATTACATAGAGAACACGACAGGATATTCAATTGTACATATTCAAAAACATAACAACAATATTCGTCAAACAGCTGTGAATAAATATTATAGTACGGTGGAATTGTTGAATTTACTAAAAACTAATTTAAAATATTTTTCACAGTATTAAGCTTGCATAAGCTACATCAAATGAAATGGAGGTTGTTAAGTTCAACGTGTTATGCCTTGCAAGCCGTAGCCCGAATCTTAGCCTTAGCTCAAAGTTTTAGCCCGGATTCCTAGCTCAAAGCCCTAGTCCAAAGCCCCAACCCGGAACCCCTAGCCTAGCCCAGAGTCCTAGCCCAGAGACCTAGCTTAAGCTCTAACTCAAGTTCTAGCCGCAGAAAATTTAACAGTTTATTAAATCTTCACTATCATCAATCATAGGGTTGAAATTCATTATTAATATTTGGGTCAAATTGTAAATTTTAGATCAACGCGTTCCATTTTGCCACCAATTGTCAAATGGCGGTGGGTCCCAACTGACCATCGGTTTGCCCTCGCCAGTAGCGGGGTAATTTCCTCCGAGATACACAAAATTTCTAGCTTGTCGAATTTTTACAGCGCCTTCATTAGTTAGAGCTGCTGACAACACGACCGATAGGACAGCAAATACTGAGAGAAATAAGACTTTGGAAAACATTTAGATATATGTTTTTAGCCCAAGTTAGCTTACACATGTTTATTAGTTCCAACCTCGCAATTTAAACAACGAAAGATTACATGACCTACCACCAATCGTTAAACTTTGGTTTTGGGTCCCAGCTTTGCATTGGTTGGTCCCAATCTCCAGTAGGATAATTTACTTTTTCAGCATTCCTTGGGGAATCCCAATCTCCATCAGCTTGTCGTACCAATCTCGCAGCGCCTTCATAAGTAGGAGCCGCTGTTAATGCAACTGATAGAATACTCAAAAGTGCGAACACCAAAAGTTTAGAAAACATTTCAACTTTTGTTAAATTGAGTGTAATATGAAAATGATGAAAAATGGAAATTTGATTAATATAAACTTTTGGATTGTTTGTAATAGGGATAATTCTAGAACTAGGTGTGCAAACAAAGCATAATTTAAAAAATTATATTGTCTTATGTTCTACGTTTGTATCGATCTATTGACGTCAAAGTCTGGAATGAGACTAACGATCGTAAGCTTTTTAATTTTTAACTTTTATAAATATTTTGGTACAAATGATGACAAATAAAACACAAATCAATAAAAAATGCAACACAAAGAAAATTACCTAACTATAATAATTTATTACTTCATTTATAATATCTAAACTTAATGGACGATTTATCTACCACCAGTCGTTAAACTGCGGTTGAGGGTCCCATGTGTGCACTGCTTGGTCCCAAGTAGGAAAATGTACGTTTCCACTGTTCCAAAAGAAGGAATCCCAATCTTCATTAGTTTGTCTTATAACTTTTGACGCATCTGCATAAGTAGAAGTTGCAGTCAAGGAAAGCGATAGAATAACCACAATTACCCAACAGTAAGATAACATTCAACTGAGGACGACCCCGACTGCCAATCTGTTTTCTATTGGCGACTTATGCTAGTTATATCACCAAAATATACCAATATATATGGCAGTAATTTCTGTTAAAATAAGCGTAACTACACAATTAGGTGTTCAAACAAATTATAATTAAAAAAGCTTGTCGGTCTTTAACGTTTACACATATTCAATATTGATACGAATGGTCAAAAATGAAGTACGTTTTCATTGAACCTTCAGCAAAAAAACTATGTAATATACTCTTAGTAAATCACGTTAAGGTAGAGTAGGGTATGTATGTCACAGGCTTTTAAAAAGACGACAAAAATCCTTTCTGCCGTCCCTCCGCACACAATCTAACCTCATAAAATTACTTTTTTTAAGAATTTATTTAAATAAAAATCTGCAATATTAACGCCACTGCCTGTTATTTCCATTAGCGTCAAATGCTCTTCGAAATATCTCCAGCTGTTGTTCAAGATTCCCAGCAATATATGGCTGTGTAGCGACTTTAGCACTATGGATTCTTAAAAGTTCTAAGAACTTTTTACGATACGGAGTAATAAAGTAAATCATGGTGATAAAGTCTAACCATCCGTGGATTTCCATCAGCATTATGCAGATACTACATATTGTAGTACCTTCGGTCCATTCGGCGTATAAGGAATACTGTATTAGACATGATGGTATCGCTAGGAGCAAACCGCCTAATACTAATTGAACTGTGAACGCCTAAAAAGAACGTTAATGAATGGATATATGTGCTTGTATATAAGTAAAATAATAATGTCATTTTATCTATACAGAATGACTTTTGACCAAAAGAAATTCCGGAACGTATTTTACCTTAAAAAGTATGAGCTGTAACTTCAATGTGTTTTTCAGAACACCTTTAAGTTTCATAACAATCACCCGGTAGAACAACATAAAGTACAATACGGCCATACAACCCATAAAAAGAACGATTAATAAACAGCCAATGAATAAAAAGTTTTTAAATTCTTGTGTACTTTCACAACACATAAACGATACAGTAGTGTTTTTTAGGTAAGGTAGTTGAGATAGAAAAACTCTTTCTTCTTCTTGCTTGTCTAAAACTGTATATTGGAGGTAAGTTATATATAAGGGTAATGTAAGGAATATAGTGGACAAGTTATGGCATACTGTAGCCCAAAGCTTACTTCAAGATAAAAGGTAAAACAAGATAAATTAGTTTAGCGTAGGTCAGGGCAGGACAGAGCAAAAGTACACTATGAAAAACTAAGAATACTTACCTTGAATGGTATAAAAAATAATTGGAATCATGTACATTAATATTAACAAAAATTCAATAGTTAAAATGACAGTTAGTGTAATTTTTAGATTATCAGCTAAGTCTGCTGGCCAGTCCGGGAAAGCCTAAAAATAATTGTTCGTCTTTAATTAACTTAATTTTCAAATTTGAAAACTTTTTATAATTCTTTCCCATTTTTTATCGAAGCTATTTTGAAGTCCGCGCCTATAATTTTAACTTTAATTTTAAAATCTTAAGTAGTAATTAAAAGTACCTTTAAATACCTATAACCCAAGCACCAAGCCACAGCCAACTGTGTATTGACAGTGGCAAATGCGGCTAAAATAAAAGCCGGTCGAACTAATTGTTTTTCATAAATCCAATGCCTTCTTGATATAACACAAGTTGCTGGTGACATAGGCAACGGTTCTACTATCAGTAAAATCACATTTAAAAACCAATTCCAAAACACATTATTGGCAATATAATACTTGTACTGCTTCATCTTTGGTGAATGATATAGGACCAAGTATAATATGAAAGGTGTAAAGACAGTTTCAATACTGGCTGATGTGATAGATACGTAGACTGATAAAGTTGATAAATGATTTGTGTAGATCATTTTTGATTGTAAAGTAATTTTTTGTGGTTTTTACCATAAATAAAGTTAAAAATTGGCAAAAGTACAAGTAGTCAAGGTAAATGTTTAAAACCAAACCTACAAAGGGTGACAATTCACCTGTAGAGTAATTGTAACCTTATAAATAATACAACGCATTGTTTCTTTATATACTTATCAGTATATTAACAATCCTGTTTTTTTAGTATTGTTATCAGAAATGGAACTCACAAGGAAGGTACCCGACCTGCAACGCTCAGAGTTCGTTAAATTTTTTTTAAATTAAATAAAATTGAAAGATCATGTAAATGTAGTATCTTATGCAAAATTCTAAGTCGCGCGCGCTTTTTAGCCAATCTCGAGAAAATCGAGACCAAAAAATCGCGTTTTGAATTTCCCGCCAAATTGGCGTAGTGTTTCAAGCTTATATATAATATAACTTTGTCATTTTTTGACTTTTAACTATTTTTCTTTGATATTATGATAGAAAAGCTTCAAATGAACCTGCCATATTAAATTTGTGAGCCTACCTTATCTGGAACATCAAAAAAAGTGCTTGCAACACAATGCCAAATTTGCCAAATTGGCGAAAAATTTGAATATATTAATCTTAAACTCAAAAGCGCAAGCTAAAACTTTTTTGTATGTGCTACTGGTACTACACTACAAAGAATCCGTATGAAAATTTTGAGCTAATTCTTAGAGTTGCGGGTTGGATACCTTTGTTAGTTTTATCGTATAACTTGACACCAAATTGGTTTTTGTCAAAATTTCTTTGTAAAAACTACTTCTTATGGTTATTATAAGACAGTCTTTGTATATTTTTAAAATACGTCTTTCTATTTCCACCAAAACAATACTAAAATTCCAAGTTTATATGCACAAACTTAATAATAACACGTAATAACACAATAAAATTAGCTACAGGTACAATTCTTTGAGCAGTCGCGGTAATAACAATGCAGAAATTCGTTGTAAATGATAAAAAAACCGATTATTATATTACAATTATTAATTATTGTCTTGAATTACTCTTATCTTGAAGTGTTTGAGTACAACTGAATGTGTCCGTAGAGAAAGCAGTAAGGGAAGAGAGGAGGGGAGAGACGAGCGGGGGACCTGTTTGGCGTTTTGATTTGTTACATTTGTTGAAAGTTAAAAGTACGATCATTTTCTTCCGAGATATAGTTGATGTTATTGTGGTATCTTACAATTTTTTAGATGATTTTAGATTTTTAGGTAACATTTTAGGTAATAAATTTTGGTAATTCTCGTATTTTACAATTTATAAAAGTATTTTGTACCTTAACAACAGCAAAATGTTATTTTCCTGCTTTATATTGAGATAAAATACCCAAAAATTATCAAAGCGACAAGTTATACGATGAATCATGTTTAATATAAACATGTTTCTTCGTATAACTTGTCTACTAATCAAAATTTTTGGGTAAAAAACTACACTCCAATAAAGGTTTGCCCCAAAAACAGATTTTTTATCCCAAAATCCCAAAAAAATTGTCATATCGACATGTTATACGATCAAACATGTCTAACACGTTTCATCGTATAACTTGTCACCAACCAAAAATTTTCGTAAAATACCACAAGAACACGAAAAATATAGATAATATATACAACACTGAGTTGGAACCGTCGAGATATTGCCCGTATTTCAGTTCGAAACAACAATAAAAACGTTCAGAGGTTCAAAATAAGGCGTGTAACATGAGTTGGCTCGAATGGCATGGTAAAACTACGATGGTGATAGTGATCAACAACAAAATTTTTACTTTTTGTAGTAATACTTGACAATTTTAGCTATAAAATGTCATATTTTGGCCAAAAGTAACGCTTTAAAGAAATTAGAGACATGTTATACGATGAAACATGTCCAAACAAGTTATCGTATAAAATGTCGCTAAGATCAAAAAGTGATATCTTTTGTCCCATATGTCAATATATGACATAATTTTTCATACGACATCACTTAAAATTCAAAAAAAATTTTTTTTCGTATAAATTGCCACTTCTTCTCGTATATTCATCATGCCAAACAAAAGTTAAGAAAAAATGCACCGGATTCAGATAAATTCGTAACAAAACCCGTATTTTTGATAAACCAAAATTTACATTTTTTTATTTCTGTCCTAGCCCATTCGGGCCGCGATTCAGAAGTTGTAGTAGCATAGCCTGCATATCTGGTGTCGCGCCCTGCATTCCAGCCATATTCGGCTGACTAGCCGGTATTCCCGCCGCAATTTGCGCGCCCAAGCCCGGAATACCACCTAGACCGGCCATCTGAGTCAGACCGGCCAAAGGCCCACCAGATGAGGAGGTTCGAGGCGTGGGCGCGGGCTGCGGCGTGGGTTGGGCGTTTGAGGTAGGTCGTTGAGGTGTTTGTTGGGCCAGAAGCGCGGCCATTTGCGGATTCAACCCGGCGGGCATAGATTGTTGTTGTGCTCGCATTAAGGCTTCCAATTGTTGAGCATTGATCTGATTACTTTGTGAAGCCGATGGCATCGCCGAAGCCATTGAAGCCAGTGGATTCTGTTGAAGCGCGTGAGCGTTGAGCATGTTCTGTTGTAGTTGGTAGCTCAGCAGCATTTGGGGATTCATTCCGGCTAAAAATAAAAATTTTAGAATTGAAATACCTCAAAAATTTGAGAAAATTTATATTATCCATGGCAAGTTTGATCATAAACCTAATTTTAAGTTAAAAAATTAATTTATATAAATAATAGATGCTTTTTTCTGTTTTTATTTTGATACCAATTCTTCATTTTTACGTTTTTACTACATCAAAAATGTAAATTTACTAAAAATCGGCCGTAAAAAATATTTCCGCAGCCTGCAGGCCTTTTATTCATCTGCGCCCACCCTTGCCTTTGGAAAAATTATTTGTTTTTTCTTGAATTCCTCCTTTTCTCTTCAATTACCTCTTTTTATCAACTTTTTTTGCACTGAAAAATCAAGAAACCCCATCTTACCCATGATCAACTGATTCATCAGCTCTTGTTGTTGATTTTGCTGCTGTTGAGCAGCTTGTTGAGCCGCTTGTTGTTGTTGAAGCTGTCTTTCGCGTTGTTCACGCTCTCTTTGCTCCCGTTCGCGTTGTTCACGTTCCCTTTGCTCTCGCTCACGTTGTTCTTGACGTTTCCTTTCCTCCATCATCTGCTCCAGAAGCTGATTATTTCGCTGGTTTTGTTGTTGTTGTTGAAGCGCGGCTTGTTGTTGTTGAAGCTGTTGATAGAGTTGCGGATTCGCTGCTAATGCCGCCGCATTCATTGGAAGTCCCATTGAGATGGCTGGGTTCATGAGGCCGTAGTTTGGTTGGAAGCCTCCCAAACCGGGCCATGGACGTTGTTGTTGGAGATGATGGTGGGCGAGAATGAGATCGTTGAGATTTGGACCACGAGGACTTTGTAAATGGGCACCGGGCTGAAAAGAATCAATTATATTATGGTAAGTTATAAAGTTTTGTTATTTTATTCTGTTTTTAGGTTAAGTAGTATTTTTTTTGCAAATAGCTATCTACAACAATATTATTTTTGATGGTTTATAGCTAAATTGGGCCGCGAAGACTTTGTAAATGATCACTACACTTTAACGTGTTATCAACTTATGGTAAGTCATAAAACGTTAATTTTTCCTTCAATTTTTAGGTAACAAAAGGACTTTCTGCAATTATTTGTTAACTAAAATTCAAAGAATTATCAAGAACATACCCTAAACTGTTGTTGAAGCATTTCCGGTGGAGGCATTCGAGGGAAATGGACGATTCCTTGACCAGTTTGCATTATACCACCAGCTGTACCATTGTTGTTCATAATGCTCTGGATTGGGAGTGGAGGCATTCCCATTGAAGCTTGGGACGTTAAACCTACTAGACCTAAAACAAGGTATGTTTATTTTAAATTTTTTTGTGTGTTAGCGCAGCATAAAAAAAAGGATCTTTGGAAAGGATAACGTCAGAACATCATGGATAATATGGAAAAGTATTCTATTTTTGGCTCGGTTTTAATATAAACCTTTAGAAACCCTTTTAATAACTAAACCTAAAGTACAAGATAAATAACCGGTACTCACCAGGAATTCCATTAGCCAGACTTCCCATTTGCGGAACCAGTCCCCCAGCGTTATTGGCCAAAGAAGCTAGGCCAGCCAACGAATTTTGGCTAGTGGCCGCTTGTTGAGCCTTACTAGCTTCTTCAGCTTTTTGCTGTTGTTGTTTAGCACGAGCTTCAGCACGTTCTCGTCGTTTTCTTTGCCATTCTGTGTCTCCAAAAATTTCCAAAACGATTTGAGTTCGCGCGCAGGTGTCTTGACTTTGGTCCGTGATTTCGACTAGTCGTTTTATCCTCGTATGCTCTTGATTTGATATGTTCCACTCGTTTTTTGGCGGTTCCCAGACATAACCATCGTCTTCTATGTCTCTGGAAAGGGAATTTGGTTAATTGTTGGGCAAAGTTAGATAAATAAGAGGTATTATATTATGTTAGGTCTCTATTTTTGTGCGATTTTTGTGTTTTAATAGTATATTTATATTATCCATTGGTTGTCTTTTAGAAGTTTTACACGTTTGTTTATCTTTATTCGTCTTAAATACCCAAGATCTAGAATTTAGTTACCACTTTCTAATTTTTTGTCTATATTAACCTACCCATTTTCGTTAATATCAGGTTTGGGTTCAGGAGGTACGTCATTGTCTTTCATGTCTCTGGCGTTAGGTTCAGGTGGTGGGCTGAGGCGTTCACGCTTTTTCGATGTTCCGTTTTCTCCATCGTACGATGATGTTCGTGATGACGATGTTTCTCGAAGCTCTTGATCTCTCTTGGCTTCGTTTTCCAAGACCGGGGGCAAATCCGCGACGTCTTTATCTTTTTTCTCCTTGTTCTTGACGTCTTTGTCCTTTTTGCGTGGACTGTTGACGTTGGAGTGATTCTGGAATTTGAAAAATTTAGTTTTAAACTTAGATTTTTAGTTTTTGACATATTTTTTTTGGGAAATCGATTGTTTTATGAGTTTTTCGGCAGAAGCTGACTCTAAATTTATTTGATAGTATTGCCCATTGTTTTTTGCATTTAATAAGTCCAAACACATTGTCAATATCTGTAACCTTGGTATCAAAAAATCAACCTACATCTTCCCCACTACCAGTCGAAACGTTGTAGCTTCTTTTCCTAACTTTGACGCTTCTTTGTGGTGTTGTTCGTCTCTCTGGCTCAGAATCCACGTTCCTATTTAGCCTATCGTCACATGGGGTTCGATGTCGGTTAGCTCTGGTAGACCTTGTCCTAATACCACCATCTTCTCCATCTTCATTTGAGGTTGGGGTTTGTTCTCGGCATAAAGCGGCTGGGGGTCGTTCGGGTTTGTTCTCTACGTGTCTCATACTGCCGTACTTTTTGAAATGGTGCCGGCAGTTGGTGCACAAGAGTTGACGGTCGGTTCCGCTGTGGTGCCAATCTCGACTGTCTGAAAGGATTTAGGATTAATAGGGATGTTGTAGCAGGTAGCTGATGGTAATATAGATTTTTCTGGTTCTGATAATAAAAGATATACAACAATTCTAAAAAATTCTAAAAACAACGCAAGTCACGCTGTACAACACCAAAACTCCCGAAAATATGAAACTCGTATGGCCGAAAACGCAAAAGTAAATGGCCAAAGATGTATACTATTCAACCTTTAAACCTTCGGCACGCCAGTTTTTTTGTCGTATAAAAAGTAATTGAAAATTAACAGGAAACTGTGGTCGTGCTTGCGTTTTTTGTACTTTACACTGTGTGCTTGCGCTAGTGGTTTTACACTTTTGAGACGTTTTATACGGTCAAAGGTGTTTTGGGCAGAAATTTGAAGTGGTTTAAAAATGTACTTTTATCGGGGTTTTTAGGCTATTTTTTTGTAGTTTAGGCCTCAATTTTTACAAGAAGCTATATTTTTTTTGTTTCTGACTGCTTTGATCATGCTATACGATGAAACATGTATAATATCAAAAAACATGTTTCATCGTATAACATGCCACCTTAACAATAATTTTTAAAACATATTGTTAAAAAGCTTACCAGACGTGTAGCAATGATGACAAGCACGATGTAGCGCGCCTTCTTCGTCCTCACTCAACGAATCATAGTCGATGAGGTCGGATGGGGTGGGGGTGGCGGTGCCGTTGCGGGTGGTGCGTTTGGCGGGCGGATAAATCGACTTTCTAGTTGGATTCTTGGGTTTGAAAGCGTCGGTCTCTTTCTTCCAGTAGTAGTAATAATGAACTAGTTCGTCCTGAAATTAGTTTTTTTGTTAATTGGGTTGTATAAAGATTGGTATTATATTATCTATGAGCTGTATCGTCTAGAAAATGGCATTTTTTAAGAAAACTTGACCTTAACGGTGGTTCTAAAGTTATGCTTAAAACCCACAGTTAAAAGGATGCCTAAACTAGCCCTGAATGGGGGCTTATTAGGCCCGGCTAGACCGAAGCTGATTCAAAAGGAACCAGACACAAAAATTGGGCCCGGCCCCTTTACAGCTGTAGTCTAAACCAACTAAAATTCAAATCAAGCCAAACCCCGCCGAAAAATCGATATATTCCACGAATTTTTTTGTCGGTCGAAATCAACAAGCAAGAATATAATCGCGAAAATAAACGCGTTCCGAACTTTGTTTAAACATTCTTGCTCACGTGAACCCAACCTTCACGTGAACGGTGATAACGACGAACTTAGAGCTGCTCGCTAAGCTGCTTAAAAACGCTGGGATTCGTTTATGGAAATTTTGGAAGGGGAGGGGGTTGCGGGGTTTTCAGAACAATGTGGCGTTTTAATTACGAATTGTATAGAAAGAATGGCCATCGTTTTTTGGGAGACAAGTTATACGATAAAAAATTATTTTTTTGTCTTTTTGGGTCAAAGGTGGTATTATACGATTAACAAGGAAAGTACCCAACCGACAACTCTCAGAATTGGCTCAAAATTCTTATACGGATTCTTTGTAGTACCAGTAGCACATACAAAAAGTCTTAACTTGCAGTTTTAAGTTTTAAAATTAATATATTTAAATTTTCCGCCAATTCGGCAAATTTGGCATTGTGTTGCAAGCACTTTTTTTTTATAAGAGGCTTACAAATTTAAAATTGCAGGTTCATTTGAAGCTTTTCTATCGTTATATTAAAGAAAAATAGTTAAATTTCAAAAAATGGCGAAGTTAAAAGCTTGAAACACTATGCCAATTTGGCGGAAAATTCAAAACGCAATATTTTGATCTCGGTTTTTTCAAGTCTGGCCGCAAACCGCAACTTATTAATTTGCATAAAGTCTTACATTTACGTGACCTTTCAAGGAATTTGAACGAAACCAGAGCGTTGCAGGTCGGGTACCTTCCTTGTAAATAAAAAAAAACTCAGTAATATCAAACTTACTCTGGTAAAACTGGTTCCAAAGTATTCCTTGGAGATTTTGTGAAAGTTTTTGCCGTAATTCCGAAGACCTTTAACAAATTTCTTACAATCTTCGGCCGACATGAAGGCTTTGTTCTCGAGGTAGATCTTGTCCTCCTCCATCGCCTTCTTGATCGCTTCTCTCGCGTCGTAGTTGCAGCGATGTAACTGAAAATTTGGTTTTTAATGTAAAATAAGACTATTATTCCAGGGAAATCACTACATTTTCAAAATTTCAAAAAAAAAATAAAAATTACCCCGCCCAACAAAAAAGGGCCAAAAGGGTCAAAAAGTTGACTTACAACTTCACAAGCGTCATTTTGAGCACGATCGCCCAAAAAGGCCTTCTTTTCCAAATCGTTCATTTTGGGGCAATTCTCGGCCGCAGTTCGCCGGTAGTTCTTGACATTTTCTACAAATAGCTTTTCCGTCTCTTCTGATACTCGCCCTGGTTCGAATAGGAGTTGTTCACGGTCTTTTTCATGTGCTTTCACCTTATTCGTGTTGGTTGAGTAACATTTCGGGATTTCGGCCTAAAAATTTTGTTAGGATTGGGCAAAAATGTAAAATACGGTTTATTAAGAAATGACAACATAAAAGCCTTGTATAAGAAATCATACCTGATGGTTCTTGCCGATCCTGATTTCAGGATGAAACATGGCGATTCGACCGGTCTCTGAGGTATATGACATGCAATAGAAGAAGGTGTCTTTGCCTTGAATCCCGTTTTCTAGCATGAATTGTACACTTTTATCCAGTACTGTACATAGGCCCCTGAAAAAACAGTTTTGTGCTTTGTGTTACAGTAATAGTGTTACAGTAAACCTCCGGGCCTTACTTGTTGAAAACGATACTGGGCTATAGTAGTTATGTGTGGTACCTACTCATCTATAGCAGTTAGGTCTAGTACCCTTTGTGACAAAAATTCTCTTACTATTCTATGTTACAGTAACCTTATTTTCAAAAATTAAAGTTACAGTAGCCTAAAGCATCCAAGGTCCTAAAGCTAGAGTAATCTAGTACAAAACATACCGTAAGCACCCAATTTGAGCAGTGACCTGAGATTCAGAAGGGAATAGTTCCCTTGACTTCACGTCAAAATTGTTCTCCACAACTCCAGAATCCGCTCGTTCTGAATCGAGTAGTGATATAGCATCGGCGATCAGTTCATCGCGGCGGAAAAACTTTGTACAACGAACTTGTAGCGTGTTTTTTGAACTCGCTTTTTTCTGAAAATAGGGTGATTTTAGGCTTGGTAAACACAGGTTTAGACTCAGCTGTTGTAAGCATAGTAGGCTTAGTTTTTAGGATGCTTAAGTTAAATCTGTTAAAGCTTAATGAAGCTAGGCTTAGTAGGCTTAGGGTTAATAGATCTTGTCTTTAAGGCATGAGCTCACTCGGCTCAGGCTTGATAGAAGGCTTAGGCTTAGTGGGCTTGGTAAGTCTAGGCTTAGACTTAAAAACTTAAGCCTAGTATTAAAACAATAAAAGTACTAGGGTTGGGCGTAGAAGGCTTAGGCTTAGCAGGTTTTTCTTAGAGGCTTAGGCTTAGTAGGCTAAGACTTGGTAGTCTTAGGTTTTCGTCTTAGTAGGCTTAAAGTTAGTAGGCGTAGGCTTAGTAGTCTTAGGCTTAGTAGGCTTAGGCTTAGTACACCTAGCCTTAGAGGCTTAATCTTTAAGTTCCTTACCATTTTGAAAGAATCAATTTTGCCAATGACATAAGGACTAGAAGCATCCATCTCAAGATAAACGTAGTCCCCAATCCTGTAGAACGTCCTATTATCATCACTGAAACACTTGAAGTCCTCCTTATCTCTTGTGTAATATGCAAATCCAGTCTTCTGCTTCTTCGGATCGTACAAATTCGATGACAACGAGTCTGTCAGCCTCGATGTCACCGAATTATAGGCCGCTGACGTGTTATACTGAATCTTTTCGATATTCCACTCTCGGTTATTGTACTCTTCTGGATGTAGGTCGGAGTAATTGGTCGAAGAGGAGGGACGATCGGGGTCTGGCTTCTGAAAAATGAGGTTTTAGTGGTGGTGAAAAGATAAAATAGGCAAAAAGGTCTTTAAAAACCAAAAGCTTTCAAAGAAAAACCAAAGCGGGCTTTTTTGGAAATGGAAGTTGGATGGAAGATTTGTAATGCATTTTGCAGTGAAAATCTTCCACTGAACTGCCACTTTCAAAATGACTTAAAATTGCTTAAAAACAGATTTTTGACATATTTTAGAAATGGAATCTGAGTGGAAGATTTTTAGTGCAAAATACATTACAAATCTTCCACTCTACTTCTATTTTTTAAAAAGCTCCAACACGTTTTTTAGTTATAGAGTAGGTATTATAACGGCACAAACGCTCTTCCAAAGCCATAAAATGACCTTATAATGCCTTTTCCACTGTCCTAAAGTTCAAAATCTCATAAAAAATGACATTCCCTTACCAATATGAGCGGTGACTTCTTGGGCGAATCCGAATCGTACACTAGATCCGTTTCCCGATGCAGAGTTGGCGCCTTCTCATCGTCGCTGCCATTTTCGGTCTTCAACTCGGACTTGAGCTCCGGCTTCACCGGTCGAATGCCGGTCGATGTGGAGGGCAGGTCGTTGAGGCAGCCGTTTTGTGGCCGACACAAGTCAATCTTGGCCGACGACGCCATTCAACCGGTCGATTTGGAATTGCGAGGCAATGGTTACGGAAATGGGGGAAACGCCTGAAAATTGATAAATTTTTTAAAATTATTTGAATTTGAGATTTCGCGCCAAAAATTAAAATCACGGTAAAAATGAAAATTTAAGAAATAAGCCTACGGAGACTAGGAATAACATTTTTAAGCCTAAGCCTACTAAGCCTAAACCTACTAAGCCTAAGCGTACTAAGCGTAAGCCTACTAAGCCTAAGCCTACTAAGCCTACTAAGCTTAAATCTACTAAGCTTAAGCTAAGCCTACTATCCTTTCAAGGCATAAGCCTAAGTCTAATATGCATAAATATACTAAGCCTAAGCCCCCAAAGCCTAACCCTCTAAGCCTAAGTCTACTGTGACTACTGAACCTGAGCATAAGCCTACTAAGCCTAAACCTACTACGCCGAAGCCTAGTAAGTCTAAGCCTAAGTCAACTAAGCCTATGATTACTAAACGTAGATGCTAGCCGGCACCTACTAAGCCTAAAGCCAAATGTAAGGCGGCACCAACTAAGCCTAAACCCGCTAAGCCGATACCTTACTACTCCTAAGCCTAAAACTCTCAAGCATATCCAAACCCCCTTAGCTTTTCAAAGCCTAAATACCGCATACTATCCTCACCCCTAATCCTTTCAAAACCGAAAATCCAGAACCCATTTCCCTATTAAATTATTAAATCAAGCCTAATCCTCACAAACCAAACAAAACAACCAAAAGCATTAACAAAACAACGTCGCATCGGTTTGGTTGACAAAGTATAAACCGTAGAAATAAAAGTGAACTTTTCGCGAACCAAACAAAGAGACCAAAGTCTGACCGAAAGTACTTTATGCCTGTTATCAATTTGCGCCATATGTGACAAACGGTTGTCAGCAGCGCATCGATGAACAGTTTTATGTTTATGGAATTGATAAAGACATTGATGTCAAAAAAATTTTTAAAATTAAAAAAAGGTTTAATTAAAAATTGTAAATAAAGTTATGGCATCTTCCCCTAAACCACGAATTTTCCTGCTTTGGTTGAAACTTTTGGTTTTTTCTCAACTGTAAAAAAAAGTTATTGCCATTTTTATCATTTTCATATCAAAAACAGTCTATGCTCTGTATTATAACTAAAAATTATCAAATTTAAAAAAGGTTCCAAAAAGTTATGGCACTTTTCCCAAAACCACCGTTTTTCCGACTTTCCTCGAAACTTTTAGTGTTTTTAGAACTGTAAAGAAAGTTTTTGTCATTTTTATCATCGATCTATCAAAAACAGTCTATTTGCAGTATTATAGCTAAAAATGATCAAATTTCAAAAAGGGTCCAAAAAGTTATGGCATTTTTTCCAAAACCACCCTTTCTCCAACTTTGCTCAAAACTTTTAGCGTTTTTAGAACCGTAAAGAAAGTTTTTGACATTTTTAGCATTTTCATATCAAAAACAATCTTTTATCTGTATTGTGGCTGAAAATTATCAAATTTGAATAAGGGTCCAAAAAGTTATGGCAATTTTTTCTAAAACTACCAAAAAATAACCCCTTGACTCTCTTCTTAAGCCAAAAAAAGTAAAAATGGTACCACAGTAAAGTAACAAGAAGTTAAAATCTTTTTACTCGCACTTCCCTAACCCTCTCCTACCCTCTCTTCTTTTTTACACCCCTACCGGTCAGTCTAAAAAAAGCCCCACCTATTTAACAGTAAAGATTACGTTCCCCCAAAAGCCCCGAAAATCATCCACTTTCACCACTATAAACTTGCGTTTTTCCTTCATGTCTAACCGTTCCCGGTGCGCAATTCCACATCCATCACGATGATGAATGAACAATTTTCAATAAAGAAAAACTTGATTGCAATTTCAAATTCTCTTCGTTTTTCGAACAAAAATATGACATGATTTCCGCCAGATTTTTAAAATGCTTTTTTCCAATGTAAAAAGGTAAATAACGGCGGATGGGCTTAGTTTTTTGGTCATATTGAAGTTGTAAAGAAAGAAAAGTTATGGCAGTTTTCACAAAACACATTTTTATATGGCTTTGTTTTGAAAATTGTGTTATTTTGCAGCTGTAAAGAAAGTTTTTGCAATTTTTAATAAAAAACACATAAAAGCAGTCTAGCCTACATACTCTTGCCAAAAATAGAGAATATTGCAACACTGTCCAAAAAGTTATGACACTTTTCCCAAACCCTTCATTTTTTCTGGTTTAACATGAAACTTTTGGCTTTCTATGAGCTGTAAAGAAAGTTTTTGTCATTTTTATCATTGTCATATCAAAAACAGTCTTTAGTCTCTAATTTAGCCAAAAATTTCGAACTCTGCAAAACTTTCCAAAACGTTATGACACTTTTACCAAAAACTTCGTTCTTTTCTGGTTTAACATTAACATGAAACTTTTGGCTTTTAACCGGCTGTAAAGTAAGTTTTTGCAATTTTTATCATTGCCATATCAAAAATAGTCTTTAATCTCTACTTTAGCCAAAAATTTCAAAATTTGCGTCACGGTCCAAAAAGTTATGACATTTTTGCCAAACCCATCCCGCGGAACCCAAAATCACCCCAAAAAATCGTTGAAAATCTCTTAAAAACAGTGATAATAACCGGAACACGGCGACCAGTGATTAACCCAATAACTACATGCAATATTCGAAATTATATTGTAAAATGTACATACAATCCGTAGCGTGAAAGCTGAGGATTATCCGCTAATGCGCTTTATGGGAAGGAGGAGGGGGAAGAGAAGGTTAGCATGACATGTTTCTATGGCCAAAATATTGTATTAGGCTTAGTAGGCTTAGGCTTTTAGGCTTAAGCTTTTAGGCTTAGGCTTAGTAGGCTTAGGCTTAGTAGGCTTAGGCTTAGTAGGCTTAGACTTAGTAGGCTTAGGCTTAGTAGGCTTAGGCTTAGTAGGCTTAGGCTTAGTAGACTTAGGCTTAGTAGGCTTAGACTTAGTAGGCTTAGGCTTAGGCTTTTAGGCTTAAGCTTCTAGCTTAGGCTTCTAGGCTTAAGCTTCTAGGCTTAAGCTTCTAGGCTTAAGCTTCTAGGCTTAGGCTTAGACCACGTTTAGATGTAGTAGACTTAGGTTTGATAGTGATAAACTTAGCAGAAGTACAGTAATTTTCAATTTATTTCATGCTGACTTTAAACTTTCAAAGTTTGACCATCTTGGCACGAAGTCCCTTTTACAACATGACACCTTTACAGTTTTTAAAATTTACGTTGGTTTAACGTCACCAAGGCTAAAATTGTCATAACTTTTGTTACACTTTATGAAATGGCATGAACTTTGTTTACAAAATTTATTTTTCTATTACTAACGTAAGGACTACATAACCAAAACATTCAATTCGATCACATTATCACTACTGTTTATTAACCCACTGATATGGTTCTGACCGACATTGAGATGGCTTTAGTTCTACGTATCAATGAACTTTATCGCCGATCGATCATCTTTTGTCTCAAAATATTTGTCCGGCGGGCTTCTTCATACTTTTATATGTTTGTTTTGTTGCAGCTAGCTATGAAAAACCTACACCTACTAAGCCTAAACGTCTAAGCCTACAAATAGATCTACGCCTACAGCTACTAAGCCTACCCTTAAGAATAGAATCCAAAGCCTAAAAGCATAACCTGAAAAGCCTAAAGTCGCCAAGCCTAAACTTAAAAATATAAGCTTAAGCCTAGAAACTTACGACTTATACTAAGCCTAAAGCTACTGAATAAACCTACGAAATTTATGCCCACAGCCTTAAGCCTAGAAATATGCGCTTAAAAATAGAAGCCTAAGCATAGAAGGATAATACTTGAAGGGTAAGCCTAGAAGGCTAAACTTAAAAGCCTAAGCCTACTAAGCCTAACCCTAACAGCCTATTAAGCCTAAAATCCCGAGCCGCTCAAAAATACCCTTTACCATAATAGCAGCTACTGTTTTGCCCACCCCGCCGCATCGTTGAAACACGCGAATCAAAAAACAAAAAATTGGAAAGATTAGTGAAGCCATTAAGTGGAATGATAAGAGAAGCACGAGACGCACTCTGGGTTTAAATCGAAAACATTTTCAGGGTTTCCCCCACTCTCGACTATTACGTCGTTTTCGACAGTTTTAGGCTGGATTACCTGTGGGTTTGGGGGTCATATTGGGTGAGAAGTAACAAATTTTTAAAATTTTCAAAAATTTCAAAAAAATTTTTTTTCAAAATAAGATTATTGCTGTCTTATTTGATGCTACAAGCCATAATATTATGATTTTAAGTTCATATAGGGTTAAAAATGGCATTCTTCAAAAAATTTTCAAAAAATTTTTTTTTTTCAAAATGAGATTATTTTAACTTTATTTGATGCTAAATGCCATACTAATATGATTTTGAAGACATATAAGATTAAAAATTGCATTTTTCAAAAAAAATTGTAAAAAAAATTTTTTTTTTCAAAGGTTTTTATTTTAAAAAAATTGAAAAATACACTTCCTAAAACCATAAAATCAACTAAAAACCCCATAAAAACTAAGATAAACTCTTAAAAACTACAAAAATCTTCAAAAACATCCCTAAAACCAACAAAAACCCTCAAAAACATCCCCAAAACCCATAAAAATGTACAAAAATACCCCCAAACCCTTCTCAAAAAACCACCAAAATCCACCCAAAACCAGCCCTTGCCATGCCCCCGCCAAATCGAAACAAAAATTAGAGCCAAAAGAGCCAACAAGATGGGTGAGGAGATAATGCGCATTACATAACCCGGACGGTAAATCCAACGCGTTCAATGACCTTTCGCGATCAAAAAATGTCCGATTCGCAGCTTCAAGACACACAAAATTGGCCTTGTGTAAACGAATAAGCCATGGTAAAACAGATAAAGCCATATACTGGTAGAGAAAGTTGTAAAAATTCCAAAAAATGTTGTATATACGATTAAAAATGTCAGTTATTTTCAAAAAGCCATGAAGATTCAAAAGTCAAAATCAAAAGAAAGTTTGAGTATTAAAATAAACT